AAATTGAAATTGATTGAATATAACCCCGCTCATTTCACCAATGGAAGTCGACTAAAATCTTAAGCCCCAGTGAAGCGAGCAGGCTAATAAAAATTGTTTCAATTTTAGAATATTTCTGGCTCGTGTCATTCCTTTTCATGTCCATTTTCTAAAAATACCCAAAGTGCACACTTTATTTCAGGAAAACTCGAGATTTTTACAATAATGTATTACTTTTCTATAAGAATGGTTACCATTCTTATTATTTGGGAGAATTTAAACATTTTTCACCCATTTTTGCACTTTGAATCCCTTATAGCTTCACCAATTTATAACATATCGTGAATCTTTTGGGAGATATTGTATTTGAGATTGAAAGAAATATATTGGTAGGTCAGTTGTACATGTTGCTTGTAATTTTGTCACCCCAATAGATCTGATTCTGCCTTTAAGACAACGATTCCACTTGGACATGCATTTAGTACCGTATGTTCTTCTGGAGTTCTGGAAAATGTTACTTTGAAATCAGTGCATTGAACCATTCGATATCTATTTAATATATAGCCAACTTAATGCTATAACTTGATAGATAATTTGATCGAAGTGCCCAACGATTTCCTGAATAGTTTTTAATAGTCGTCTAATTTGACAAATTACGAATACGATCAACTCAACGAGAAACTAACCATTCGACACTCTAAATCAACTGTGGATAATAAGTCCATAAAACAAAATAGTTCGCTCATATAATTTACTGAGTTATTGAGAAAACGTGAACATTGAATTACCATTGGGCTTAAACCAGAACGATCCATTACATTAATAGGGACTTAACTCTAAGACAACGATGTTTGAACACTGAAATATGATTTATTTTTTTTACTAACGATTCTCGTAGATATATCCCATTTGTGTATTTGTGACATTACGACAATTCTGGATGACTTCATCAAGGACAAGGTATGGCATGGAGAATGATTTTGGACAGTATACATCCTTGACCACTGGCGTATCTGGGGGTGGGGGGGGGGGCAGGGCCCCCAAAAATTGTAGGGTTTCAATATGTGGGCCTTTTCTGGTATAGCTTGGCATTTTAGGCCTTTTTAAATTTTAGACCAAATTATAAAAAATCTTCAAAATACCGCGTACCGCCCCTTCCTTTCAGATCCGCCACTGTATGACCATTAGTATTTTCTCAACATCACGACATTTCTCATCAAAATGTAGAAGCTACTATTAGTGCAAAAGAAACATTTTATATGGTAAAATGATTAAAGTGAGGTCCTATTGTGTGAAAATAAGTCTGATATTTTGAAAAATATGAGGATATGAGATCCTCAACAGTGGCTTAAAAAGAGTTCGCTTGCTATTTTTACTATCCTAGTGATAATATTACTTTCAGAAACATTACACAGCCGATCTTTCCATTACACATCTTTTACTTTCATTTTGTAACTTTGAAAGATTAATCTTGATTACACAATGGACTGATGAAACACAAATGCGAATCAAATGTCATTTTACCAAAAATGAGAATGGCAAATGTACTTATTAATTGTGTTATTAATAATCGAGTCCCTTGTGTTTTTCTGAGAACATATTGATCCTTCAAATCGGGTAAATTGTCTCTTCGGCAATAAAACTACGTTGGTGTACTTGTTCCAAGTAATTAAACTAAGTAATGCATCAAGTTATTTTAATATAATACGGATATAAATATCACCCGTCCCCGGGGTTTACTAATAACTGCAATTAGCATTGAAGATACAATCTCCATGGAGTCATATACAGGGTGATCACTACGTTCTGGGAATTCATCGAACTCTCTGAATCACAATCATGATTCAAAAAAGCGGGGAGTTAACTTCCATTGTGACAATGCTTCTTCCCACATCTGAAACTGCCCATCAACTATTCTTGGAGGGTTTGCATTACTTGCTGATGCCCCATATTCACCAGATGGAGCACCATTGGGCTTGAACTATCATGTGAGAGGTCATAAGTTTGATTCCGATAGGGAACTGATTTCAATGCAGAGGCGGACCTGAAAACTAACAAGGAAGGAGGGGAGGGAGCACGCGGAAAAACCAGAAATTGGACCCACATTTTGAAAATTTAAGGTCCATTTTCTTTCATATTTGCTAGAATAAAAAGGCAAGGCCCGAAAAGGCCTAGTGATGCCCCAAAGGCCCACATATTGGGGCTTAAATTTTTTGAGTCTATATTTTTTCTAGGCCCATCCTAAGGGGGGGGCATCCTAGGGGGGGGGGTGCCCCCTAGATCGGCCAGGAAAATGCTTTGGCTAATCTTCGATAGATAACAAAGGGAGGACTGGAAAATGTATTTATGGACTAGGTTTGTCGACAACGCATATATGTGCATAGGCTAATGGATTTATTTTAGTATCAACATCAGTCAAATTTTTTTTCATAATTGCAATCAAATTAATTGAAAAAGAATGTGTATTTGAAACATAACCTGTCAACTTTGAATTACACAATGTATATATCTGCTGAAAATTTCAACTAAATTGATTGAGAAATATTGAAATGGCAAACCAGTTCCCAGAACTTAATGATCACCCTGTACTATGTTAGCTTTCCAATTTTTCTCTACGTTTTTTAAGGTGATAAAGTTTTCGCCCAAGGAACTTCCAATCTAATGGCCAATTGTGGTAGTAGTCAAGGGCACAAAGTCCTTTGGGGACCATAATTTCTATTACACTGGCTTTAGCAAAATATTTAACAAGTTGAAGAAATGAAGCTGAGATGTACCTTATTTCATATTACTTCCAAGATTTAAAAAACAATCCCACGAAAAAGCCATACAGTGTACTACTCTAAGCCTACAACTAATGAGGATTTCCGGGAATTAAAAAGGCTGAGTTATACATCTTGATACGGAGTAGGGATTGGAAACTATCGATTGAAGAAAACTGATTGAAGTGAATCTAGAAGATAATAACCAGCAACGCCTTTGAACCTGTCTGTTGTCAACCTAATAATGTACAATTCAAACTGGATTGTTTGGCGTCTACTTACTTTAATACGATACGGGATGCGTTTTAAAGTATTGTTAACGCATTCTCCCACAAGCACTTTAAACAGACAGGTTGAACTAAAATAATGGCATTGGGAACGAAGCTTATTGCATTTATTGAAACGTATTATAGCGCATTTACGTCGTATATCCAAAGAAAAATAATTTAATTCTACTTTGTCAATCTTTTATATATACTTTATCATATGATAATAGGATAATGCTATATATAAATAGTTAGCTTTTTCGTAAAATGGTCATCTATTTTAGCCCACCCTGTATATGTAGTCACATAGAAGATCTCTAAAAACAGTTATTTTGACCCAGCAATAAAAACAATTCTTCAACTCAGTCTGCTATATATCTTTTCCATGTTGTCGCAATTTTATCTACGCTCATACACTGGAATTGGAAATCACTTTAAAAGTATTCAATCTTTTGAGAAACAAACTTGAATTGAATTTTGTAAAAGAGAGTTAGCCAGGTATATAGATGTTCACGTATAAATGTAAGTAAAAGATTTGCTTGGCTTCTAGTTTTTTGTCGGTTTATAAGTAAGTTTATGACTCAAAATTATTAAGGCGTCTACATGCAACGAACAATTAATAATTCAATATGAATAGGTTAAACAAATAATTAATTAATGATTTGAAATATGAAATAAATTCAAATGTCAACTGTCACCTTAATGGAGTCGGTAGTCTTCAAGTCTAATCCATTTATCCATGAATATTTGGTTTTGCCTCGTTATGTTGTGGGTACAGTTGATCTGTAAGATTTTGAGATCAACAGAATCTGAGATTTATACCCCCCCCCCCTTGGCAACCGGGCGTCGTCATACCAAAGCCTGTCAAAGTTTGAATTTTAATTTCGACAGAATATTTTTCAAAATATAGAAAAACTACTGAATTATGATATATTGCAACTAATTATAAGTAACTTTCTACCTTCTATGATTAATTAATACAATGATATATGACAGGCCTATGTTACGCTGAGTTTTGATAAGTCAACCCAACTTTGTGTAGAACTAAATATGATTAATCCCCACTTATAGGTAGCAAGACAGCAGGATGGACTGTAGTTTATTTTAAAGTACGTACAGTTGTAACAAAAGAAGAGTGTATTCTTTTTCTATTGTTTTAAAGAATGGACACTTGACAATGGCAAGCTATCAAAAACCAGTGTGGCAAGAAAACGATTGATACTATTTGATAGTTTCAACCATGTAAAAAATATACAAATGTACATGTATGTGGTCTTCTTTTGTTACAGTGTATTTTTTAAAATAAAAAAATTTATCATTTTGTGTTGCTACGGTGTTGAGCTTTGCTAACCATTCGACGCATGCTCGCCATATTAAATAGGGGAATCCGGGGTAAAACGGGCCACTCTTTCAGAGTTTCACAGGACAGCTTTTCCAAAACGATGACGTCATTGACACACGCGCGCTGTCATCTTTACAAACATATCTACATCGAGCCTTCCCGTATGCACCGTGTCTCGCTTTGCCCGGTCTCCCCTACACCCGGGCCCCTACATTAATCTTAAGTAGTCTAAAGTAGATCTAGATATACCCATTTCGTTCAACATGAAATCTGCCAGATTCCACATATAGATAATTTTTTAATTTTTTTTCTGAAGCTGCTGTTACAGTGTTATAGACTGTAAATGCGTTTTAAAGCATGATATATCATTTCTTTATGTATCATATGCTACCAAAACATATGTTGGAAGTTACAGATGAATAGATGAATATTATATTCCACAGTATATATCTTTTGTTATAGTAACATTTCCTTAGAAGAAATGTGAGGACACGTTTTAACATGATGGGTCTGAACTTAAAGTGAAACTAAACAAATGTTATAGCCTAGCTAATACTTTTCAAATGTCGTTAATAAACAAAAAAAATAAACATATTTTATAAGATTTATTGAATATAAATTTTAATCTAACATACTTTTACTTTTTGCTTTCAGATGTTACCATAGATAAGACATTGGATCAATGAGTACTAGTAACTGTAGGTTGCCATGGATACCATTCCTGTTTACTAATACGATGACCAGTTGCAGCTTGATATATCGAGGAATTTACATGATTTACAAAGTGGACCTTGCTAGGGAAACAATTTATTTATTTTAGTTGTCGCATTATTATATCACACCTAGTCATATACTAACACCATGATTGATACTTCGACTTGACAATGAAGAACTAATCCAAAGAGTTATTACTATAACTGATCGAAAGTAAAGTGATATTTATATACTCTGTGAGATACTGTTACATCCTTACGACAAAGACAGGAGACATATTTGTACATTACAGTATTAAGTGGGTGAGGAAAAGAAAATGGATTCGGCGAATGGGAGCTCGTATTCACGTGATGATTTGCGAAGTGCGCTAGATTTCCTTGGAATTTATGTCCCACGTGGTGTTAATGATTCATCAAACATTACAACTAACAGAACCAGCAGTATGAGTGACTGGCTGCTTTACCCTTTCATCTCATCCGCATTCCGCCTCTATGGTGCACCACTTATATTCACCCTCGGCACTATAGGGAATTTAATTTCGATTGTAGTGCTACTTCAACGGAACATTCGGAAAGCGAGTTGGGCTATGTATCTGGTGACACTTGGATTTAGTGATCTTCTTGTCTTATATACGTTCAGCTTTAAAGAATGGCTTGTACTCTATGGTATATACCTAGAAACACTGTCCGATGAGTTGTGTAAAACGACAAAGTTTTTAGAGATGTTCAGTCCTCAGTGTACATCGTGGATTCTGGTTGGCGTTACAGTAGAGCGTTGCATCTACGTCTGTTCCCCGGGACACGCCAAACGCTTATGTACACGTAGAAACGCCTTCTTCACTATCGCGGCCATGTGCCTTTTTCTTTTCTGCGTCAACATCCCAGTCCTGCTTATGTACCATCTTGAGGATACGTCAAAATACGTCTACACAAAGGATCCAAGATGCTTGTTCGACTATGGAATCATAAAGACGTTAGAGTTCGTAGAGCTGTGCTTACTTTCTTTGATTCCATTTATAATTATGCTTATTTGTGACTTTCTGATGATAAAGCGACTGTATGAGGTGCAGAACATGAGATCAGGGATGCTCCAGATGCCCGCGTTCTGCAAAGCCAGGAGAACAGTGTTTATGCTTTTAACAGTGAACATCACGTTTGTAATATTAACATTGCCGTATCCAGCTATATTCATTACGTATCATTATCTATCAGACGCCCGACCTTTCACAACTGCCGGTTCGGCAAAGATGTCGCTAATTATCAGTATATCAAAATATTTGCAACAAATTAATTCTGCGATTAACTTCCTCCTATATTGCGTCAGTAGCCCACAGTTCAGGCGTGAATTGAAGGCCCTGATTGTCATTGTATTCTGCAAAAGGTGTGGGAAGTCTACTGACAGGCCTCAGAGATATCAGAGTGAGGGTGAGAGCCTAAATGGTGAAACACTTCGCACTGGTTTCACAAAAGTATAGACTAGTGTTATGATTCATTTCCACAAAGCGCACTATCACTGGTCAGTATCAAGCGAAGGTAACGGCCTTAACCTTCGCATCTAAGATGGCGGACGGTGTGTCGATTTCGATATTTTTTGTTTTCATCGAATTAAACCACTTTATAGTTGACGTAATGCTTTGATATTTGAACTATATCAAGCTTATATGACATAGAAACTCCCGAGTATGATCATTTGTTCATATACTATGCGGAGGCACCACAGTTCAACGATATCTTCCACCGCTAAGGGAAGGTAACTGGGATTCTGGTTTCACAATGATAAGATAATGATATGCGGCGATGCGGTATTTGTAATGGAGCGCTAAAATGTCCAGTTACTGCGTATTGAAAACTAACATAATCGTTACCGTATCATGCATTGAACTGTGGCGCCCAAGCACAATATATGAAAAAAATTATCATACTCAATAGTTACCGTGTCATAAAGCCTGATTTGGTTCAAATATAAAAGCATAACGTCAACTATAAAGTAGGTTACTTCAAATGGAAATTGAAAATATGGAAATCGACAATTACAGTCCGCCATCTTAGATGCAACGGTTACGGCCGTTACCTTCACTTGATACTAACGAGTGACAATGACTATATGAATGCAGCGAGGGCATCACACAGTCAAAGTGCACTTATATTGCTACGCGAGGGACCCGTTCGATTCCGTATCAACATGGATGTTCATACACCGTAACACCGCAGTTCTAGATTATTTTTAGAGCTTCTTTCTTCGGAACTGTCAGGATTATTGTAGAATATACGTACTTTATAAGCTAACATAAAATTCTTAGTCAAGCTACAAACTCCTGTGACCCCCCCCCTCCCCAGCTATACACACCTCCCCACAAGCTGTGTGTAAGAAGTTATGTAGTCAAGTAGTGGGATGGGGAGCACGAGGGATTGTAGCTAGACTATAAAATCATAATTTGTTGCTTTTCGTTGCGCGAATTCATCGTGTTACACGAATCGCTCTTGTAATAACAGGGTCTGTGTAACAAAATCTTGAAATTAATTCATTTAATCCATATTATGAGACAATGGCGTTCTAAATTAAAGATCTATTAAAACTGTATTTTGAGATACGTTTTTGCCTTAAATGTGAGACATTGTTTTACTTGAATTTAAGACAAAGATCCAAAAAACTAAAAAATGTTCATCCATTTGATACGAGAAGGGTCCCTGGCGTAGCAGTGCACCGATTCACTCCATGAAAATACAGAAACGTGAAAAATGATTTGAAAATCTATATGGAATTTACCTATTTTTCCACTAACAGGTAACAGCATTGAAATACTTCGCACCAGAGTCACAGAATTATAACTCTTGGCTGATGATCTACGGTTTTTAACTTCGCAAAGTGGATATGGAACACTTCACAAAAGAATTGAAAAGTGACAGCTATTATGACAAATCGTACACAGTTCTCGATTTACTAAGCAGATATGAATATGGAAAAACATATCGCATAAGATTTACAAAATGATGGCACTTGACGAGAAATGTTTAATTCATACAACACTTATTTCTAGCAAGATATCAGCGAAACTTGAGCCGAAGATTAAAAACTCACATTGATATCACACACATGGAAATAAATTGATTGTGTGCTCATAATCTTCAATAAAATAACTGTAACAACTGCATTCATTACAGTAAAAGGTTGCTGTCCTCTGTTAGACGATATGTAAATATGTAATTATACGCTGGTGAAAATTTATGTACTGTTCGAAACGTAATAAAGGTCATCGTAAAACAAACTAAGCTCTTTTGAACACAGTCTAGAGACAAAGCAACAGGCTTCTTTGAATATCATCTGCATAATACACTCCACGACCCATTTGAACTAACATTCGAGAGAGTTAATATTTTTCTTGTCTGGGGAATACAAACCAATTTGTTACAAGATCCAATAATCTTATAATTGGAGCTAACTACAAACCAAAATGTGAAACAGATATACAATTTCTCATTATTGTATCTGAAGAGTATTGAATTTGATACATATATATTATGTACATGATACATATATATTATGCTACATATATATTATGTATATATCTTCAATTCTTATTATTGTGACCTTTCTTAAAAGCGCTGATATTTTCTAAGTTGTTATAACGATATGTTTATTCCAAACCTGGTAAGAGCCGCATCATATATTTTACAACGTTCGAAAGCCTCTCATCCGTTTTAAAATGCAATCTATATGGAAATGAATGGTTGTCGACCTGCACTGATACGCAGGGAGAATTTCGCGTGTTTAACGTTATCTCTTTGTCATGAGATCCCCGGGGAACAGTTTCTATAATAAGGTTTAGTTTCAGTATCTTGACAAAATGATAATTCACAACATTACGTATACAGTCATTGTAAGAGCTATTCCACTGGTGATCCACTCGATTACGCTGGTTACCAAAACGAACCGTTTTGGTAACAAAATGTCGGAACGTCGAAGGCACGATTTTTCTTTTTTCCTTATTTCACGCGTTGTAGGCAGAATCCCCACGACGTTTTTTCTCACAACGTGCATCAGTATCATATGTTTTAGAAAATGTACATGTTTGCGAAAAAATAGCTCAGAGGACAACAGAATCGTCGATTTACTTCGTCACTTAAGTTACATAAACGGTTTTTCGAAAAACAGTTAAGATCTGCACTTTTAACCCAAACCGTTTATGTAACTTCAGTGAGGAAGTAAATCGACGATTCTGTTGTCTTCTGAACTATTTGTTCGCAAATATGTACACTTTCTTAAACATATATGATACTGATACACGTTTGTGTTAAAAGATGCCATGGGAATTCTGCCTACAACGTGTAAAATTAGGAAACGAGAAAAATCGTACCTTCCGGATGTTCCGACATTTTGTTACCAAAACGAACCGTTTTGGTAACCAGCGTAATCGAGTGGATCACCAGTGTATTCAATGTTACAGTTTATTTTATATCAGCATTTTCCATGAAGTGAGTAACACCAATGCAAGGAAATGGTTTCCAAGAGGCACAAACAAAACTGGGAGATGAAACATAGCACATGCTTAAGGATTCGAATGCGTTTGCCAGATCATAGACCTACTGAATGTCCGATTAAAAGGAAAACTAATCTAAATGTGATTCAATCAAAACCCCTATAGTTTACATTTCTTAAACGGCATGAATCCCTTTTGAGTTGCGAACAATACATCGCGATAAAGGCGACGCCATTATTTTCATTCCACACTTCAATATTGGATATTCAATATCGCACTAATGTTCAAGGAGGATAAGCTCCCAGTGTTCCATCTCTATATTCTGCCATATATGGAATCATGTCGTGATTACAAAATTCGAAATTAATCAGCCGCCATTTTTTCACTTTAGAATTTGAATCCTTAATTTTTGCCTTATTTATTTAAACAAAAAATATATTTCATATCTTTTGAATCGCTGATTACGAATCTATAGTCAGCTATAATGTCAGTCAATTTTGACATCGGTCAAGGTCGTTAGAGTGTCGGCCATTCTTCTTGCAGTTCTTTCGTGCGTATTTGGCCGTAGAAATCAGCAATGTACAAACTGGTTGGAGAATGTACATATCGAGTTGAAACCCTTGGAGCTAAGGATGTTACAAAATACCATACGGAGTGGGCCTATAATACTAGGTATGTAATACGTTAGGTGTAAATATAAGGAACTTAGAAATTGGGAGGATGAATTCGCAACAAAACTAAACTACTATGTTTCCGAATTTTGCGTACCAGATAGCTCAACAACTTCACTCAAGCTATACCAAGAACACCATGGCATAATGCTGTACCAAAAAATGATTATTGGAAAAGATGTTTATGCAAATTATCCCCTGCACTGGCTTTACTGTTGACAAATTAGTCTGTTGTGTGAGCTGTCAAGAAAAATGCCAAGTAAATACAATATCATTATTTTATTCTTGTAATATAAGTACGATAAAATTGCTGCAAAACCGCACTGAACAAAACAACGCAGAAATTGATATAGCTCATTACACAAAAATAAAAATCATCACCTCTAATCCACTTTAAATTAGATATTTGAAATTATTATATCACAGCTATAGTCCCCATTCTTGTTCTATGTTACACGACACTAAAAAGTAACAATAACGATATATCAAATGATATTCACCGCTGTGTTTTCTAGATTGCGCTCTCTGTTGGAATATATACATACATACACGTACCGATAATGTGCGGAAAAGTAACAAATAAACTGTGGTTCAAATGGGTAGGAATATCATATGAACGATACCAAGTATATTATCTTTAGCATTCATAGCAGCTTTCCAATAATATGTGGTATATGGGGCAGTAATTCAAGTCATATTTTGACCGAAACAGCTAGACACAAGAAATATATTTATAATTATTCCTTACAGTATGCCAGTTTATGAATAAACTTAAAATAAGCTGACGTCAGCCATGTGTGAAAAGGATAGGCAAATATGTGATTCAACTTAATATGCCATAAACAGATCGGATAATTATTTTGTAAATTGTGATTTAGATGCAGTTTATGACCTACCTGTGTGTGATATGTACCCGAGAGTGCGATTTTTTGCTGGATCTTGCGGTGAAATGTAATAAAAGGGCCTCTTGCAAGAGAGTGCTGTTTGATTCATACCTGTGATAATGCAAATACAGTCATCGCCTTGAAAAAATAAATTGCAGATTAATTGGTTTGTATGTTCTGTATGATTTTGTTTACGCTTGTTGTAAAATATATTGACGTTTTTTTAGGTTGAATTTAGAACAGAAAGGTCTATGTGCAGTATGGCAAGTGATTTTAGACAGTCATATCTTCCACCATAAGTACTTTCTGGGCATAAATACAGTGGTTTTTATTAGAGTAATATGTTTTCTTTCAAGTGAAGTACCCATGATGATATAAATATCAATCGAACAATTCGAAAAATTATGAATAGGGACCCCATGTCAAGATTCTTTTCAGAATGTTGAACCTATCTACTCAAAAGAGGATCTTCTTTTTCTGGTTTTTATAGAAAAGCTTCCTAAAGATGGACGTATGACATTAAAACTATACTCGTTGACGTTACTTTGACATTTAAAGTTGTTTCACAAACTAGAAGTTTCAGATCTATTTCCTTAACTCAAACGAGCTAAAGGAACTTCTTGTGATAGATTAACATGACAAATCCATTACATTAGCATGTTATTATTTAAAGGGTAATAAACAAATATCCTCTGAGCGTAGTAATATCGAAGAAGTACCCGGATATACATGATCACGTGCTACTTGGATAACCAATAAAACAGCCTGTTTCAGAACAGGTTATGTCTGATCCGGATCTACAGTTCCGATTGAAATGTAGTTTTTACTTGTATTTCTGTGATGTTTTGCCATAAGTTATGACACGTGGTTGCTCATTTGGGAACAAATTTAATCTTTGTTCACGATATCGTTAAGTTTACATTACCCCCAGTTGCAATAAAAGTATAGATAGAATTATGTGTGTTCTCATTATTTACTTCATGGGTTGAATATGCAAGCACAGGTGCCAACGAGAGTCATGCTTAAACAATACAGACGTCCAAAGCCGAACACCAACTTCCGAACGCCGAACACCAACCGCCGACACAAAAAAGTACGAGAACATATATCATTTGTGGTTGTGATATAAATACAACACAATGAAACATTCTAACGTTAGTTTTCCAAGGAATAGCATTATTTTTCAATCAAGATATCATCTCCCTCTTGATACCACGATAAGATTTTTCATCTTTCAGCATTTTTTATGTTACGAGTTGCCAGGACTTAGGTGTGAGAAAATCCTGCCATGTAGAGTCCTAATTAAAAAAAACGATGCCATACTCTATCTACCTGGAATTATTTCACAGAGTTGTCTATACGGATCATACCTTCATAATCCAGTGGAAATTAGCTGACAAATTGATATAATTACTTTCGCCGCTTCTTCCGTTACTGAAATCAAAAATGATAAACGGACGATCAAAAATGAAAAATACGAAACGGCATATCGGCTTGTAAAGTATACGCTAAGGGAATATCTTCAATCAATTCTGCCTGTTTACGTTTAGATGCCTATTTTTCACTTTTACTCATTCGTTTTATCGTATGTATAACATGCATTTTATTGCACTGGTCATAACCAATCATAATCACAGCAACTCCGCGCAGATAACCAAATTCCACCAAACAGTATACGTTTTCCCAAAACCCATTAGACTATTCCAACGGATTGTCCATGTTGAATATTGCCTGCTAAAAAGAGTAGATGGGAAAAGGACTGCAATTTCACTGCTACCCACCTAGTTACACAGACGTATCGTCAGTGTATCATGGCTGAACTACTTCCGGGATTTGAATTTGGTAAGATATTTTTATTTTTCGATTTACATCTACTTATAAGACACGATGTGGATTATAATTTGGCTCGAAGTTATGGGAGATAGTCTAGTGTGAAAATGTGTCGATGGTTTTAGGTTTGGTATGTTAACGAAGACGCATTTCACATATTTAGTCCCTCGCTTTTGTTACACTGACGATCGGCATTAATATTGCCAATATTACACTGATATTGGTCGTTCGTCAGTGTAACAAAAGCGAGGGACTAAATACGTGAATTGTGTCTTCGTTAACATATAAAACCTAAAACCATCCACACATTCTCAAACTAGACTATCTTCCTTAACTTCGAGCCAAATTATTATCCACAACGTGACTTATAAGTAGATGTAAATCGAGAAATAAAAAAATCTTACCGAAACCTAGTCCCGGAAGTAGTTCCGCCATGATACACTGACGATACGTCTGTGTAACTAGGTGGGTAGCAGTGAATTTAACAAATACAATACCCGTGGCCCTATAACGTACATTCTGCTAACACATATTGGCGACCTACCAAGGAGAGAACTCAAACATTTCGCTATGATAACTAATTTTGCAGCCATTTTGTCATGAATTTGAAAGATGTTGTGTTATTTGTAATCTTCTTTAAAATATATTTTCCCCTAAGATGGCATAAGTTGCATACACTTCCCATTTTCAACCGTAGAAGTACTCGGATGTAATTTTACGGTTTCGAAATTAATATTAGAGAGCTGTCGATATAAGTTATTTGGAATATGTAAACGCAAACCTGTACTTTTACAAGCCAGGTACAGCACTGCATAGCACTGGTTGACTATGGGAAGGAACTCTGGAAACGAAGATATGGTGCTTTCATCCTTCAAATCACAACAAAATATTCGTCAAGTATGTTGTTCGTGAGTTCCGGTTTCAAAATATGATTAAAACTTAGAAATTAATTCTGTCATTGCCGGTGTAAAATAAAAAAATTATGGTCCCATGGGGATTATGGTCCCCTTTCCTTACGGCCCTTATTGGCCCTGATTTTGTAGAAGATAATAAAGAGATAATAAAAGGGAAAGAGGTCATCATATAAATCAATGGAGAGTAGGACCATAAATTACTAGGACACACACCTGAATTCACAAATAAATTCCCTCGAATTAGGAAACGAGGAATTTTTTCTATAATGAAAAGTACTTTCCTGGTTTCCTTGAGAAACCTTCCCTCCCAGTGGTGTTTATTGTCATTCAAAAGTTAAATTTGCAGTATAAGTTTGGCTAGCTCTCTATTGAGTGTGGACCGATTTATTGTTATGCTTCTATCTAGCGACTAAGAAGTAAATCGGATTGCTCGAATTTGAGTTATTGCCTTCACTGACTGACGGTATTTATTATCTCAAAGATCCAAGGTAACATGGTATTAAAAGGTTACCTAGATATTCAGTAACATGATACAATCGTGCTATAAAACGACGCAACTAGAGAGGATCATTTGCTGATAATGTCAATACATATACTAGTTGATTTATTGAATGATTTTGTAGAATAAAATGCTTTTTACCCGATACATATTTCCACAATAATATTCAGTTTATCCGTATGCAATCTCCATTTTGTATTTGCTTTTACATGACGATTCAGTTCAGTTTTTTTGTTAAAGTCGTTTAGTTTGTTCGCCTTTAGGTATCACATTGAAATTTACTCACTTCGAGAGCCATGTTAGATTTTGAAACTTATGGCACCTCAAACGGAGAAGTGAACAGCTGATCAATAGTGACCTTTGAAATTGAATTAAGTCGATCCGCGGCTTACTTTTGGTCTCTAACTGTGTCTTACATCAGTATCATCAATCCTTGTAAGTATTGGAGCGCTGGAGTACTTCTGTTTCGATCAAGACTTGTAAATTGTTCATCGAGTTAAAGTTTTACAGACCTATTTCCAATATGGCGGTTTGCTAGGTGCGAGATACGCAACGAACGAAATGAATTTTGAGAATTAGTTAGGTTCGGACAACCTCCGGAGACTTACGAAAATGTCCGAGCAGAAACCGCCATATTGGAATTTGGCAGTAAAACGATTCACTCGACTAACAATTACAAGTCTTGATCGAAAAAGAAGTACTCCAGCGCTCCAATACTTGCACGGATTGATGATACTGATGTAAGACACAGTTAGAGACCAAAAGTAAGCCGCGGATCGACTTAATTCGATTTCAAAGGTCACGATCATTGAGCTGTCCAAATGCTCCGTGGGAAAGCTATTATATCAAAATCCAAATAGCTTTCGCAGGAAGTAAATTGAAATAATATTAACATAGCCTACGCCACCCCATGGTCCATAAGATTTAACTAAGCTTGGAGGATATGTAAAATGTCACTCGACTTTTTGGTGATTTTGAAGTCATGTCTGTACTCCACAGTTCAAAATCAACTTCTGTAGTAATTTGACACCACCTTCTTATTTGCCCCATTGACCTTTTATTGTTTCTCAAACATATTCTTTCAAAATCCGGAAAAGGTGATGAGCGGGGAAATTTAGTAGGGAATTCCAGTCACAAAATATAACGAGTGACAACTTACATTTCCTCCGAGTGTAAAAGCATATTGGTATGATTTTTGGACCACTTGCTATTCCTCACCTTGTCTCGTATGGCTTGGTATTATTTCTTTTGGTGTAATATGGCATGCCGTGTCATAATAACTTTTATCGTTTTTTCATAAACCACATTATTCGAAAACTTTTAATAAAATATAATAGAAAACAGACATTTTTATGTCTATCTTATGCAGATCTATGTCTATTGTATATCAAACATCATAAATGAATCTGAAAGAGATATTGGGAAATACAATACAAATATTACATTTGTCTGCATGTTATGTTTGCCAACGCTCATCATACGAACCATTCAAAATAGAAACACTTATAAGAAAATAGAATGGTGAAGGCCCAGACACCTGAATAGTGATAATTATAATTTTTATATTAATAATATTGTGATGATACATGCATATTGTCCCTAGTTTCTCTTTTTCTCCGATCTGTGTGCAATATATTTCGTAACAGGAACGGGGAAGTTGGGAAGTCTTGGAGGTGAGATCAAATAGATCAAACTAGAATATATTGACATGGGAACATGCATTTTGGTACATCGCCTGAATTCATTTGGTAGTTTCGTCAAGTATACTACTTGTGTAAATTAACGTTTTCACAGGCGTCAACAACGGCAACACACACAGGCGCAAACAAACACCCGCCTTCATCGGATAGCTTCGCAAATCATAGAAGTGGCTAAATGCGCGTTTAATTTGCGCATGGCGACAGTATGCTCTTATATGTAAGATTGAAGCCATGGGATTTGAATTTAATGTAATTACATAAAACAAACCAAATATATTTAAATTTGATTGAGTAATTTACAATCAGGCTTACTTGATATAAAATTTGAATTTAAGTGTATTTAACAAAAACATATATTCCACTCGGCATACAGTTTACATTGCTAATCCGGAACTACTTTTGTTATATCAAACAAAGAGTGTTTATGAAGATGCATACATGAATGACATCTATTAAAAGAAACCAGTTTAAAAATGCCAAGCTTTTACGATGTTCACTGCAATAATTTCAAACACAATCTTTCACAAGTTTTCCTCGATTTCAAAATATTTTGAATTAAATTGAAGTCAATTTATTCTATAAACTACTCTGAAACCTTCAATTGCTTTGTCAGAAAACCAGTTGGGAAAATATTCTTCTTTCACCAATGTCCATTTTTGGTCATTTTCAAGTTGCTTCATAGCTTCTTTAAATCCCACCATTTCTTCAAGGGCGTCGCCTCGTATTTGCATCAGTAGCAGACCTCCTGGAATTAAATGGCCTAGTTGCATTTTTTGGCTAAAACATCATTCACATTTGCTCTACGGCATTAGATACATTCAGTTAAATATAGTGCAACGCTACGTATAGTGGCATTCATTATTATCTTCTGGAGATGCACAGTGGATCCAAGAGCCTTTAGTAGTGACTGAATGATTATCTAGCCAATCATATCTGTCTGTCAGAAAACGTCAGATTACGCCGCAAAAACTTTTTATTCCAGTTCTATTCGTGAAATTATACAGTAAAAACAAACATTTAGGTATAAATGTTGAATCTGGAAATTAGAATTTCTTAACATTCTGAGGGCACCAATAATTCATTGAAATAAAACGTGCTAAGTATCCATAGTAACCTCACGTCACATACACATGACACAATCATGGCTGGCTGTCACATGTGTCATGTATTATTACCCTTTATAATAGGTAATTTGATACCATGCGGTACCTATATGGTATATAAATGTTTATATTGGGTAATTTCAACTTTAAAATTACCTATTTTTAGGGTAATTTTACATGACACCGGTGATTATTATTAGATCTTTTCACAGAGCACTCTAAACAGGTCACCATATTTAATGCTTCTTACCAGGTTTAATAACGCGGATTAATTCAGGAAAGCAATCCTCGTGGACGTGGGTCCTGTAGAAACAAGCAGTGGCAACTGCGCCATCATATGCATCTAAAATTAAAGGTTTCGTTTTGTACACTAAACAAAGGTTGTGTACTGGGGGTTTTTAATAATGCAAAAACCGGTCATTCAACAGATGTATTCCATACCTATTGATGTTTAAGGTACATTCTAAAGCTCAGATGTTTTAATTTCCATTTTATTTCGATTCATTGAATAGCATTGCGTAAAGAGGTTGACGTAGCTCTGACTTATAGCTATTAACACTATTGTCTTTAAAGTGTTGTATGTGTACATTTTCGTTTAGATCATTACCATCTTTGATATCAAGTGTGTTGGGTCCAAGGAAGTCACAAATCAGTCGGTTGTAAACATTCTTAGACTTGGCTACATCTAGCATGGCCTGGTTAGCATCTACAGCATCAATATCAGTTAAACCTAGTCTCTGCAGCTAAAAAGATAATACCGACATGAGGCTAACATGATTGTGTATCAATTGTTGTATATTACATCGATTGTTGAAGCTCTCTTTTAAAAAGTGAAGTCAAACGAATGCAAAGGGTATCAAACAGTTCGGTACTACTTATTTTTCTATTCAAACAGTGCGGCATTCTCAATCTTTATAATTTGCAAGAATCGAAGCGATCTGATTGGCTTAATGGAAGACATGAATGGATCCGCATAGCCGTAGTTATACAACATCTCAATGCGCATGCGCAAATCCCAGAATGCCGAACCGTTTGGATAGTAATTTGATCTTGCAAATGCAATGTTAATGCTAAGTTCGAATATTTAAGCAAAAGAAAAGCTATATACATGAAACCTATTTAAAACAGCATTTAAATTATTCAAAAGCGTTCGTAATCAATGATTCGCAGCCCTCTGAAGTTTGAAAAATAAAAATGGGTGTGAATCCATAGATAATCCTTGAAAATAAGAAATATTTTTGAGGATTATATGGTGCAATCTTATACACAATAAAAATGTTTTAAAGTGTATTGGTGTTGTTTAGATGAAAAACACAAGCGAAATGCAAGAAAAAACTCCCCAATTCATTCTACAGACAACTCGCGGTTCTTTACTTAACATATTATATAATATTAGTTCTTAAAAAGAAAGTTTATTCTTCTTACCAACTACCTTTCGGACCTCGTTTTTATCGATTTATGTTTTTATATACGGTATATTTTTAAAGTTTTCCTTGGAATTCCAAAGTTTCGTTTTCGAATGATATTACCTCTAGTCCCACAGCACCAGTGCCTGCCGCTATATCGAGAACTTTAACAGCTGCCCTCTCTGCTTCTATGAACAGCTCAGCGAAGTGCTTGGCAGCGCGTATTGGGGTTTTGTAGAAGTACACCTTGTCCCCATGGTCCTTAAACAATCAAAACACATTTGTTCCTTTACATGCGCATCGCTTCTAGTCTTATGAACACGTGGGGGAACCTGGGGCAATAAAACCAATCCAATGTTTCACCTATGATGACATATATTCGTGCAGCTATTGTATCTCACTTGTATTCTACGTTAATTCAGTTTTATTCCAAATAAATTAATTACTAAGAAGCGAGTAGATAGTTACAAGTTTCACCACCAGGTGGCTGATTCGGGGGAAATAACATGGCGGTGTATTACAAAGTTCGCTTAAATTTGTATATTTATCAGTTTTATAGGTTCACTTTTCATATTAGCCTTATGTGTACGTATATTATATTTGCCCTTTATATAAAGAAGATACATTCTCTATATGTGTGTGTTATGTATCTGATAGATACATATCAGATACAAACTTATATAGATAAATATTGAAATTATAAAGGTAGCACAGTGATCGCACCAAATGATAATAATTTCCTTACTTCACGTGTTGTAGGCAGAATTCCACGACAATAGAGAGTTAAAGCATGACAAATGAAATCGAAACGACATCATGTCGGGTTTTCGAGGTGCAACAGGACCCCATTTAGGCTATACAATGTGACTGTTTTCTGTTATGATGACTGTTAATTGTTATGAGTTTTTACTGTTATGACTGTTTACTGTAATGATGACCCTGAACTGTTATGACGGTTTCCTGTTATAAAGACTATTGACTGTTATAGCTGTTTACTGTCATGGTAACTGCAAAGTGTTATAACTGTGTATTGTAACAATGACTGTTTTTTTCTTTTAAAATAGTCTTTATTCAGCTTTTGGTCATTTTACATAACATAAACAATGACATAAAATAGACAATTCATACAATTTTCATTTTAATAGTTTTGATACAAAATTCCAATTTGAACAATAAAATACATTTTTTCTGTAGTTAATTTCATATTTTATCAATGAGATCATGCTTTCAAATGTTCTTTTCTACTGTTCAATTTTAAAATATATGATTTATAAATACTGTTTGTAACAATGCTGATAAAATAATTTTAAAAATGTGTATGTGAGTCTTGGCCATTATAACCAATTATAATTTTTCTGTAAGAAAATAATACAACAATGACTGTTAACCGGTATACATACTTTAGATAGATACTTTAAATACCAAGATTGCAATGTGTTCAATTAATTGTTTATTTAAGCAAAAAATGTGCTATATAAGGTTGTGAATTAACTGTAACCTTACCTTATCATACGAATCTGCCCAAGCGGTGTATATTCGTTGTGCATCATTTGGGGTTATTTTAGCGTCAGAATCATTTGACAATATCCGGCTGACAGAATTTACTACCTGCTTTTCTTTTCGCTCATGGTCACCAGTAGATTGTATTATGTCAATTACAGAGTTTACTATTGCGTTATTTTCCGACATTTTTAATTTTGACAAATGTGTTCACTCAAAGAAGTGGTGTCATATTGTCACCCCGGAATAGCCTGACTACGGTAAAGTCGGATACCGTTGTCACAAATGTAGGACATAACCGCGCTTCAACTGTTTAATCACTTGGTCCTAATTTCATGGGATTTTATCTTCGCTAATTCTGTGCATGCATTAAGCTCTTGTGATAATGTATCATATGAAATCCCATTTTCTATCAAATTGGGTCGGGAATCGCCACAATATAGCGTCTTCGATATCGTCAATGACAACGGAATCTGATTTTGAGTAATTTAGAAAGACAACGGCATATGGTAATTACAGTGTCCGTTGTCCCGTATCTCATTTTGATAGTTTAAATTAAAGACTTTATTTCGATGGTAGAACATAATTAACTGTACAATGAGTATTAAGACACTTTGATTGATTGTTGTTCCAAAGGAATTTAATCTAGGTGCTCTATTAAACATACAGTTCATGAAAATCTAATTGAAGCGACGGTTATGTCCGCCATTTGTGACAACGGTATCTGACTTTTCCGTAGTCAGGCTATTCCGGGGTGATTGTGAAATTATTAAGTTTGCAATCGATTCAGGTAATAGTGTATTTTTGGTATTTTTGTGATAATCAATGGAAACCAATGGCCTCTATTGGGATCTGCTGATATCTTCATATTAAGTCAATGATGCCTTCATATTAAGTCAATGATGCACAGTCCCATGTAAGTCAATACAACCTGACTGAACTAAATGGCCCCTATCTCAGCCAATGTGTGCCAAAGCACTTTGATACTTTTCAAAGAATTTTATGACATTCTATTCTTCATGCTACAACTAAGAATGATTCATTTTGACCATAGGGGTATTTGCCAAAAAACGCACATCTTCCTTTCCAAAAACAGAACCACCCTAAAAATGAAATGTAATTTGGTGTAAAGTTAAAAACATTTAATATAAGTTAAAAAATAAATGTTCAATCCTTTAAGCTGTTCTAAGGTACCTAACAATTTTCTAGAGCAACAAAGTGAACAAACAAGGATCTTCAATATCGCGCTGATATTTTTTATCTATTAGTGCATACATGTTCTAGATAAAAGTACATTTTAAGATATTTTTGACATATCAGGGAGGTTAAGCTACACGTTTTCAAGAGAACCTGTACGCGAACGAGTATTATTATGACCCTGGGGATTACTGTCGCCCCTCTCAATTTTTTTCTAGGGACCTACAGGGTGTCCCATATGTTTTAATCATTTTACTAAAAAAATCATATCTTGGCGTAAGGCTTTGAAATTTTCAACATGTATTTCTGAGGATGTAGTTAAAATGTAATAAAATTGTTGAAATGATGCAACAATGTCTTCATATATTTGAAGAATCAGAATGATCTGTCGTAGGGGTCTGCGGAGCAGTTTTTAACCGTTGTATTCAAACATAAATAAAAAAAATTCCCACATTTTCTACTTTAATACGTGAGACTAAATTAGTTCCATTGTGACTCTTATATGACATCATGCATGATATCATAGTGGGACAAAACCTACTTTACAACTTTTGCTTCAAACATGATAACGTACAGCTAAATCTACTTGTGTTACTTAAGGTCTCAAACTTTCTACATACTGAAATCTGAAACTCTCTTTGATTGCAATTGGCTTTGTTACTTGATTTTCTGAGGCATATGACAAAGATCCACATTAATATCAGTATGACGACGACAGGAGTACCAACTGGAACGTCTACCCATATCCTTAATGCTGAAGGACCGCTGTTTTTGTTTAATTTTAAGCTATAATGACCTCTGTCGTAATGGTCAAAACTAGGTCAACACTAACCATTTGATATTTGACCTGCATATACTTGCTGTTCTCTAGGATCACAGTATTTATAGGTTTTCACTCAACTGCCAACTTGTTTGAAAATGATGAGGGTGATAATTGATTCTAAAAATAGCCATAGTGCTTGGTTGTAATTTCAAGAAGCAGATTATTTGAAAAACTGTGTCTCGATTGCTTGGAATTTGATATATCAGATCTACTGTAGCTATTCGAGGGTTGTCCCAGAAGTAATGCACTATATGCTCTAACTTTCTTTAATATTCTTCAATTCAGCTGAAATTTTGTGTATATAACAATTGAAGTTTTATCTATTATATCCTGAAGTTTCAGCATCCAGTATTAATATTAAGTCTTAATATGGTTGCTATAACAACATGAGGGTAGGGGTGGGCGGGGCAGGTACCAATTTTTTAATTATGAAAAGATCTAAAGTGTTATTTTATTAATATTTCTTTCCTTTAAATGGTCAAAATGTTCGGGAAATTGTTGAATTCATTCAGCATGATGTTAACCAAGTACGAATAATGACATTTAGCACTGTGATGTCATAATACTACATTTCAATAATCACGAATTCAAATACAGTCACAGTCAAAAAATTACAAAAATGGCTGCAATTCTCACCTGATAACAGAAGGCCTTGCGTTTGGTGGCCTAAATGCATAATTCACTTGGAGTCACAGCCACGCAAAACAATGCTACCATGACGAAAGTATATAAGGAGTGTATACCAGATAAAACTACAATTATGGAGTGGCAGAAGAGATTTAAAAGAGATGATTTGACCCTCCAAAAATGGGAGGCAAAAACTCCACAAGTCACAGTGGAAGAAATTGCCGAGAGTGTTTGACCTGACAGTCATCAAAAGTACATAACATGCAAAGGGCAGTATTTTGAGAAAATGTGAAATGAGACACTGTGCAATATACATCCATTAAATCTAGGATGTGCTCATAGTAATTTAGTATCTTAAAATGTATTTTTGAGCATACTTCTTATAGCTACACCAAATGGTATTTGTTGATTAATTATTTCATATTTTCAATTTTTTATTCCTTTTGACGTGACTGTATAACCTGCCCCGCCGTACCCAAACTCACCAACTTGATTTTATTATAACATCAATATAGTTTTATCAGTCAACATGGAAATTTGTAGAATAATCAAAATGTCTCTAAGGAACATTTACTGAAAATTTCATGGAAAAATATCAATTATTGATAAAGTTAGAGCATATAGTGCATTACTTCTGGGACAACCCTCGTATGTTAAAACAGTATTGGCCATTTCTAATGATCAAAGGGTAGTGATAGACTATGGTCCACTCTAATAATTGTAACATCTTCCTTTCATGTAAGGTTATACCAATATATTGATAATATGAATTTTCATAAAATCATATACAGATTAGAAAAAATACTCCTAAGTTATCATTTAAATCATACTTGTGTAGTGGCTAAGGTTTAGTTTTAAGTCTGGCAAACCAGGTTCGAATTCCAGAGGAGTCATTTTTTCTTCAACTTTGCAAATGGACAACAATTACATTTTCTTGATCTCTTTATCATAATAAATTCGTATTTATTACTTTCAAGAATTTTATTATAGATAAAAATGATTGTGTGCCCCTTTTACAAACGAATAAAATAAAATTTGATTCTATGCGATGGACAGTGATTATTCATACTTTTGAACAAAAACATGTTTGAACTAGACACTGTCAAATCTCAATCTTTCACCAATTTTGCTCGATTTCAAAATATTTTGAAACAAATAAGTCAACTGATTCTATAAACAACTCTGAATCCATTAATTGCTTTGTCAGAATACCAGTTTGGAAAATATTCTTCTTTCACCAATGTCCATTTTTGGTCATTTTCAAGTCGCTTCATAGCTTCTGTAAACCCCACCATTTCTTTAAGGGCGTCACCTCGTATTTGCATTAGCAGCAGACCTCCTGAAATTAAATTGACTAAATTACATCTATGTTGGCTAAATTATATTCAGTTAAAATACAATGCAACAGAGATAAATAAAGTTTATATAGAGGTATGCATTCATGAACTATATTTTGGAAATGCACAACACGGACTAGGAAGCCAATCATATCTGACAGATAACGCCACCTTACAGTGCAAACACATGAAACACATGATTATGGCTGGCTATTATTATTAGAGGCCATTAGATCGTTTAACACACAGATCTTACCGGGTTTAATAATGCGGATTAATTCAGGAAAGCAATCCTCTGTAACGTGGGACTTGTAGAAACAAGCAGTAGCAACAGCGCCATCATATGTATCTAGAAATATAGATCTTTCCTTTTATACAATACTGTTCATAAATCATAAGGGTGATGTACTGGGAGTAGAGGTGTCAAGTATTAACCGGTTAACCGGTTAACCGCCGATAATGCCTTGACCGGTCTGTGTTTTTATGGGCGGTTAGTTGACCGTGTATAATTCTGTTATTTCCCGCGCTTATTTTGCATGCTTATCCGTTTGGTTTTATGGTGTCAGTTTCACGTAAGCTACTCATACATGCCATAAGTCCCATAACTCATTACAAACATCCAATCAGTAACTTTAATCCCTGCCACATTGCTTTCCCGCGCTTACTTTGCATTTTAATCTGTTTGTTTTTCAAGCGCCAGTTTCACTAATGCCTAGGTCACATAGCCGCCTGGCGCCGGCCGATGAGTAGGCATCGGCCGATTTATAAATCGACCGGGCGCCGGTGACTTTTCACCGATGTCTTGATCTAATCGTGAGTATGGTCACATTAGTACAGGCATCGTACGGCGCCCGCAATCAATTGAATCTGAAAGACATCGCACGGGTATCGCAAGGCTATCTGCCGATGGCCGCACGGCACCCGCCAGGACATCAGTCGATCTACAGGCCTCTAGATTTATACTAAATTCTTGTATGACCCAGTATGACTGTTCCACATGGCATGAATGCAAGATTTGAAAACGAAATACTTCGATAGACAGGACTTCCAGGATAATAATGTTTTCATGCAATAAAAATCAGAAAAAGTAGATCCTCTAAATAGGTTCAATATTTAGAAGAAAATGCTGACATGGGGTCCCTATTCATAATTTTTCAAATTGTTTGATTGATATTTTTACTAACATGGAACTTCAATTAAAAGAAAATATATTGTTTTAATAAAAAACACTGTATTTATGCCCAGAAAGTACTCATGGTGAAAGATATGACCGTCTAAAATCACTTGCCATACTGCACGTGGTCTTTTCATCAAAGTGCACCCTGACCTTAATTCATTTTTAGATCTTTCATATAAACAAATACTATGTCTACCTGTGTCTATCTGATGCTATTAGCAAAATTGCCTATTTCTGTATCTTTCTTTTGTCTGTTCTCGTAAATTTGTTTGGTCATAAAAATATGGCCTATCATCAAAGAAATTGAAAAGTTTTTCCTTTATTTCAAATGGAAAGCCCTGTTCCCTAGACACATCTAAATCTTCATCATCCACCAGCTCACTAGCATTGTTATTGTCTTTTTCCACCTGTCTTCCCAAGGCCTTCCTCATATATGGTCCATTGGCCTTATCCCCTCTATCCTTAGCCTTTGGCATATTAACTGTAATTGAGACAGTAAACGTTCGTATTAAAATTGTGACCCTTGAAAATACTGTACTCACAAAAACATTCAGAAGATTAATGATTGTAATGGTATATGCATGAGTGAATATACGCATAAAAATGTATCACTCTATTCAATGTGTATGACAGACATACACGATTAATGTCAATATAAGAACGACTAGATCAACCTACCCACCCACCCAGCCATTCAAATGTGTGTCATTGTTTTACAGTAAGCCTAATCGTTTCATTTATGTTTTATAAAAAATCTCTGACAGTGTGTAGTAAATATAATTCCTTACCTCATTATTTCTAAAACCTTTATATCACTTTATAAGTAATCATTATTAATATTTATCAACAAATCAGCACGCAAAATCCCAAGATGACCGTGCGATGCCACCGGGCGCCGTAAGATAATCGTACGATGACCGGACGGGACACGGCCGGGTAGGTACCGATGAGTTTGGTTGAGAAAAAATCGCCAAGACATCGGCAACTTTTATCTCCGCGATAAAACTCTGCCGGCGCCCGTACGATGTCTAAAAATCGGCCGATGAGTGGCGATCATCGCCCGGCGCCCGTACGATGCCCGGGCTCGCCGGCCGATTTTGAACAAAATACTCATCGGCCGGGCGCCGTAGTGAAAATTGGAGCCTATGTGACCAAGGCATTACTGGGAGGTTTTGGATAAACTCTATATTCAAAACCGACTGAACATAACAGATGAATCCTATACCTATGATTTTCTAGGTACATTTTAAAGCCTCTGTACCTTCAAATGTTCCAAAATGTATAAATTGGATTTAAAGAGGATTTGCTCCCAGGGTTCCAACTTCTTTGTGTTTTAATTTTTTGTTTTTAAAAAGACCAAAACTCGCGATGCAAATTCTGAAGTGAAAAATGGCTGCTGTTTGATTTTGAATTTTGTAATCACGACATGGCAGAATATTGAGTTGGATCCCTTGGAGCCAATCCTCCTTTAAATTGGGGTTTTAAAATTAACTTTGAAAGTGTTAATATGTTTAATTGTAATGAATTAACTAATGCTCATAGGCATTGATTTCTATTTTAATTCGATTCATTGAATAGCACTGCATTAGGAGGTACAGGTAGGTGTAGCTCTTATTTATAACTATATTCTTTATAGTGCTGGATATGCACATTCTCGTCTAGATCATCATCATCATCATTACAATCTTTGATGTCCAGTGCGTTAGGCCCAAGGAAATCACAAATCAGTCGGTTGTAAACATTCTTAGACTTGGCTACATCTAGCATGGCCTGGTTAGCATCTACAGCATCAATATCCCTGAACCCCTGTTTGTGGAGCTGAAAAGAGAAATTCGGTTAAGTGGGCCACAAAAGACTTATAATTAGGTCTGAAAAGTAAAAGTTTCAAGGTTAAATATCAATGTCATAAAATAAGGTCACAAATAATATTATCTTAGTTTCTCAAAAGGGCAACCGGACAAGTCATCCCATAGACAACTCATCCTCTAGACAACTAATCCCCTAGACAACTCATCCCCTAGATAACCCATCCACTGGACAACTCATCCCTTTGAGTAATTTGATGTTATATTATCTATTCATAAATGATGTTCAAATGATTTTACATGTTTTGGTTACGAATATGATCACATAAAGTTCATGTTTCTAAGTTATGCAGAAAGAAATCTTTATTTTTTGTCAAAAAATATTGTGCCATGTAATATAGATAAGGACAAGAGATGAGAGTTTTATTGGCACCGTTTGACTGATATCACACAAGCACTTTCTTAATCTTGTGTAACCTCGGATTGTACGAATATAACCGTCTTCCTATGGGAGTAGTGACAAATGCCCTAGCATGTTTTCAGAGACTGATTGACAGATGTATGATTCTGGAAATTCAAGTCAGTTCTAGCATTCCTAGATGATTAAATTGTGTATTCCAAAAGTTTTGAGGAACATTTGCAGCATATACAAAGTGTTTTTGACAAATTGAGATCCTTTAACCTGAAATTAGGTCTATCAAAATGTTGTTTTTAGAAAATCTGTGAAATTCTTTGGACATATTGTGTCACGTGATGGCATAAGTACAGATCCTGAGAAAGTAGAAGCAGTCCAAAATTGAGAAACCCTTGGAGCTTTTAAACAATTCCTTTGGTTTGTAGGCTATTATCGGAGATTCATTCGTGGATTTTCAATCATCAGTGAACCATTGTATAACATCCTTAAAGGTCACACAAATTCTAAGTCCATCAGAAAGTATGATATATCCAAAGAGTGGGGTTATAAATGTACTAAGGCTATGAGTGAGTTGAAATCTGAAATATGCAAAGCTCTTACACTAGCAATCCCAAACCCAAAGCTTCCATACAAGCTACATACAGACGCTAGTTCGAGTGGTCTTGGTGCTGCTTTATACCAAAAGCAAGATGGTGTTTTAAAACCTGTAGCATTTGCCAGTCGTAGCCTGTCCCAAAACCATCCAGTGCATAAACTCGAATTTTTGGCTTTGAAGTGGTCAGTTACTGATAAGTTTCATTATTTATTTTTTTACGAAATACATATTGCAAAATCTCTGGGCCTTGCCTTGTTCGAGTTACACGAAAAATTTTAATCCTCAACATCTGTAGCTTCCAACTCAATTTTCGAAAGCCAGATCATTTGAATTAATAGTACCTCTTGTCCAACAGTACCAGTGCCTGCCGCTATATCGAGAACTTTAACACGTGGCCTCTCTACTTCTGGGAACAGCTCAGCGAAGTGCCTGGCAGCGCGTAATGGGGTCTTGTAGATGTACACGTTGTCGTCATGGTCCTTAAAACAGTCAAAATACATTTGTTCCTTTACATGCGCATCACCCTGATTGATTAATCAATTAAGCATTAAGGTGCTATGGAAGTTAACAGGAAATGAAAAAACAGGAAGTGACAAATTTTTTTGCATTTTAAACATTTTTTGAACAAAGATAACAGAGTTCTATTTTAACCTCCAGTCAATTCAACTAGTTCCAAATACCATTTACAGGTCCAGGATCACAATGTTCATGGTCAGAATGACCCTAAACATGATGAAATAACCTTTTCAGCCCTCTGAAAATTTGACTGAAAAATAGCTAAAAGAAGGAGGTAGGAAAGGTCACTGAACAGAATCTTTCGAATTTTTCAGAAAATTTGCCCAATATATTGCTCTAAATGATACAATCTTTGAAAATTTGATATCATTCATAGAAAAAGAAAAAAATGGAAAAACTGATTTGAAAAGCGATCTATTTTCCTTTTTATGACCGCCATTTTTGTTTAACACAATTTTCTAAAATTTCAAAGATTGTATCAGTTAGAGCATTTTATTGGGTACATTTTCTGAAAAATTCAAAAGATTCTGTTCAGTGACCTTCCCTAGCTCCTACTTTTAGTTTTTTTTCAGTCACACTTTCAAAGGGCTAAAAAGGTTATTCCATCATGTTTAGGGTCATTCTGACCATGCACATTGTAATCCTGGTCATGTAAATGATATGTGGAAATAGTTACATTGACTGGAGGTCAAACCAGAACTCTGTTATCTTTGTTCAAAAATGTCTAAAAATGCAAATTATTTTTCACTTCCTGTTTCGTCATTTCCTGTTAACTTCCATGGCACCTTAAGAATCTGACCTCTGTTCGAATTTTTAGTGAAGACGAAATTAGATATTAACCATTTCATCACAAATGGGTCATTTATTAATAATTGTTGTTGCACACTGGTCAATAGGTGCTTGAGACAGATGTAGCATGGTACTGTTATGTGTAATTGTTTACATCCAAAATACTATATCTTATCTGAATGAAATTCACTCAATAGCATAGCATTCAATGAGCCTTGCCAGCAGGTATCACGAAAAAGATCAATAGGCTTCGCGATGAAAATTACATGCTCATATGTTTTCAACGATAACAGTTCATTCAAGCGCACTTAAAACGTTTAATACCGCTGTGCCAACTTTGTCAGTCGACTCGTTCCGGTGTAAAAGGGTAGGTGGTTCTATCAAATTTTGGTTCTACTCTCTATTGATTTATATGGTGACCTAATTACAATTATTTTCCTTATATTTACACATAGTCAGGGCCAGTAAGGGCCGTAAGGAAAGGGGACCGTAATCCCGAGGGGCCCATAATTTCTTTTACACCGGTCAATCGCGCACCACAGCACTCTATTATACCTAACCCCTAGAAATGCATAAGATACCCTGTTTGTCTAAATGTATTTTTTAGTATATTTTTAAAGTACCTTGGGCATCCGAAAAACCATTAATAAGGAACAGAAAAATAAAAACAAATAACATAATCATTACTAATAAGCCAAATGGGTTGCTCATTGCAACATAACGCAAGTTTTTGCAAATCGCAATCAGGATTTGTATCATCCGCTCAGCGCAACGTAACGCAATCGCAAATTGAAAGATGTTTCAATCGCAACTGACCAAAAAGTTGCAATAGCTCTTACCCTACCGCAAATCACTCGCAAATCTTACCCATTTTTAAGACACTTGTTATCTATTTAAATGTGTCAATCTAGGCGTTTCTTTATTGATTGCGTAAGTATGTTCTTTTCTTAAGGCCACTGTGTCATAAAAAATCAGTATTTTTCGAAAATGCTTAAATTAAAGGAATCGTCAATGGTATGAGGGGTGTTTAAATCATTCGAATTTATAATGATTAAATGCCAATTCTGATCGCAAATCCAAGAAAACGAAAGGCTACGTTCATTCCTGTGTAAAAGGGTAGGAGGCCCTGTCAAATTGTGGTCCTACTCTCCTTGATTCATATGGTTAGCTAAATACAACTCTTTCCCTGATTATCTTATACGCAATCAGGGCAAGTAAGGGCCGTTCAGAAAGGGGACCATAATCCCTGGGGGACCATCATTTCTTTCACACTGGCATCGCTTAAATTGGCATAACTTTGACTGAGGTTCTTTGCAACAGGCAACTCACAAATGACAAGTAGGGGATTATTTGGAATAACCCAAGCATCTGTCTCAAAACGACTACGGAAATAAGCAACTCCTCCCCTATTTTCCTAACATCGAGCGTGTAGCTTTTAACCCGTGTCATATCACTAAATGAATTAGTTTCCTCAAGACCCTAATTAAAATTGTAAAATGTAGGATATCTCATTATCAGGTAAATTGGATGTGAAACCGAAATGCTGGTAATACGACATGTGTTAAAGGTTAACGGAATATTTCATATCAAAATGCTGGTAATAAGACATGAGTTTAGGTTAATGCTAGCGAAGTTGAAAAGATTCAAGAGCCATCCAGACTTTTTGAACAGAAGATTTAACCTATAGAACATTTGCCTTAAATCTACTGGACACTTGAATTACATAAAACCCTTAAAGCTAGATTTATTGCTGGTTGTAGAGTTTGTTCTAAAAATATTTCTGGCATATTAACTAGGTCGTTCCCGGTGACCGAAAAATGAGATGGAGGGTGAATAGGCAATTTCTGCTAGAAAATTAAACAAATCTGGAAGATTTATTTTTTCAAGAGAGAGTTTACTATTGAATTGTTGATTGAATAGGTGCATGGTATGGTAGAATATGTTGGTCTTCTAGGTTTTTTTGAACCGATACGCTTCTATGATATCACCCTTGGTATACGCAGCTAACGAAAATTGACCGGTACGGGTCAAAAGCTGGACCGGTACGGGTTAACGGTTTTATTTGAATTTAAAACAGCCATAACTTGCTCAATATTGACTTCCTCGTGTCTAATTGTCTAATTGTCTAACGGAGGTGCACAGATTTGAAAGAAAATGTGTTTTCATCAGTATTAAGACAGTTGGTTTATTTCACTGTAGATGGAGCAGCTTTTAAGTTGGAAAATAAGTTGGCGAAATTATTGGTATTTTTTCTTTGCATAATGTCATGATCCTCCGGGATCTTGCCAAAATTAGACAATCCTACCCCGTGCCTGAGGTTGCAAATGTTTTGGAGAGAAGTGTAAATTTACAATTTTTATCAGTTGGTCATATAAATTGAATATATGTTTCTGGTTATTGCAATGAATTTTTCCACAAATATTTTTTGGGGGAAATCCCGACCGGGGGTTCGTCCGAACCCATCGAACCCCCTGTCCCTACGGCTATGTTGTAAAATAGAGTTACATTTCATTGGGCTCAAGTAATTGTTTACAGTATTTTAGCAAAAAGGTGCTGTATGTACAAATTTTAAATGTTTGGAACCACTTTTAATCTTAAAAAGCAATCAATGGACCATATTGAAAAAGTAAATGTAAAACTAGAAACATTTATACATGGCCTAACTTATGTATATTTTAGAATCAATGGACCATATTGAAAAAGTAAATGTAAAACTAGAAACATTTATACATGGCCTAACTTATGTATATTTTGGTTTGTTTTGTATGGCTATCATATGTGAGGCCTCTTATATTTTGAAACTTCTTTGCCATGTTATTTTCGAAAACATTACATGGGTGAAACTCCCTAAATTACAAAAGGCCACAGCTTTGCTGCACATTATAAATAACTTTCTGGAATATACAAAAGTTAAGCCTAGTACACGTGTTTCATTAGATTGCTTATTTTTTTAAATTCAAAGTAGTTCCAAACATTGAAAAGTTTACTGTATAGATGTGAATTTAACTGTTACCGTACCTTATCATACGTATTTGCCCAAGCGGTGTATATTCGTTGTGCGTCATTCGAGGTTACTTTAGCATCAGAATCATTTAGCAATATCCCAATAGAATTTGATACTTGGTTTTCTTTTCGCTCACGATCGCCAGTAGATTGTATAACTTTAATTACAGAGTTTATTAGTGCGTTATTTTCCGACATACTCTAATGTTGGCAAATCTATTCACTCAAACGAGGTGGTGTTCGTATTGATTGTATATGGCATGCCATTTGAACTTATACACTTATGTGGAGGGAAATTCCCATGATGCAAAACTTCAGTGATCGTTTATGCTTTAAATGGAACATAATAAATTTACTTGTTTTTATAGGTCACTATGTGTGTTATATCGTTCCATTATTTCCACATTGTTATATCTCACTTTTTATAGGTTTTGAGATAGGTATCATATCTTTCTCAATTTTTCACGAGGAATTCATTTCTGAGGTCCATTTCAATGGATCTCATCTCCTTTTGGAGATATCCAGTGTAGCATGGGGGGTATAAATGGCAATACACGGGTTACTAGAGTATCCGCGTATATTGAGTATGACCGGTTCTTAGGCTACGAATATGACCTGTTTTGGAAAGTCATGAGAGGCACAGCTGCTTAAAAATGGAAAATAAAGGTTAACTTCTATATTATCCTTTTTGAAATTGTGTTTGTTGAATAAAGTTTATGCTGTATTTAATAGTAATGTAACAAAAAATGTTAAACATGAGCTATTTTAGCAATGTAACTGTTCATAATGGAATATCAATCAGAAAGTACAGATTTCTCGCCTTAGAGCCAAATCATTAATATCACAGTAGAAAAAAACAAATCCCAAACCTTTTTATGGCTAACCTGAACAAGATCTCCAAATCTCAGTTTATATGATCCCCCGTAGAGTGAGCAAGAGAAGGATTTATCTTTTCCCAGAGGATACGCTTGTGAAATGTCATGGAAACGAGTGTAACACGGCCCACTGATTGTGTCACAACCGTATTCTCCAATAATGTGGCACCAGTGACATTCGTATTCTCAAAAATTCAAAGATGTATCATATTTGGACAGAGCAGGCTAAATTATTTAAAATATTCATGACTAATTCGTAGATCTAGCTATGTATTATATATAAGATGTGTCATCCTCTTCGGAGTTGCGTTGTGTTACACAAAAACTGATCAAAGATGCTGGAAACTAGGATTTTACGGCTTCAATCTGATATTAATACGTTTTCTCTTGATTAAGGCCCCTTGTGATATGCCTGGCATTATAAGTATCATTCATTGACCAAGTAGGATAAAAAGAAAACGTTCGAAAGTGTTCATGAAAAGCAAGTACTCACCTCGTCTGTTTATAGGAACAGAAATACGGTCACACTCGTAAGCTTAGAACCGGTCATACTCAATATACGCGGATACTCTAGTATCCCGTGAATAATTCGCAGATACTGAAAAACTAGACCCTATTATTTTCAAAATCAATGAGAAATGATATATTTCATATAATTAACATAATCAGAAAAATGCAATACTGTAAGAAAAAGCATGGACCAAACTCATCCAGTACCTTATCAGCCAAAATGGAACACAAGCCATATTCTTTATAATTAGAATAATGGTATACGAGAGAATAACAAAATGGAAGTGATTAAAATTTCATTTTTTGGTTATTTTGATATTTCAAAAACAAGTAACCTTAATAAAAAAGATGTGTTTTGTTTATTTTTGATCAGTGATTTTTGATCTGCAAGGCCTACACATAAACATGATCACCTTTACGAAAAAAATAAGTTTTTAAAAGTTATGAAGACCTAAACTTCAAAGTCTGATTTCTCAATATCAGCGAAAATGCAATTGTAACAATGTGGAAATAATGGGTTGAGATCACGTGGCCATGTACTCACTTTATCTTCTCTTGCCAATAAATCTACAATATGCAATCTAGGTCAGTAGCGTAACGACCAGCTAGGACTGCGTTTTTTGAACTGCCCGCTGTGCAACTATATTGCATATCTAATAAGTTTCCCCCTAGGTATCATGAAAGAGAACAATAACCATGAGTTGCAAATTACCTGATCATATGTTTTCAACAAAATCAGTTCATCTAAGCGCATTTAAACCGCTTATTACGCTGTGGCAACCTTGTCGGCTGATCGCGTGTGTCAACCACGTCTGCTCGTTGCTAGTGCACCGCAGGAGCTCCACTGCAATAGCAATTAATAAACCATGGTCGCTTTTAAAAGAATTATGTGCGCCTGGATAAGCTTTATTTTTTGAAAATACATGAGCATGTGATTTGCACTGCATGGCTTATTGATACCTGGAGAGAAACCTCATTAAAATATTACGCAATTCACTACAACTGCGGGCATACAAAAATACAGCATAGTTAAACGAGATTACATGTGACTAGTGATCCCTTCACATTAACAATTTCTCGCTCTATTTTATGAGCGAGAAGTCCTTTTGCCATTACATTCAAATCATTTCTTATACTCGCGTTTATTTGAGATAGTAGACTCGTCTTCTGAGTGAGGTCCTGTTGCGCATATTCGAAAGTAGGATGCGCCCTAAAAGCAATGAAAAAAAAGATTTACCATTTTTAGAACAGTGTGATAATACCTGGGAGTTATATCGAAGAAGAAATAAGGAGGTTGAGTTACACGTTTCATTTAAAAAACTTGTACATGAACGTGTAGAATTATGGTCCTCTATTGATAAGTTCTCCCATTTGAACTATTTACTTGACCGATTGAGTATAAAAGTATACTGAAATAATTGTTATTAGGTCCCTGGAATAGTGTATTGGGAGCGGGACAGTAGTCCTCGGGGTCGAAATATTACAAGCTCACGCACAGGTTCTCTAAAAACGTGATACTTAACCTCCCTAATGAGTGAATAATTTTTGTTAATTTTTTTTCTTGTGTTTTTGTTACCTACACTGCATAATTAGTCATTGAAAATATGTTCTACGAATATAATATAATATATATAATAATAATAATAATAATATATATATATAATAATATGTTCTCGTACTAGTGATTTCGTATCTTTAAGTGATTCCGTAGTTAATGTCTTGTAATGTAGCTGATTCATTCCAATCAGGCGTTATTTCCTAAACTTAGCACTCAATTCTGCGAATCTCGTACAAAGTTTGAAACAACACCTTGAAGAAATGATAATCAGTCCATAATGCAGTCCAGGGCTTAAATTCTTAATTAGACATACAGTCAGAATATATAAACATTCCAATACCTCTGTAACATTCAATAACTGGTATATCGTATTCATTTGCCATTATATTTAAAGAACGAAGAATCATGTACCATTCTATATTGTAAATACAAAAGCATGTGTGTATGTACTAATCAACCACTGAATCAACACACATAATGCACGAATGCTTTTATATTTTCAATATAGAATGATACATAATCGAAATTAAATTTGCTGACATTATTGTACTACTCAAATGCACCTGGGTTATTTTTAGATTCTAGAAACTAATGAAACTGATAAACTGATCAATTTCATAGTTTAGTGAAAATCTATAAATAATATCATAGAGAATAACAAGTCCGTATGCAGGTCAAATTGTAAGAGTAAATGGATGCCAAGGTGATGAAATTGTTGTCAATGTTGACGTAGTTCTACCCTTGCGGTTTCTTTTTTGGAAAAGTTTTTATTTTTCAGAAATACTAGCTATAGATAGGGATTTTGGGTTACAATTGATATTCGTTCAAAAACTATTGTGAATGTTTGTTTGTCAGAATATTAAAGGAAATAAAGAAAATTAAGTTGATGCAGAGCACCCTGGATTAGCCTGACTACGGTAAAGTCAGATACCGTTGTCACAAATGGCGGACATAACCGTCGCTTCAATTAGATTTTCATGAACTGTATGTTTAATAGAGCACCTAGACTAAATTCCTTTGGAACAACAATCAATCAAAGTGTCTCAATACTCATTGTTCAGTTAATAATGTTCTACCATCGAAATAAAGTCTTTAATTTAACCGATCAAAATGAGATACGGGACAACGGACACTGTAATTACCATATGCCGTTGTCTTTCTAAATTACTCAGATTCAGATTCCGTTGTCATTGACGATATCGAAGAGGCTATTTTGTGGCGATTCACGACCCATTTTGATCGAAAATGGGATTTCATATGATACATTATCACAATAGCTTAATACATGCACAGAATTAACGACGATAAAATCCCATGAAATGAGGACCAAGTGATTAAACAGTTGAATCGACGGTTATGTCCGCCATTTGTGACAACGGTATCCGACTTTACCGTAGTCAGGCTATTCCGGTGTGCAGAGGAATAATGAAAATTCAGTTGGAAAATCATAGCATTGACTGAAATTAACACAATAATGATATGCCACCCCTTTTTAAAGAGTAACACAGCTCAGTCCTGCATTTAATTTTTGATAAATGCACACAAAATCATGTCCATGTGTATACATGGTGTCAAATAAGTCCCGTCCCCCCTCTACAGCCAAAACCAAGATATTTGGTACCAAGTGTGATATATCATTGGAAAGGTATTCCGAAGTTACGTTGATTGGCATATATCTGACACATGTCAATCAATCTCACAAATTTTGACATTGTATCAATTGAGGTGACCATAGGCCTAGAAACATGGCAATTTGGCGTATTTGGCAGATTTTTAAGAATCTGGTATAAGAAAGGTCAAAGGCCCAAAAGATGGCTCAATATGTATATGGCAATGAATTCAACCAATTGTTGGATAGGGTTAGATGTGTAGCAAATAGAGGTGCAAGGAACGTGGTGAATACCTTTTTATGTAACAAGTGGAATGCGAAAAAGTAATTGAGAGTTGGTGAATTAACATAATTTTGGATGATCTTTCCAATGGTATATCACACAAGGTACCGTCTATTAAGGTTTTAGCTGTAGCAGGGGGGACGGGACTTATTTGACACCCTGTATCAATAAATCAACGCACCGAAATGCTTTAAGCTGATTGCCTGAGGCACACTTGGCATGTTTGAATATGTTTTACAAACATTAACAATCATTTGATGTTTGACCCTTGGTCATTTATAAAGATAAATTCTGAAAACATAAGGCTTTAAGTAGTAAAAAAGATAATTAGATATGAATTTCCTAAATATTTCCCATAATTTTGTCGCATCTTCACTGGCCATATTTTTTAAAAAGCTCAAATTAAAACCAACCTCCTGTGATACAATTATTAAATTGAACAATGACATCTACATTGGAAATTAAAATTTACGTGTACATAATCATAATCCAAATCACTGTATTTATATTTAGATTTGCTTGTGTGATTTATTTGTATCCTGTATAATACATTACAAGTAGTAGGAATTCTTTACAAGGTCAAAAATAAGATAAATAACGCTGCAATGATGTATATTTATTACTCTCTTATACATATATATATATAGCCATATAAATTATTGTATTCTTATCTGGGGAACAGCAACTAAAGCTCTATTGCTTCAAATGCTGAAAGTACAAAAAAGATTCTTAAGACTAATTACAAACAGTGTTAGAACAGACGATTCCTCTCTACAATTTAAGAAAATAAAGATACTTAAATTAGAAGATATTCATAAGTTAAATGTTGGTATTTTTGTATTTAATTGTCTCAAACGACCTAAAGAATTTCCTCAAACTTTATTCTATGACTACTTCATATCAAATGCTCAAACTCATGGTCAAGAGACACGTTATAGATTCAATCTTAGAACTAATCGATTTAAATCTACATTTGGACAAAGGAGCATTAAATACATAGGACAAACAACATGGAATGAATTACCTGAAACTTTTAAACATCTGAATTCTAGAAATAAATTTAAGTCAGATTTGAAAAAGTATTATCTGGACAAGTATTAAATTGAATAACATTTAGCTATATGTGCTTATATATATGTATATTTCTTTCTCTTCTATTACTTCACTCCTAACTTTCTATCTTTAAAAACAGTTTTATATCTTGTCATCTTGATTAATACAATTATGTAATATAATCATATGTAACTATATACACCAGTTGCCTGTACACTGAACACTGATATAATTGATGAATAAACAACTATGCAAACTGTACATGAAAATTAAAATGTTTACGTTTTTAACCCCTTGTTGTAACAGGTAAAATTTGACCTAAAAGACGAAAAAATGAAGACATATATGCAACGTTCAAATGCAAATGTTGCTCTGCTATAATGTGCTACGGAATCCTCATATTGAGGACTCTTGTCATGGACTATACCTCTAGATAACTAATGATATACAATATATCTTACCCATTTGTCATTGTTATCTATTATGTACATCTTCATATTCCAGATCGGAATTATGTCATGGACAAGAATACAATTTATGATTTACAAAAATTCATGGTTAGTACATACACACTTGTTTTTCCAATAAAGAATGATATAAGATTCCTTAAAGGCCCAATGTAAAGTTTAGCATAATTGACTTTACAACGTGTATGCATCTATTTCGATATATTTGATTCTGTAAACATTATGTGACAAATATATAGCTGTTCTTGACTTAAATAAATATATATTTAAAAAAAAGTTTGGAAATATGTTTTCATCATTCATTTACTGTTTTTTATGACTTGATAAAAGTTGCTAGCTTTTTGAAATTAAAAAAAAGTTTCACATATCACACTTTGATAAGATTGAGTATAAGACTACAATATAAGCCAAAGTGGTTTAAAATTTATATAGGGGTTTTAAGTAATTCACTTCTTGTATGGACGATTTTTCCTACGAACTTCAATAATTACAGGAAAAAGCAGGTTTATATCCCAGCCGATTGATTGTGTAAGTTTCGAATCATTGTGAATTATACGGATTTTACTAGACTGTTCGCAAAAATAATGTTTAAACTTAAGCACAGGCAGTTCCATGTCTCCGGGCTATCCCAAGCACTTCTAGATACAAGCTAACAAAATAAGTTGCCTCGTGAGGCCAGTTAATACTACGACTAAGATTTGTCTGACATCATAGCCAAATACTCATATGGCGGGAAAAGCAATCAATCATACATCGTTTCCATATGGTTTGATATTGAGTATGCACTATACATAAGATCTAGTGGAGGTCTCATTCCATATCCCTGTGTTCTACTATGTCCCGGTGTTGACCCGTATGCCTCAGAGTCGTAAATCGGATTAATATACGCTGGACTGATTTGATCATTTTCACTGATAGATGATCTTTTCCGCGTTCCCCGGCCCTTTTCAGTATCAGACCATCTAGAGCTGGACTTCTTTGAATGCCTTTTCCTACAATTTGAAAGATGACAAGTGCTGACTATCAGATGAACATAACCGTTATAAAGTTATGATATGACATGATAAAATTATGCATCTTGATAAAAGTAAAAGCAATACTTTTGGGAAAAGTCGACGTGTTGTATTGTAGCAATTGCGCTAATACAAATGATGTTAAGGTAATTATATGGTGGAATCTTTTCCTCGCAGTAAAATTTTATATTAACTATAATTTGTTGACATGATGCCCATTCCAAACTTTTTGTATACTATATGCGTGTGTTCCCGAACAATTGAACATAAAGATTTTCAAATAGGATATTTTCAAGACTGAAATTGGGTGTACAAATCTTCAAGGCTGACATTGGGCGTACGAATCTTCAAGACTGTTGTCAGACTTGCCAACCTAAAATGAAAAATTTTCGGGAGATTTAAAAAAAATTGCGGTTCTTTTACGTTTCTTTTTTCAAAATCCGGTAGTTTTTGCGGGAGTTTTTTGAAAAAAGCGGGAGTTTTTACGGGAGATTTTTGAAAAAACGGTAGTTTTTACGGGAGTTTTTGCGGTAAATTTTGAAAAACGGGAAAAAACGGGAGTTTTTACGGGAGATTTTGAAAAAAAACGGGAGTTTTTACGGGGGATTTTGAAAAAACGGGATTTTTTACGGGATTTTTTTAAAAAAGGTATTTTTCGCGGTAAATTTTAAAAAACGTGACTTTTTTACGGAAGATTTCAGAAAAAACGGGAGTTCATACGGTAGGTTTCTGAAAAAACGGGTGTTTTTACGGTAGATTTCGGAAAAAACGGGAGTTCATACGGTAGATTTATGAAAAAACTGGAGTTTTTAGGGTAGATTTATGAAAAAAACGGGAATTTTAACTTTATTTTTACTTTCACAATCTGCGTGAGGTTCCATTTTTAGGTTCGGTTTTTCGCGCATGAGCATTAAATCCAGCGATTTAATAGGTTGAAATTATTATGACGCATGCGCAGTTAATAAATTAATTAGAACTTATAATCTAAGATAGATGTCACTTACGTTCATTATTTCACAGCAGTCCCTACCCATAATGCGCATTATATTGCGGGAATATTTTGTTTAGCGTCATATAAAAACAAAATGTATTCTCCCGCCAGAAGTATGACAGAATATGAACTGGCCCCCGTTTGTGGACATTTGGTGTGCAAACTCATACCGAACTGATCGTAGAAAAGCAAATTGAATCATGGGAATGAAGTACTTTTAAGTTATTTATAAAAGTATCGATAGTGAACCATGGGAGCCAATCCTTCTTGGAGTAAAAGAAAAAAGCGTGCCTGCAATAATCAAGGTCACAGATCTGTCAAACTCCTTTTAAATACGGGAGATTTCGACAGTAAAAAACGGAGATTTTACGGGAGTTAAACCAAGAATACGGGAGATTTTACGGGAGTTATAATAGAAAACGTGAGATTTTACGGGAGTTATACCAAGAATACGGGAGATTTTACGGGAGTTATACCAGAATACGGGAGATTTTACGGGAGATTTCAGCAAAAATACGGGAGATTTTACGGCCATATTTTTTAAAAAAATTACGGGAGATTTTAGTAGAAATACGGTTCGGGAGTTTACGGGAGCTTTTACGGGAGAAAACGGTACGGGAGTTTGGTATTTTTTACGGAAAAACAAAAAATTTACGGGAGATTCCCGTAACAAACGGGAGGTTGGCAAGTATGGTTGTACAAATCTTCAAGACTGAATTTTGGTGTACAGATCTTCAAAACTGACATTGGTTGTACAAATCTTCAAGACTTTTAAGAAATCGGGTGTACAAATCTTGCGATAATTATTCAAAACTGCTAAAAACTTTTGTTTGTGTGACGCTAATCTTCTTGCGAAAATCAAGAACTCAAATATTGTTTTTCATACTAAAATGTTATATTGAAGGGCTATGTTACCTTGATTTTTTAAGGCACAGAACAAAGATCCACATAAAGATCAGTATGATGACTACAAGAGTACCAATCGGAATGCCAATCCATAGCCCTAGTGCCGAAGGACCACTACTTTTGTTTGTAGTTGTATCGGCCTCTGTAGTAGGATCTAGAGTTTCCGTTGTAGGTCCCATAGTTGTTTCCGGCTCAGTGGAAGGTCCGATAGTCGTTGTGACCTCGGTCAAAATAGTTTTTGTTGTAGTTAGGGCAGTTGTGTCCGGATCAGTGGTGGGTCCCATAGTCGTTATGACATCGGTCAAAATAGTTTGTGTGGTAGTTAGGGCAGTTGTTTCCGGATCAGTGGTGGGTCCCATAGTTGTGGCCACGAATATATTAGCACTTATGTAATTAGACAGGTCGCTACGAATGTCCAATTCATCCCAAGACCACATCACGAAACTGTAGGACGTCTCGTTTTCAACGCCAAATTTTGGCAGTCTGATCACAATTCTATGTCTGCTGAATGCTGGTAGTGGTTCTAGTGATCCATCCACCAGGTCTGATTTATGCACCACGTAACCATGGAGATGATTGGCAACAAGGGCCTCCATTTTGTGATGCACAAATATCTCAAATCCAGTCACTATACATGGAAATAAACGAGAAAATAGTATATAAAGGAACAAAAGAGATGGTTTAGATAAACGCCTGTTGGCCTCAGCACGTACACGGACTGCTCAATGAACTTACCAGTTCCTGAAAATGCATTCTGACCAGGAGCTGTCCATGTCAGTGCCACAATTCTTTTCTCTGGGTGTACCCTCTCGACTGAAAAATCATCAACTCTCCCGGGAGGATATTCTTCTTTTCTTGATGAATTTGCCACCTTAAACGATCCACCGGATGATTCTCTTTCAAAGTCTCCTATACTTTCCCACGTAACATCATTCTCCTCTGGAATGGTCGGATTTGTTGATTCAAGACTTATATTATCGATTTACATATTGGAAGATAAAGTGCAACATTCTAAAGAGATTGCTTTGGGAACATTATTTTTTCTGCCCTTACTTTATGACCAAATTGCTAAATCTTAGGAACAATTATAATACCGATTGGTCAACCCAGTCTTGCTATGTATGTATTCTAAGATAACTTTCTATAAGATACAATCCTTACCCTGTGAGAGGTCATACGCTGAACTTCCAGAAGTAGCGCCGTTACGCTGCACCATAGCGGATCCGTTGGGGTTACTTGCCTTAACGGTAACAGAATATCGATCATCACCGGACACGTCAGGGAAGAAATTAGAGTAGACTCCGTCATCTTTGAAGTTGTCACTACCTATTAAGATATGAACAACCACAACTTAGGCATTAAAATACTAATGTGTCCTGTTAAGCCTCGGATGAAGTATTGGAGCCCAGGGTTCAATGAATCGTGGATGATTTTAATTTTTACGAATGTTTTGTATCGAGACTTTGAACGAAGGTGATAGCGCAAATCCAAATACGACGAGGCTTGATTATGAGAATATCTAGTTCTCCACAACTCATTGAGTCATTTTCTAAAGCTATTGATCCAACTGGACCAGATTTCTTGGCAAGAGTTTTGTAAGATTTGACCTTTTGACACACTGACCTGCATAAGTACTTTCCGTGCTATTCCTTATGAAACAGAATGGTTTTCACTCAACTGCTAACTTGTAATTAAATAAAACAATTATTGTTACCAATTTCACTGAAACAGACAGCCGTTACTCTTACCTGTTAAAATAGCATGAATATAATTTTAAAAACTGTGTTGTGGCTAGCTGAAATTTGATATACCAGCCTATATATGTTTGGATGATCATCTACGAACGTCACTGACTTTAAGAAAATGAATTGGTCACTGGAGTGGCTGATGCCGGGGCTGATGCAAGGGAGAGGATTAAAACATGCATCGGCTACCTACCTGCACCATTGTCAAAGAGAGCAATCCTGGTGAACTGGCTCCCTGGTAGTTCAATAACAGCTTCTACTTGTGCTCCTTTTACAGCCGCATAGCCCTGTGCTATCTCAGCATATACAATAGATGTATCTTTTGGTACATTCACCTCCAATTTGTTCGTCCAAGATTTCATAGTGATTCCTTCAGAATTTTTTTGGGGAAAAGATCGTATATTTACCCCAACGTGGCCACTGAAGTTAGAACTTTGGATAACGTATGTCCAGGTTCCAGCCTAGAGGAGGTAATATTCATGGATGGATGGTACATTAAACAATTGGTTATTTATTAATCACATACAGTTCGAATGAATACCCCTTACCATAACCATTTGACAATTGTTTAGAGTTGGTTTTCTGATGAATTCTTGAAAAGAGTGATCAGGGGAAAATTTGCAAAAACTTTGAATTATGGGTTCACGACTATCGTTTTCTTTTTTTGCCTTTGATCTTGTGGTGAATGTAATTAGATACCGAAAATCCTCGTTTTTCAGAAAAAATCAAAGATATTTATATCTTCTAATTGTGACAGATTGGAGTTGTCCATTGCCGATTAATTCCTAAATAAGATTTTCAATAACTGTTTGAAAAAAATGTGTTGTGGGACAGTATAAGAGAATCTGGCTAATCAATCAGTAATGGAACTTACATCTGATATTCCTGGAATTACAAATCTGATGACAAAAAAGCTGGCATGCTCCGTGTATTCTGGACTTGTCGCTGTGTAGGTTATATTACTTGGACTTGTTACTGTTACCTTGAACAGAATAATGCCCAACAATTAATTATGGATATCAATGGACGAGGTTGTATTCTCCACGTGGGAACTGATCGAGTAAGTGAGAGGCCGATTAAACAACATCGTCCAGCTAGTGACCTAGTAATCAATCAGTGTAATGAAATAAAGATGGAAACTCGATATAAACCAGAATGATTTAATATTACCATATTGAAACAGGGACTTTAAAGATATTGAATTTGGATGACCAAATTGTGCTGAAACCAACGGATAGCATGAGATTTTTCAATGGAGAAATAACATGGGGAACACTAATCTTAGAGCAATTCAGTTTTTCTTTCAAAAACTATTTGATACATCAAAATAAAGAATAGTAATGCATTTAAGATTATAAAAAATGATTGCATTTTTGGTGAAAATGAGGTCAACATCTTTGAACAAGTGTGTTGATTGCTAGTTAAAAAAAATAATATATTGAAACAAAATAAAACCTAATTGAAGGTGGGGAATCAGATGCTGGCATTGATATATTTCAAATTACAAGTATACATGTTGTCTAAAAATAGTAGCTGGTATGATTTCAAAATAACGCAAGCTTGACCAGAATGAAAAAGTCATACCTCCTACTAGCAAAAATGCAAGCAAAATGACTTGCCAATACAGAATCATACATAACTGCAAAATCCCTGGAAGGTTTGGCAGTTTTCCCAATATTCGATATGAAAATAATAAGCAAAAGTATAAAAAGGCCATTCTCATACAAGGAAATTATCTCCCGTAGAGCTTAATCAAGATGAAAATAAAACTGCTGTGTCTAGTCTAGCTACAAGCAAGCCCTTGTGCCCCCTCCCTCTAACTACATCTTCGTTGTGTTGATATAGTCCACAGTCTTTACTCTTGTTATGTCTTACCGATAATGATCCCGTATATGTTATATTAGTTGGTGGGGTAAACATGAATGTAGTGTTGTACCGAAGAGAGCCATCTACAGAGATGTTGTATTGGGTCGAGACTGATCTTAATATAAATGTTTTCTCACTCCGTATCTATAATTATAACAAAAAAACATGACTAGAGCCACCTATCGTGCCCAGGTAAATCGAATTACTAGTACCAATTTCCTCACAGTGTACAACTATTTACTAAAGTCAACTCAGTGAATAAGAAACTAGCATTTTGCTATACTTTGTAATAACAAATAATAATTTTTATATCAAAATGAGTTTGTGAATTAATGATTCAATATTTCTAGATCACTCCCTGGACATTGCTAATTGAAAGCCATAGTGGTAAGAAGTGATGACGTTTTATTGGTTGATTACTAATTGACAGTATTTGATCAATCAATCAGGTAATCAATCACCCACTTAAATATTTTCAGAAGGAAAATCTGAAAGATTGTGCAATGTTAAATTCTCATTGAGGTTTTGTTTCTAGCTTTAAAGAGAGAATCAGAGATAGCGAGCAGGCTAAACAAAAAATTGTTTCAATTTTAGAATATTTTTGGCTCATGTCATTCCTTTTCATGTCTATTTTCTAAAAATCACAAAACTGCATACTTTATTCAAGGAAAACGAAAGATTTTTACAATAATGTATTATTTTTCTATAAGAATGGTTACCATTCTTATTATTTGGGAGAATTTTAACATTTTTCACCCATTTTTACACTTTGAATCATTAATAACTTCACCAATTTATAACATATTGTGAATCTTTTGGGAGATATTGTATTTGACATTGTAAGGAATAGATTGGTAGGTCAATTATGCACGTTGGTTGTATTTTTTTCACCCCCTATAGATCTGATTCTGCCTTTAATGACAACAACCGAGGAAAAGAATATTGAATCACAAATTCATTTGGGATAGAGGCATTCCATTGGAAACATATTGATCTTTTATGTATACCATTTCTATTGCAAATTATAGCATAAAAATGCTCGATTTTAATTCATTGATATAGACTTTAGTTGTATACAACAAATCAAATTCTGAAAATAGAAATCGAATAATGAACATTGTCCAAATGGATGAGATTTACATGTCGATAATGACGTACACAATTTTTGAACAGTGGGTAATTATAATTTATTAATACCACTTCAGGCGAGATTCCAATGCAGTCTCTAGTCTCCCCCATTGACTTGATAAAGGCATCTTCTAGAGCAGTAGAGGTCGGATCTTCAGAGTAGAAATGTGGAGTACCACCTAACAAAAAGTCAATCAACTGTGAATAAGAAATATAGGGGTATGTTTTTATTAGGAATTAGTCGTGACAAAAACAGAGAGATTCATAAGATGAGAAAATGAAAAATCTGTCACGAATGCCACGTCTTAGAAAATGTTCGAGGAAACTGTCTAACAGCATCCTTTATAATTACAAATATTATTACACATCGAAACCGCAAGATTATTATACGGTACATTTCATTCATACAGATCCTTTTAAATATCTAAGCACAAGTGCCAAAAGGAAGGACCAAATACTGTAAAGAAACCTAGCAAGAAAGGCAAACTCTAAGTGGAAACCTGTCATAAGATAAAAGACCCACCCGAAACCATGATCCAGCGTGAAACGAAATATTGTCTAAAACCCTATTAGGTAGATCATCTTACCAGTTCTTTTCACAAGGTCTTCCAGACTTTGGGCTGCACTTCTACTGAAGGCAATGCTATCAACTTTAACTCTGGTGTTGTCCAGAATTCCCGAACTTAACACTTCACTTATGGGACGGCCAGCATTTTCCTGACCATCCGACAAAACTAATATCGTTGCATCAATGGTAGAACCTCCATTCTCTTTCAGCATCTGTAACGATCCGTGAAAAGGCAACAATTTAAATTTGCAATTTGAATTTAATTAATCAATTCTAATTTAATTTATTTACTTCATACTAGTCGAGTAATAGACTCCTAACATCAGCCTCACAAATCCAATAATAATATCGAAAACGTACGCGATTTTCTGTTTCACCTTATACTCAACATAATTTTCGACCTTCAAAGCGTGAAAACAAGTATACATGTAGCCCGGGGATATCCCTGGGCAGTGAATTTACAATGACATACTTACATCTAAAGCTTTAATAACGCCCTCTCCTATTGCAGTCGACCCGCCTGCTTGTGTAGCCAAACCTCCTGCAAGACTCTCACGGTCTTGGATACCTGATATGTTGCATCTTGTGTCCAATTGACACAGCTGAATCAAACAATACGATTCCAAGCTCCATGCCATCTGGTGCTGTGCTGATGATGAACTTGTAGGCGGCTTGGGCCAGAGCGAAGAGTCTTTTATTGGTGCTCTATAGCAAAGAAGGGTTACATTGATAAATAGAAAAACTGTAGATATTTAATTGTTGATTTCCAGGAAAATGTAGAAATTAGAAAGCCGTACATTTCTGGCTCATATTTCGAAACTTGTGAATATCTTATGGGCCCAATATGGCCAACTATTTTGATATCGGGATTATTGAATGCTTCATGATTTACATTCAAAACTTGTGAATATGTTATGGTCCCAACTATTTTTATATCGTGACACGCCATCTCTGATAGGGATAGATAAAAATAATTAATCATCAAGCCTTACCATGCTCCCTGACTTATCCAGAACTAAAACCATTCTTTTACAACTACCAGACGGCGACGAGTTTCTCCTGTAACGGACTGTTATTTCTGGGGTAAGATCATCAATATTTCTAGGAGGATTTGCATTGCCAGAGAAATCCTCGTGATGCATAATTACGTCCCATGTCCCTCTTTTATTGCATTTTAGGTTTTGAAGATTGGGAGCCAGCATGTTGTGTACCAGATCAGGCTCATCCGGGTCAGACTCACAAAAATGCATTACCTAGTTACAAAAGTTGCATTGAAGTTGCTTAGTTACATTGAAGGAACAACCCATATTAAATCTCGACCTTTTTATCTCAAAATATTCATGAATCTCTTAATCATTAGTTCAAATCCATATCTGACTTTTATATGAAACAAAGCCAAAATATGACTTAACTTTACTGCCCCTCGGTAAGATATCTCTATTTCCCTCAGGATATATCCTATATCCAAAACCTCCCATAACATACCCTCATATACACTATTAAAAGGGGTAGATATATTCATACTGATTCTAGGAATTGCAGATACATCACGGACGCTCTGGCGGTTTGTTTCACATCTGGTATGAACATACAGTCCGCCTCCTCTGGGAAGGTTGCCATATTGAAATCGTTACATGTAACATTGGTCCTTTTGTTCCAGTATGTACCTGCAGGTCATACACAAATGTGATGTTAAAATAAAACAAATAAAAGAAACAAATGAACAACATTTAACCATACTTTCTTAACAAACCCTTACATTTTCGACTTGATAACAAACTTGGTAGGTACACTCATGTAGGGACTTAAACCTGGGCCCTGACACGCACTGAACATATTTCCAATTTCCTATCTTGAGACCTACAACCTGTGACCACTTTTTTAAAATTGTTTTGACATTGAAATGATTTAAAAACTCCTAAGAGATTGTGTGGTCTCTTTTAAGTATTTCAGTATTTCTAGGTTTTGAATTCATCTTTTAACTTCTTATCCATGAAAGCTTGCGATCTTTATGTGTAAACACGCCATAGCAATTTATATTGTGTTTTAAAATATTTGTATTGAATTAAGATTTGAAGTTAGCCTGACCCAAGAAACATGACATTTACAGAAAATAAGTTACACAAAGTTTGGGAAACCCAGAGGTTTTGTAGTAATAAGCCAAATCCCAACATTTTCATTTAGCTGGAGCCACAAATACACTTTTGTCAATTTAAACAAAATAAACACACAATTGCTTTTACATGTTCTTTTTTACAAAAAATCAAAGTAAACTTTGATACAGTATGCCATTTAATATATATATCATACTATCATAAGATAACATTAAGAAATTCGTTCATTCAAATCCTGCCAAAAGGTTCGTAGAAATAACATGTTGACGTTTTGAAAAAGCAAAGCTAAGACGTCTTTCAAGAAAATGACAAAATCATTTACTTTTGGAGTAAAGTACTTACTTTTTCAAAAAATGAAGTCATGCAACCTAACCTTTTCAATGGTACCATTAATCTAATATTCTATTGGCAGTTGTTGTTTTTTGTTTGTTTTTTATTCCTTTTTTATTCATTGAAAAAACATTGTTTTTTCTATTGGCAGGTTTGTTAGGAAAATTTTAAATTAGAAAATGATAAAAGTTGACCATTTGGCAAATCAACTACTCAGATTAAATACCACTTATACAGTAATATGTTGCAAAAGCTACAGATGAAGCCAACTTTGCACCATTAAGGTATATAGCATATTCACCAAATCGATCTAATCCTAATATAAATTATTTATTTTAATTTTCAATTTTATTATTTAAAAATGATAAAGGGTGTACAGTTTAATGTTACCTTTAATTTTATCCGTGCAACCTGTGGGGACGTATTTCCCGTTGCTGTCCATATAGGAAGGCGGTGTCTCTGTGCTACCTAGTAATCCGTACTCGTCAAATATTCCGTACCGCAGGTGAGCAAATTCGTGTACGAGCAAACGACCTACAAAAAAAGTTATAAAAACCACATGGGGGTCCTGGAAATCAAAAGGGAAGGGACCCAAATTTCGAAATTTAAGTAAAGAATTCCACTTTTCTTTTACCATGAGGTCATCGTATCTATGGTTACATAATTGATTTAAATAGTCTTATCTTTAACTCTTAAATTTCTTAACATAATTGTCGTTACCAGGTGGTCCCCATCTTGTTAACCGGTCATTGTGTGTGTCTAGAACATAGTCCGGAGTCAGGTGACAATAGCTAGCGGGTTCTCCACATTGACCGAGTTGCCTGGTATATGGGTTATTGTTATACCATGTGTCCACCCGGAAGTCTGCATTTTCAAACGTCTCAAGGTTTGCATTCTCGTATTGTGAATCATCGCTCCATGTTGATGGCACCAAAATACTGATCTTCTTAAAGTAAGCTCGTTTTCTTGTTGCGTTATAAAGATAGTGCGATGCATCAACTATCATATTCTAGAAAACATAATATTACTTATATAGAATTTATGGAGAAACGAAATGCTTCATACAATTGTTTACATAAGTTTTATTTTTTTAATAATCAAATTATTATCACACTGCAGCTATTCCAGACAATCCAGCGGTGAAGTGTCAATTTTGCACTTTAATTCGAGGCATGACTTAGTATGAGTGTAAATTGTTGCTTTGAACATTATCCTGAGATTTGGATGATTTCAAAAAGTCCGTATACCTTTATTATTGAAAAACCACTAGAGAGATTTCTTTTTCCAATTTCTGGAACATTTGTAGAATTGATTCTTGCATAATTATCATATTTCATTGAAATCCAAGCATTTGAGAAAAGTAATACTAGAATAAAGATGCACGTTTTTGACTCACCCTTTAATTATGGCTAGCCTGTCAACAGTCTAAAATTTCTGACCTAGAGCCTATTTCTGGATTATTCCTCCATTTTTTGAGGTTAGCTTGGCAAAATGATAAGGGGATGTTCCCTTAACAGTTCAAATAGATTTAAAAAAATTATTTCTGCAATAAGTTCTATATACATCTAATTTTTCAGTGAATGAAATTTGGGAAACATTGGCAAGATTTGTTCCAACAATTGACATCATATATCTCTTCCAAATCCTTTGAGTCCTTGTATGTCTGCGAAATAGATGTAAGTACTCCTGACTTATAGGGGGTTCGAGACCCACTGGCTATTTCAAAATCGTACAGTTTTCACCATTTTGAGCAGATGTCAAGTGTTTTTGTGCCAAAATTTTCAAATTTGAAATACCTCTGCCCCCTGCAGTTTAAAAAAACTACCTCCCCCTTGGCAAAAACTGAATACGGGCCAGTACTCGCAACAATTTAAATCTGTTCGACTCTTGGACTTACCTTCAACTCAGTAATGATTGTCGTATTCTCGTCCACTTTTGGACCAATCGCTACAACTACATCTATATAGCCATTGTGTTCAAGTTTAACGAGTGTCGTTTTACCGCCCAAACAATAATCAAATGTTGCAACGAGAAGTATAATGAGCGGACGCATCGTCTCCATTATCACATTAAAACGTTTGACATCATGTGAAACGTGTTAATGTTGAAATTGCTCAACTCTTTGGTAATGAATTTAAAGTGTCTAGGTCGACTAAAAAGAAGAATATGATTGTTTTCACGTGCAGTATTAAAGGCCCCGTGGGAAGTTAAAACTGCTTATACGCTTATATTGTAGTCTAATTCAAAGTATCGAAAGCTCTGATACCTGATCATATCTAAAACTTTTTTAATTTCGAAGAGTGTTTTTGACAACTTTTTGATTGGAAATGTTGAATTTTGTTGAAGATTTAAATATTAGCTCTAGATGAATTTGATAAAGACTTGTAGGCCTACATCTGTCTGTAATCTTCGCAAAAGCATGTACCGTAAGATATTTTGTGGATGAATAAAGACCAATCCAAATTGTTCTGGTTAGAAATAATCAAAGAACAACAACATATTTTTGGAAGTGTCTTTTGAGAGCCAAGGTCTATAATTGATATTTTATACGGCAGGAACTTCATATATCTGGAAAGGAGAAGTCAACATTTTTTAAAACATCGAAAATATTTGAAACTTTGTATCGAAACATTTTTGAAAGCAAAATGTCTAAATCGACTTTTTAGTCATGAGAAATAAGGTCGAAATGATTCAAGATTATGTCCAAACAAACATGGGGCCTTTAACGACAATGCAGCACAATTTAGAGACCATTCATTTATTTCAATAGCAGTTGTCAACAACAAAAATGAATTGATATTAATACAACTTCCTGGTCCCGAAAGCTATTATATATACCTATACAAAAACGTTTTTGCAATTACCATAGAATATTTTGTGGAGGGAAAAATCAAGGCACTTTGTTGCAGGGAATTCATATAATTATCTGAAAATGAAAAGTCAAACAATTTTTTAAAGGTTTTGACTGTCAACAAGAAAATAAAAATAAAATATATGACTTCCTGGTCTTGAAAATTATTACATATACAATGTGTACATGTACACTATTTTCCAAAGATGTCTGTGCGTCAACTTCAGATATCTTGAGATCATATAATTGTGCATATCACCATGGTCTTATTGAACACTTGTTGTCATAACATTTATACATAATTTGCGAATTGCAAAAATGCGGAATTCCTGACATTTTTACATTCATAATTCAAATATTCTAAAACTTTGTTACGAGGACAAATATTTAAAGAACTATTCAATTACGTTATAACTGTCAGATTAAACTGAAAAAATTGATCGATCAGTGGTGTATGAATGGAGTGGTTTACTGCACTAAATCCTTTTGTCCACGTAAGAAACAAAGAATGATGTTTTGAATAGTATTTATAGTAAAATTTTTTTTTAATAACTGCGATATTAAAGTTATGATAAACTTTGCAGAGACACACAATCAACACATTGTATTCATAAAGATTATTTTTTCAGACTGTAAACAAGATGGTATTATGTATTCTATTGGTGAATACGTAAATCGAGACAGTCCCTGTGATATTTGTATGTGCATCAATGCTTACTCCGACCCAACTGGTGCAAGAATATCTTGTGCAATCATTGACTGTCCCACACCAGGTTGCCAAAATCCAATTAATGATCCGGAAAGATGTTGTGACCGGTGCCCAATGAATTAGGCTACCAAATGACTATTCGATCCATTAACTGATTTTGAGAAATTATCGAAATATTAACAGGAAAATTGATCATTTTAAATGTTATATTTTGTGAGAAAATAAAATATAATTGTCGACTTCGAACATATGGCAAGTCAAAATCAATTTTAAACCTTGAAGCAATGTCTGTGGTAGCGATATGTGTCAAGAAATAAATAATTTCAGAAATACAAGGGGCGATCCATAAAAAAACTAAATAAATAACAAGTTATTATGACATTTTATACGTTATAATTTAACTGACCTGCCTACCCTAAATACAGGTTACCATGGCAACCTTATCTCAAAGATAATTCAAGATATAGCTATAATATTTAGCATTGTGTGTGTAAATACATAATCTTCAAGTTCTGAAAAAATGAGAGGGATATGTGAAAAATCACAAAATGAGAGCATTTTTATCAGAATAAATGGATCGCCTCTTGTATAAGATTAGTTTTATAGTTTTATGCACAAATGGAATAGAATCATGCTATTTTGTCATATACTGTGGTGATGTCATAATGTGATATAGGAGCATGCGCACTGCCTACTGGTATTTCCGGTAGTCTCCTACTTTGAACCGGAACGTGTTTTGAGTTGTATACCGGGTTTGTCACAAACGCTGGCATTTTCGATGTCCTTTGGTACATGGTATCCTCATAATCATCCTCGCCTTTCACTTGTCTAAAATATCAGAAAGAAAAGTTGTAGACCTCGATTTAGCTGATGGGAATGTTAAGCTTAACGTTTTTAGAGAACTTGTACACGTGAACGTGTAAAATTGTGGTCCATTGTAGATTCCCTTCGTGGCATTATCTTGTCTGATTGAATGAAATGGTATGTTCAGCTGGAAATTGAAATTAGTTCATTGGAAAACCCAATAAAGAGGGGGGCTATAAAGGTATTTAATCGACTAATAGAGAGATTTCGCACATAAGTGAAAGTACAACTTATACGTATACGTATAGTTTAAAGGGTGACGCATATCGTTTAGCAAATCGAACGCTCGTTTCTGGTGTTGCTCACCGTTTAGTATAAAAGGCCCGATCCCGGAATAATACTCAAGGGTTCACAGGCTCGAGGTCGTTGTGTCAACACCTCTAACTGTTATATAGCACAAGTATATTATAGATCGTCACATATTTATAAAACGGTGATTTTTATTTTGACAAATCAATTCCACATTTATGGGTGAAGTTTCAGGATCTTCTATTTGTGTATAATAAGGAAAAATTGACATCTAAATTTCCCCATAACGTAATAGCACACAGCTTGGTATATGAATGTCCTACAAATGAAACAAAGCAGTTCTAATACAAGGATTTATATTGGCTGTTGTACATATTCTTTGAACGCAATCACTCTATGGATAATGTTTTCAAAATCATTATAAACGGATTACTTTATCTCAAAGACAATTTCAATAAACTGGATTTTACAGAACTCCCCTTATTTCTTAAAAATGGACTGATCCAGTCGATTCGCCTGGAGCCGCCATATTGTTTTTATACGGGATGCTTATCGGAACCCTTTAAAGGGTCATGTCGAACTATTATATTTACTAAAATCAATTGTAAATTGTACTTAATGGAACATAACTATTCCCGTTATAGAAAAGCTCAATCAACTAGAGACTGTGAATGCACTGCCATCTGCACGTGTAGATTATGCACATTATAATTAAATGCTTGCTTCCGTGTCCTTGTAGTTGTAGTGTATTATAAACACGATCCTTTAAAGTGAGTCATGATTCTTTAAAGTGAGTCATTACATAAGCAAGTTGATTATTTCAATGTTTTCATGATCACTATAAGTTCAATGAACTTACAAAACGGTATATTTACGTAAATGATAACGTATACAGTTGGATCTCCGTATAAAGATTTACCTACATGTGTGTGGAACAATTGACCGCAAGCATTTTTTGAAATTAATTGGCTGAGTGGGAACAGTATCCAATCAAATACTTTAACCATCAATTCGAAACACCAATCAAACCAGTAGGTTCTAGCAATTCCTGGAAACGACCCATTCAGTAGCTCAACATATGACATACAGGGTGTTTCATAACGAGCATCTCCAAAAGTCAATTTGGGAAGAGATGATTCTATAACATATGTACTATATATGAGCCTATTTTATTCTAGACAAACACATTTGGATCAACTAAACATGCTACAATTCAAGAAAGTACAAATGGCATCCCTTTGACCTGTATTTATTACAGTCCGAGAAGATCTTTCCTGACGAAAAGCCCACATTATGAAACACCTTGTACGTTTACCTATAAGTATAAGTATACGTAATAAGTTGTGTTTTCACTAGGTGCGAAATCTCTCTAGTACCTTTTCTTCCTAATGATCAGGATATACACAAAGCCAATGACAAGTAAGATGAAAGCTATGATACCCATGGGAATACAAATGTACAGTTCCAAACCATTTGAGACTCCGCCAGTCTGTGTTCGTTGTACATTCTCATCAGTTGTCGCCACTGTAGTAGAAGCAATCTAAAACATGTGAATAAGAACATGTGATTAAGAGAAAGCCATCACGTATTTGCACTTGCTCCAAGTTTTGAATTCAACCTTATGTTCTTTTTTGAATCGAACAAATGTTATTTTTATACTTTGATGTTTACATGTAGCTTTCCTCACCCAAAAATCAGTATCATCCGGATCCACGAGTAGATTAGCCATGACGTAATCAGACAGGTCGCTATGAATGTCTAGTTCATCCCAAGACCACATGACGAAACTGTAAGACGTCTCGTTTTCAGCGCCAAACTTTGGTAGTCTGATCACAATTCTGTGCTTGTTGTATGCTGGCAGTGGTTCTAGTGATCCATCCACCAGGTCTAATTCGTGTACCACGTAACCATGGAGATGGTTGGCAACAAGGGCCTCCATTTTGTGATGCACGAATATCTCAAATCCAGACACTAGCAACAAATAATCGTTTTACAAGTGAGTAAGATGCAGGTTTTAATCAAATATCTTGTCATTACAAAGTCAAACAATGTATTTCACGAGTGTGCAGTTTCAATCACTTCCGGTTTTAAATCCTACCTATTCCAGAGAACGCATTTTGACCAGGTGCTGTCCAGATCAAGGTCACTGTCCTTTCTTCAAGTGACATGCTCTCGATTGATAAATCTTCCACTCTACCTGGAGGATATTCTTCCTTCCTGTCCGAGTTTTCCACCTTGAATGAACCACCAGACGATTGCCTGTTAAAGTCGCCTATATCTTCCAATGTGATTTTTTCTTCAACTGAAACAAGATTTGGGTGTTCAATTCAATGGCTCCCTCGTAACTGATTATAGGCTTCACTGACAGCCGATGTACCATGTTGAAATATTACATTTTCGTACCTTGCAACTGGTCATAGGCTCCACTGACAGCCGAAGCACGATGTTGTAACACTGCATTCCCACTTGGATTACTGGCACTCACAGTGACAGCATAACGGTCATCTCCACTGACGTCGGGGAAGAAATTGGAATACACCCCATCATCTTTGAAATTATCACTGCCTAAATATGAAACAACAGTAAAATGTTAAGTAAGTTTCAGAAATAATCACTGGTAACATACTATGTAGTGACTCTAATTCTGGCGATGATAGTAACTATTACTGAAACATGCCAATAAGTCTACAGGGAGCTAACTCGATATCTGGGTTACATCCTGCTAATGCCTTGGTCACATTTGCTCCGCATTTGCTGGGTATTTTGTTAAAATTGAATACAATATTGAACAAATCTCAGCCTCTATCGGCCGGGCGACGGCCGATGGATCGGAGCAAATGTGACCCAGGCATTACCTATGCCATTGTCGTGAAGTAAGATTTTAGTGAAACGTTGTCCTGGTAGTTCAATAGTTGCTTCAACATGGGCGCTTATGACTGGTGAATAGCCCTGTGCTATCTCCGCATATACTATGACAGTTTCGACTGGAACGCTCACTTGCAGCTTATTTATCCAGGCTTTCAATGTTATACCTCCTGAAGTTGTTTTTGGACTAGATCGTATATTTACTCCAATATACCCGTCTTGTCCGCCATTTTGTATGGTGTATCTCCAATATCCTGACTGCAACAAGAAAATCAAGTGAAAATGACACTAGAAAAATACGAAGGCCATAATGCTATTTTGACAAAACTGATCCACTTTTTATGGAAATACCACAGAGAAAGACAATGAACAAACTACATTTTACTGCTTGTTTTCTGTTGGCTAGGTAACATGTTAATGACGTCACAAATTAAAATATAATAAACACTGTGATGTGTGACGTTTAGCTTTCTTGTCTGTTTAGTTGATAGGGAAATAAGTAACTGATGTCATAGTTTATGTTATATTACGTCATATCTTCATCACAAACACAACATATAACGTCGTGATCGTTGCTTTGATGATTTGCCACATAAGGTAATAATGGCGGACTTTTGGTCACGTGAATGGTCGACAGTCGGTCCATAGAACGAATGGCTCGTAAAAAGTGACTTTTGCGTAAAGCTTCTGAGTCTCTAATACACGGGGGATAAGCAAAACGAGGGCGAAGCCACGGACTGCGACTCGCGTAATTCAAAACGAGGTTACAACGCATTATAGCTGAACAATGGCGGTAAATCCAAACTTAATTTGGAAGGCATGTTAGGATTTGGGGTAGATTATTGGTTTGGATATTCTACAGAATAGCTAGTATGTTCCAGTCGGTGATCAACATATTCATACTCCACCTGCAATGGCATTCTTTGTGCTCGGCTGTCCAATAGTTTAGCATGAACACAAATGAATTCGAAATCTGCCACAAAAAATGTAATTTTGTCAATATTTGTCCCTAATATACCGATTTAAACAAAGGAATCAGAAATGACATCGAATTAATATAATTATTCATGTTCTGTTGTTACAATTACATCTTCGTGTGATATTTGGTAAGCGGAAAACGTACAATTACATAGAAAATTGGAATTTATAATAGTCGCAGTCCATCCATCTGCCCAACGCAGTCCGCGACTCAGTGTTGCTTTATATCTGAAGCTGAACGCAATCACAGCCAAAGGTAGATAGCACAATGTGTGTACAGGTGTGGCCGAAATGGAGCAACTTTGGACAAAATTGAATATAAAGGGCTATTTTAATAGACCTACATCGTGTCTCAATCCATTCTGCAAATATATACAAGCTGTCAAATGCAGCTGAAATCATGAATTTATGGTAGCTAGCAATATTGATGGAATGTTGGAAAGATCATCCAAAATTACATTACCTCACCAACTCTCCAATTATTTGATATTTTCCTGATATCTTAAATACTAGTTAATGTACCCTTCCCCAGCAGCTTTTATTGCATCATCAAAAAGTTAATTGTTTCACATTTCTACTTCTTATAAAAAGTCTCACCACTATCCAATTATCTATATATTTAACCCTATCCACAAATTGGTTTGTAATAAACATAATTACGTTGTCATCTTGCGCTCGACTGTTCTGCCAAATACGCTATTGAATTGCCATATTTCTAGGTCTTAAACGATACAATATAGCAATTTTGGACATTGATTCAGGTAATAGATATATGTTAATCAACGTAACTTTGAATGATCTTTCCAATGATATGTCACACTTGGTGATTTTTGGTGTAGGGAGGGGGGGTGCAGGACTTATTTGGCACCCTTCTATGGAATGAATTATTATACATGCACGAGCGAACGTACAATACCACGAGTGAATATGAGGATATGTCAATCATTTTTTAATTATTAATAATCGAAGTTTCGTCTTGAGTCAATAAGAACAAAGCTCCATAACAGACGCTTTTGATTGTTAAAAGGTATAAACTACCACGCGGTAGTATCTCTTCGGGACGTATCGAAACCACTCCGTCCCGAAAAACCGTTAATTTGAATTTAAAACCTACCCCAGTGTTTGAAAATCAAGGATTGTGAGTCTCACACTTCACCGTTTTTCTTCAAACTTGTTCCGTACAAAGCTTCACAGAAATACCTTTCAGTCGATACATTGTTTTCGTGTACAAAGTACCTCGTTTTAGCGGCGTTTTGGTCCCCAGCTGTGAGATAAAGCAAATTTTCATAACTTTCAACTGTAAGTCAAGTTATCTCGCCAGTCTTTTACCCATTCTCGCCCATAATTTCAGAATGGACTCCCATTACAACCTTCCATCGCTACGTCTTGATTTTTGGGCATCAAACGCAGCAGTTTCTAAATCATCCACACATCTCTTCAAATTTGACCAATACGTCCCGTCATCTTCCACTACGCCCCGCCGAGTCTATCACTATACACGTAGAGTTGCATTCTAAAACAATTTGTCCATCGATGTGTCCGTTTGTAGGTTGCCATTGTCAATTCTAAATACCAATCGGATTGTGTTTTAAGATTTACCCATTCTTGTCCATTTTCAATATACCTATAATAGGGTGGTCCAAAATCTCCCTTAAATTTAGATTTCCCGATATTGCAATATAAAGATTTTAATTACTGAACAATTGAAAATATTTTTAAGAAACGTTTCCTTGAAAAAATGTTAAAATGCGAAAGGATGGGTGATGTCAATTATATTATTTTCAGCATAACGTTAGAAACATGTATCATTTTATATGGTACACGTTTCAAAATGTAATCCAATGGAATCATACAGAAGAAAGGTTGACACACAACAGTTAAAATCTTTATATTACATTATCAGACCAAGTCAGTAGATGTTGTTTATATACCAATTAGTGTTGTACGATGATGCATTCTTTATATGAATCTAGAAACGTTTTTGTGCCAATATTGCTCAATTTTGATAACATCTCCGTTATTCTGAAATTAAGCGTGGCAAAGTTTCCCGATGGATTTAGCTAAAAAAAAGTGGTGCCTGTAGGGTTATTGAAAATCATACATGATGAAGAAAAAATACATATTCCTGAAATACAACAGTTTAATTTTGAGTTATAAACCATTTATGAAAACGGCATATTTGTCAAAATTACCAAAACTTCAAGTAAGACGCGTGGCAAAATTTCCCAGGGGTCTAGAGTGTTAGTACTTTGCCTTGGATGTCATACAGTACATTTACACTGTGGCATGATGATGAACTTAGAAAATATGTATAGTCATGACAAACTGTTCTTTGTGATATAATATTGTATAGTATCATTCTGATACGTATTACATGTTTATGTTTAGTGCATAAAATTCATAGCCAGATCAATAATTCGGAGAGAATACGCTGGACGATAGAATATTAAAAACTATAAAAACATTCTTCATAGAATTAAGCATGTTTAAAAGCACTCTGTTTAAATACAGGTAAATAAATAAATAAATATGATGCAATGAAAATTGAAGCTTTCTGTCGAGAGCAGTCATCACAATACTAGTATAGCGTTTTTTCTTTTACATGTTACTTTTTGTACATCATTGATTGATCCGCTCTAATCTGCCCTCGGCGGATAAATAAATTATTTATGTTGAACATTAGCAAAACAAGATTTCAGATTTTATTGTGTTTCAAACCAGACACTTGGTTTCCTCACAAAATCAAATACAGGACAATTACATATAATTGAAGTTAAAAAGCAACATCTTCACAAACATTTAAATTATCAATTTCATGCAATCAGTTATAGTTATACTCCGTATGTATGCTAAACTTAAGACTGGTGTTAAGAATCGACCAAGGCAAACCTATGTAAAATTACACAACGATGAACAAAATGTTTTAGAATACAACTCCACGTTTGTAGTCATAGACTCGGCGGGGCGTAGTGGAAGGTGACGGGACGTATTAGTCAAATTTTAAGAGATGTGTGGATGATTTAGAAACTGCTGCGTTTGATGCCCAAAAATCAAAACGTAGCGATGGAAGGTTGTAATGGGAGTCCATTCTGAAATTATGAGCGAGAATGGGTAAAAGACTGGCGAGATAACTTGATTTACAGTTGAAAGTTATGAAAATTTGCTTTATCTCGCAGCTGGGGACCAAAACGCCGCTAAAACGAGGTACTTTGTACACGAAAACAATGTATCGACTGAAAGGTATTTCTGTGAAGCTTTGTACGGAACAAGTTTGAAGAAAAACGGTGAAGTGTGAGACTCACAATCCTTGATTTTCAAACACTGGGGTAGGTTTTAAATTCAAATTAACGGTTTTTCGGGACGGAGTGGTTTCGATACGTCCCGAAGAGATACTACCGCGTGACTACGTTTTGTGAAAAATTGGAAAAACATGATCTTTTTTGATTGGTTTCAAACATACTGTATTTATTTTGACATAACATGTGCATTCTATGAGTATAGAATACAAATTCATACAATTTCATAAGATGATATACCACTAAGTATCACTTTTTGAAGCGTATTCATCTCAATATAATGATTCTATGGACTGCGTTGCTTAGAATATCAATGGGGGCTGTGTTGCGTTGTTGAAATAGCTTTGTTTACTGGACTGCGTCCACTATGAATGCGCAGTTTGAATCTAATTTTCTCCTCATGAACACATTCTATTATCAAATCATTTTCACGAATTATACTCGGAGCCTCAACTAACCTTTAGATATCAGAAACGTGTTAAAAACTCCTTTCAAATGTATAGTAAATTAAATAATATGCACATATTTTACAGGTAAAATCATAACTTTGCTACTGTTTTAGCTTGATCTGGACAACTGCTTATTTTCTTATCTACAGACCAACACCAGATATAGAGTAATATTTTGGTCACCGATTAGACACTACGATAGCATTTAAAATACCTGGATTTCTCTATTTTGTCGGAAGAAGCAGAAGGCACTGCCGGATGTCCCTCCATTTTGGCGCTGGGCTGCGGTGTAAAGTTACGCGAGTCGCAGTCCGTGGCTTCGCCCTCGTTTTGCTTATCCCCCGTGTAATATGATGTTGAATCTCATTCGTTCCTTATTTAGCTGGAACTATATTCTAATATTCTAAATGAGTAAGCTGTATTTTGCAATCAACTTTATTTAATGCAATTTACCTACCTCTGATACACCTAGTATAACAATCTGGATAACTAAGAAGTCAGGGTGTTCTGAGGACTCTGGAGATAATATTGTATAGTTCTGTCCACTAGGACTAGAGACAGTTATCTAAAATGAATTACTACAAAATATAACATGAAATGTATAGCTGGTGACTCTACACTTTTATAAAATGCTGTTATCTGAATGGCTAAGTCACGCCTATTTTGCGTAATTACATGTACTTATATTGTAAATACCGTAAGTATGACGCTTGGGTGTCGGGAAAGTCTTGTCTTACCTCCTAAAAACAATATTGCTGACGCATGGTGGCAGATTAAACATGAATGATATGCCTTTATTAATGAACCTGCATGGCTACTACCTGGTGATAGGGTAAACATTATTGTTATGCCATACGTTAAGGATAGCTGTCTTGTGAACTCTTTGTGGTGGAGTGAACATAAGTGTAATGTCTTACCATTAAGGATCCTATGTTCCTGACACTTGGTGGCGGAGTAAACATGAATGTGGTGTCTCTTCCAAGAGATGAATCAATGAAGATTGGATACTGACTCGTGGAAGATGATGTTTCAAAAACACGTTCGCTCCGAACCTAGAAAGAGTAATGGTCGGTGTCTGAAATTGGACTTACAGTGCACGAGAAAAAAACATGCTGTAAATGATCTTCTCAGTTCTTTCATATGAAAATTTGTGAATTTGGGCAGATATTTTTCATGACAAAAGGTGCTGGACAATAACGTAAGCATCATTCAGAATGCATCTCTCTAATAGACTGTGGTTCCAAAATCCAATCACTGTAAAAGTATTAATGTATCAAAATAAATTATATACTTTATTCTACTATTTTTTATGCTATATTTTTCCAATTGATTCGGAATCGAACTTCATGTAAATATCAATTCAATGTAGCTTAAACACAGTCGCACCCACCTCAACTGGCTGAATTCCTGCGCAATACCTAGTGTCACCCAGTGATCTGGTGAATGCATCTTCAAGCGCAGTAGAGCTAGGATCCTCAGAATAGAAAAATGCACTGCCACCTATCGTTAATATTTGGCAAATTGATAAGAACATGTGTGAAATAATGATTTATATGGTTTAATATATTCATATATATTCACAATGCACGCGACCATTGTTGTCTTTTTGATTGTAACATCATATCAGACTTAGAAATTGAACATTATAATAGTATATATATAGAACATATTGTGTGGGGAACACCGTGGACAAACCGGTTCTTTGTGCTAGCTTCTCTAAATCGTCTGCCGCCGTGCTGCTAAAAGCAATGACATCAACAGTTACACCAGTGTTATCAAAAAGTCCAGAGTCCAACACTTCATTAATACTTGGTCCATGGTCGGTTTCCTGACCATCTGATAATACGAACATCTTAGCACCGGCAGTGACACCTCCGCCCTCTTTTAACAACTACAAATAAGGTAATGCTGATAAAACCGCCATTTTTAACAGTCACAAAAATAGGTTAATATGGGATAAAAACCTCCATTTTAACAACTACAAATAAGGTGATGTGGGATAAAAATTGTCTTTTTTACAACAACAATTTAAAGCTAACTACAAGTAAGGTTAATTGTGATGAAACCACTAGCTTGTAAAGGTAATGCTGATAAACCACCATTTTTAACAGTCACAAAAATAGGGTAATATGGGATAAAAAAAACTCCACCTTAACAACTACAAATAAGGTGATGTGGGATAAAAACTGCCCTTTTTACAACAACAAATAAGCTAGCTACTAAATAAATTTGAAGCATCTAAACAAATGTGAGTTTTCGAGAGTTAAAAAGAGGTGATTGTAATATTGCATCACGCTTACATCCATGGCTTCGACAACCCCGCTCCCTATAGCCGTCCAAAGTTTAAACGTTGTTGGTAACGCCGCAACGAGACTCTCACGATCCTGTTGTGTCTGTATGTGCTGCATAGAGTGTGTGACTCGAGCTGTTTCATCAAACACGACAATACCAAGCTCCACACCATCTGGTACCGTGCTGATTATGAATTTGTAGGCTGCTTGCGCCAAAACAAAAAGTCTGTTCTTTTTTTCCTGAAATTGATATGATCCGATATGGTAAAATTATCATGGTATGATATATCTTTTATTTTGTGCAATAAATGCGTGGTCATTTATTGTTGACGTTTGAACAATTGTAATTGTATTAATTAATTATAACGATGATTAAAGTGTGTTTGTCAGTACCATGCTATTTGACTTATCCAGCACCAATACCATCCGTTTACAAATCCCCTTTGGTCTTCTGTAAAGTACTTGAATGTCTGGGCTAACGTCATTAATATCTCTTGGGGGGTTGTTGTTGTTGTTGTTGTTGTTGTTAGCAAAATCATTGTGGTCTAAAATGACGTCCCATGTCCCTCTTCTGCTACACTTCTTATTTTGTAGATTAGGGGCCAATGTATTGTGTTGCAGATCTAGGTCTGAGGAGTTAGATTCACAAAAATGTGCCACCTGTAATAAGTAAAATACACTGCACTCTCCTCCATAAGTTAAGCTACCGGGAATCCCCTTCGGTTCACATATCAAGGCCTGCTTTAAGTTTTGCGATTTCAAAACATGTCTTAAATCCAACTATTGTAATTATGTGTCATCCATCCAACGAAAACTTCGATTTCTAAACTTACGGAAGGAGTGCATATGACGTTATGTGGTATCTCTATAGCTAAAATTCCCTATGGAAGTTATTTTGATTATCCTTATGTGAAGGGTCATGAAACATTCTTTTTTGTCTGTGAGATCATTTGGATGTTTGGGTTTGTTTTCGAATGGCGAATTGAGTAAGATTCTTTTATTTTGCTTTAGATACGTTTGGTTTTATTGGCTTTTGCACTTATTTCCTCGCTTAATCTGCCTTCTAAATACTCTTGTCATCGATCTACTGTCAGACGTGGTAGAAATCAGGAGTAGTGGGTCGTTTATAAAACATTAACCTTTCTCAGAGTTGAACTCTCGACAATAATTTGAAAGATGTCGCATGTGCTTTTTAGTGGCCGTGGTCTAAATCATGTGGATCAAGTAACCCCTCCCTCCTATATTATGTAGCCTATATAAGAGAGAGAGAGTGACTTCCCCATGGTCTAAATCTAGCAGTAGACGACCATAGTTGCTCTCAAAAACAACGATTTGAGTAGTATACTTAAATCATGACATTTTCTGTGACCTTTGAGTAAGTACAGTCAAGTGTATAATTTACAATGTACAAATTACGGGCAATATGATTGTTAACTTCTTAATTGTAGTTACTTTGTCGATGTATAACATGAGCCAACTTATTCTCATATGATATATGACTTTAAACTCACAAATACTGGCATGTATACATACGAACGACAAATACTTGTAAATATGGGTTCAACTTATCTACAGTTGTTTTCGATAAAGACATTCTTGTATGAGCAAATGGAAGAGAGTCCATTCTTAATTTGTTTAGTCATTATACTGTACATATTATGTATATGTATGAACAAAATGTAATAATGTCAGTCACCCTTACGCATTACTTACATGTTCACAAATAAAGAAAACACACATAAGGCAAAAATTTAACAATCCATTCGTAATGAGAACAAGTGAAAGATGCATAAGTTCTAATGATCCTATACAAAATTACTGAATCATTGTTACTAAGTGCACTTACAGAGTCAAGAAGCAAGTATAACAACGAGGCCTTCGTGGTTTGATGGAGATCTGGTATAAATCTACAGTCAGCCTCTGGTAGACCGGTTGGTGTGCGCCTACAACGATTGTTTGTGTCTTTATTTCTGAATTTACCTATAAAATGAAAAAAGTAAGGATAACTAGTGTGGGGTTTCATATTGGTTTCCAAAAATTGTGTTGAAATGCCTTGCGTTGACAACTTCTTGTAAAATTAATACACAATAAGCCATATATCACAATTAGTATACTAGATCGAAATAAACTAAACCATTTAGAAAATAAGTTCATAAGCTAAGTAAATACGGGAAGTTAGCCTTTAAGATCTTATGATTGTCTGACATTTTCGATAATTTTAAATTGAAAGTGCGCTGGGCACTTAATCAACAGTCGCAATAGCAACCATATTCCAAATACAGGTTGGTCATTTTAAGCTTTTTCAAATATTTGTTGGTAGTTTATGTTTCTGCCATGTATCATGCAATGACCACATATTTTCTGAGATAAAGATCAATTAAAAAAATTATTGAAATTATGGAATGTATTTTACCTTTTATCTTATCCGTGCATCCCGTGTATGCAGGTTTGCCATTTTGTCCAATGTAAAACAGCGGAGTGACGTTACTGTTCGCAATACCATACTCGTCGAACACGCCATAACGTAAGTGTGAAAACTCATGGACAATTACGAGCCCTGAAATTGTAATGTGTCATATGTGTTGGACAACTTTTGAGCTTGTTTATTTGATTGTACATGACGTCAGAAAACAATCTTATATGTTTGTATAAGCTTAATCAGATATTCTATAGATGTAAAAAACTACAAATAACATTAACATTCCAATATGAATAAAAAATAAATACCTGGTGGACCCCATCTTGTTTGCCGGTCATTGTGCGTATCTAAAACATAATCAGGGGTCAGATGACAATAGCTTGCGGGTTCACCACAATGGCCAAGTTGTCTGGTATACGGGTTGTTGTATGGATTTCCCATATCAACCCTAAAGTCTGCATTTTCAAAGGTTTCTAGATTTGCATTTTGATATTCCTTTTTGTCACTCCATGTGTCTGGAACCAGAATACTGATTCTTTTAAGATATGCACGCTTTCTGGTTGCATTATAAAGATATGGAGACGCATCGCTGAACATTTGCTGAAATGAAATTAGAACTTCATGTTCCAGATCAGATCTACACATTTAAACAGCTTACCAAGACCGAAGGCTTTGAACTTAGCTATTCAAGTTGAGATTTCCTCTTAAAGTGTTACCCCCCTATCACACCAAACTAGTTCTTACCCGTTCTTGCCAGTCCTACGAAAATGTCGTAAAACGGGCTCAATCTGGCTGCGGTCGGGATATATGTCTAAAATAATTAGCTACTTCGTTCATAAAAAGTCTTCAATACGTCCATCTCATTCGCAGTTCGTTCAGGTCGCATCATGTCGGTGTGCAACGTAGTATGAACCGTCCCTTAGTCTAGAAGGTCGTCATGACCTGATTACAGAACGGTATGGTCGCCATCGAATTTTGAATCGATTCAAAATTCTAAATCACATACCCCGTCCGGGAAAGTCCATGAAGTTCGTAAACAGACCGTAGAACGTTGTAGCTACGTTCATTCAGTTCGCACACAGTTTAAAACCGATTCGGCAACGTTTTGACGATCACCAGAAAATTTTGAGCATACTCTAACCCCCCTATCACACCAAACTAGTTCTTACCCGTTCTTGCCAGTCCTACGAAAACGTCGTAAAACGGGCTCAATCTGGCTGTGGTCGGGAAATATGTCCGAAATAATTAGCTTCTTCGTCCTTAAACAGTCTTCAATACGTCCATCTCGTTCGCAGTTCGTTCAGGTCGCACCACGTCGGTGTACAACGTCGTAGAACGCGTCCCTTAGTCTAGAAGGTCAACATGACCTGATTACAGAACGGCATGGTCGCCATCGAACTTTGAATCGATTCAAAATTCTAAAATCACATTCCCGTCTGAGAACGTTCATAAAGTTCGTAAATAGACCTTAGAAAGTTGCAGCTACGTTCATTCCATTCGCACACAGTTTCAAACCAGTTTTGAAGAACGCAGTGGCAACTTGTTTGGTGTGATAGCTATATTTTTGCTAACTCGTTCATAAGCAGTGTTAAATACGTTCTTAATCAGTTTAAACCCGTTTGCAATTAGTTCTACCTCGTTCTCAACACGTCCTCAGACAGTTCAACTCGTTGTTAAAACGTCCCTAGTAGGATTGAAGTACGACGGTTCCGTTCGTAGTACGTCCAGCTCGTCGTTAGTACGAACGTGACGACCACGAGTACATTTTGAGCATTGTCTAAGTTCTAGAGGACCTACCCGTTCGTGTACGTTCGATGAAGTTTGTAAATAGATCCCAAACGGTTCTTAGTAGGTCCAGTCCGTTCGTACATAGTTGAAGCCCGTTTTCGAGAACGTAGTGAGAACTAGTTTGGTGTGATAGTAGGGTAAGTGCGGGAGAACCTACTCGTTCTAGTAGTTTCATGAAGTTTGTAAACAGATCCCAAACGGTTCTTAGTGGGTTCTTAGTACGTCAAGTCCGTTCGTGCAGAGTTTAAGGCCGTTTTCGAGAACGTAGTGAGAACTAATTTGGTGTGATAGTAGGGTTAAATCCACTTTCCAAATCGCTACTCCAACGATATTACTGTCGGTCTTAACATCAAGTATACGAGTATGTTATGTATGTCAAACTGGGATATTGTGGATTTTCCTAACCAGTCTTCTTGTATATATCATGTTTTTTCTTGATTTGTTTCTTAATTCTCGTTTTCCTTTCGTTTTGACGAATGTGCTTACCTTCAACTGCGATATGATCTCTGTGTTCTCTGAGACATCTCTGCTAATGGCAACAACGACGTCAGTATATCCGTTCTCCTCTATTTTAACAAGAGAAGCCCAAGTCGGATGGAAAATCGTCAAAGTAAGAAGAGCAGGCAGTATGTAAGCCATTCTCTTATTCATTTACATATTTGAGTAGTACTAGGCCTGTCATAATATATGCTAACTTACTACCAAAACTGTTTGTCTCAAAGTACTAGTATATGTGAGATTACCAAAATGTACAACTCTGAGTTCAAGTCAATAAAGCATGTAAATGTTTTGATATAAAGAAGATTCTTAATCTTGTCTTTACGTGATATTTAGAGTAGTTCTGATAGAACTTTATAGATCCTTATATGGTGTCAGATTCATAGAACAAGGAAATATGTATAGATTGGAACCACCCGAGCAATTTGATGTGACTCAACCCAAGTTATGGAGACATTGGATTTCCAGGTTTGAGAGATTTAGGACAGCTAGTAAGTTGAAAACTGAAGCTGAATCTAATCAGATTGACACTTTGATATATGTCATGGGCCCAAAGGCTGAGACTATTTACAATACTTTTACGTATTCTGAAGACCAAGATAAAAACAAATATGAGACAATTTCCAAGAAATTTGAGCAGTATTTTGTACCCAAGGTAAACATTATAGAGGAACAAAGACAGTTTCACAACCTAGCTCAAACCAGTAGTGTTGATAATTTCTTGAGGGAACTATACGACAAGTGTGAAGTTTGTCAATTTGGAGATAAAACAGCCCAGGATCGAGAAATTATGCACCAATTAATTGTTGGAATGAAAAATAAAGAGCTTGCCGACAAATTGAAGATTATGGACTATACGAAACTCACTTTGGCGAAAGTAATTGAGATGGCACGACTGAGGGAATCAGTCATTACCTCAAATGAAGGGTCGCCTTCGATTTCAGTGGACGCTGTTAAGAAAAACAATTATCGTGTCAAAGGACGCTACAGTCAAAGTAAATCGAGTTCACAGGATAATATAAAGTGTGGCAAATGTCTGCTACAACATGACAAGGGCAAATGTCCAGCCCATAACGAGACTTGCCGATATTGTAAATCCAAAGGACACTACAAACGTGCTTGCCGTAAATTGTTGTCAAAATCGACACATAGTGCCCATAATGTTGAAGATTGTGATTCGACAGATGGTGATTCGTATCTCGGTGAAATATATGAGGCTCAGGCTACAGATTTTCTTGAGGAAGTTGTGATCGATTTGGATGAGATGATTACCAACGATAATGAACCTCCATGGTACCAAGAACTGAAGGTATGTGGGGAGGGTATTAAGTTCAAACTTGACAGTGGTGCAGACGTGTCTGTAATTAACTCTTCCACTTATCAGAAATTTCAGTCAAAACCACCCCTGGTTTCATCTAAGTCCAAACTTAATAGTCTGGGAGGTAGAATCAAGAGTTTGGGTCAATTTAAGGCCAAGATTGAATATCAAGGGAAGGTTTTCAAAACAAGTATTCATGTCGTAGATAATCCCAAGGGTTCAAATCTCCTGTCAAGAGGGTGTGCCACAGGGATGGGTCTTATCAAGCGTATTCATGAATTACGAGTACCTAAACTTGAATCTAAGGTGAAAGATCGAGTCAATGATCCTGATATTTTTGGAGATGTTGGTAAAATCAAATATCAGCCAATCAAGATTAAGCTCAAAGATGATGCTACCCCATATTGCATACCAGTTTCTAGACGTGTTAGTCTACCCCTTATGCCTAGAGTTAAAGCTAAACTGGAGAAAATGGTGAAGCAAGGTGTTATTTCGCGTGTTACAGAACCTACCGATTGGTGTGCGCCAATGGTCGCGGTTGAAAAACGCAATGATCCAGAGCCAAGAATTTGTGTAGATCTTCGCCAGTTGAATAAAAACATAAAGCGCGAGAAATTTATGCTTCCGTCAACTGAAGACTTGGTACATAAAATGAAAAATTCTACAGTGTTTTCCGTGCTCGATGCTTCAAGTAGTTTCTGGGGTCTAACCCTTGAACATGAAAGTTCGTTACTCACAACGTTCATATCGCCTTTTGGTCGATTCAAATTCAATCGAGTTCCTTTCGGTCTGAATTTTGCAAGCGAGTTATACCAAAGAATCATGATGGAAACGTTCGAAGGTCTTGATGGTGTAGAGATATTTATCGATAATCTAATTGTTCATGGTAAAGATACTGCGGAACATGATCGACGGTTGTCAGCGGTTTTAGAGAAGATTAGGACAGCCGGAATCAAACTAAACAAAGCGAAATGCAAGTTTTCTCAGAGCAAGGTAAGTTTCATGGGTTTTACCATTTCAAAAGATGGGATAAGTCCATCAGCGGAGAAAGTACGTGCTATTCAAGAATTGAAACCACCTACTAATCAGACAGAATTGAAACGTGTGCTTGGATCGATCAATTTTCTTGGAAGATTCATTCCAAAGATGTCTACAGTTGCAGCCCCGATGTACAGTCTATTGAAAAAAGACACAGTGTTTACGTGGGACACAATGCAGCAGAAAGCTTTTGATGATGTCAAAGCACTGGTAAGTAACGCACCGGTTCTAGCATTTTATGATCCACAGAAAGAGACTATTCTGAGCGCAGATGCAAGTAGCTACGGTATCGGTGGATGTTTATGGCAAAAACATGGCAGTATTTTGAAACCTGTTTCATATGCATCACGTTCATTGTCAGAAACCGAGAAACGATATGCCATGATAGAGAAAGAGTGCTTAGCGGCAGTGTGGAGTTCAGAGAAATTTTCACGATATCTCATTGGTTTAGATTATGAACTACTCACTGATCACAAACCATTGATTCCACTGATTAACACAAAAGACATTGATCAGGTACCAATCAGAACACAACGTTTATTGATGCGACTTATGCGGTTCAATGTAAAAGCAACATATGTGCCTGGTAGAGATATGGTCGTTGCGGATACTCTAAGTCGTGATCCATTGCCATACGATTGTGATGTTATCGAGAAACAGAACGAGATTGAACAACATGTTGAAGCGATTGAGAATAATCGTCCAATTGCAGATTATCTGATTGAATTGATAAAAACTGCATCCAGAACAGATTCGGATTTAATCCGTTTGCGAGATATAATCATGAAAGGTTGGCCTGACAGCGTAAAATCAGTGCCACCTGATTTAAAACCATACTTTTCGGAGCGTGGAATGCTTAGCATACAAAATGATCTCATATTACACGGTACACGAATCGTAGTTCCGAGTAGTTTACGTGCTGAGATTCTTGAGCGTATCCATCATGGACACTTGGGAATTAATAAATGTCGTGCGCGTGCTAGCGGTTCAGTGTATTGGCCTGGGATGAGCGGTGAGATTCGAGATATGGTAAATAAATGTACGCATTGTGCGACCTACCGGAATGCACAGAGAAAAGAACCATTAATCCCGACAAAACTACCGGATCGTCCGTGGAGTCAAATTGCAGCAGATTTATGTGAATACAAAGGTAAGCATTGGCTCGTGGTAGTAGACTATTTTTCGAGATTTCCGGAAGTTGCAAGATTAGAAAAGAATACAACTACAAAGACAGTGATTGACAAGCTTAAAGCTATTTTTGCGCGATTTGGTATTTGCGACACTTTAAACTCAGATAATGGTCCACAATTCAAAAGTGCGGAATTTGCTGAGTTCGCCCGTAAATACAATTTCAACCATGTGACTTCTAGTCCAAATTTTGCGCAAAGTAATGGTCAAGTAGAGAGGGGAGTCCAAGTATTGAAACGCTTCCTTCACCAAGATGATCCATGCTTAGCTTTACTGTCATATAGATCAACACCCCATGCATCTACTCAAGTTTCTCCTGCTGAGTTACTGATGGGGAGAAAAATCAAATCAACCATACCTACTTTGGCTACCAACCTAAAACCCAAATGGCCAGACTTGAAAGTTGTCAAAATGAATGATGAGAAAGCCAAAAGCTCCCACAAACATTACTTTGACAGGCGCCATGGTGTGCAACCATTGACTGATCTTACACCGGGTCAAAATGTCCTGTTAAAACGGGAGGGGGAAAAGGGTTGGAATGTTAAAGGGAAAGTGAAATGTTCACATGAAAGTCCAAGATCTTACATTGTAGACACAGGTAATGGGATATATAGGCGAAATCGCAGTCATATTTTGAAGGTTCCTGACTTTAGTCAACCATTAGATGAAACCACAACTCCCATTCAGGCTAATGGAGCCATTAGTTCTGATACATCTGTTCAAGATCACATATTACCCAGTGATCAAGCTGTAACTGCACCCATTGTCTATTGAACAACCTAATCCACAACCTGATGATGTTCAACCTAGTGGTAGAATGCAAACTAGGTCACAAACTGGAACTGTTGTGAATAAACCAGTACGTTACAGAGATTAGGGACATAAACATTTAAAGTGATACTAAAGTACATAAACATTTAAAGTGATACTAAAGTACCAAAAGAAAGTTCATAGAAATAACTTTATGTATTAGAAATAACTTCATAAATACTTTAGTGACTTTTTTACATATACAATACATTTTGTAATCTTAAGGGGAGATGTCATAATATATGCTAACTTACTACCAAAACTGTTTGTCTCAAAGTACTAGTATATGTGAGATTACCAAAATGTACAACTCTGAGTTCAAGTCAATAAAGCATGTAAATGTTTTGATATAAAGAAGATTCTTAATCTTGTCTTTACGTGATATTTAGAGTAGTTCTGATAGAACTTTATAGATCCTTATAAGGCCGATATGATCTATGAGTGAACACGTACCGATCAAATACTGCACGTTACTTTCACACTTTGAACATAACGTTTCGAAGAAGACATAAATTTAATCTGAATCGTGTGATATGACAAAAAGGTTTAGAAATTGGTGGGCAGTTCTAGATCTGATCTCATTATCTATGAATAAGATTATAAAGTCGTACTTAATTGTTGTGGGTTGGTGTGAGTGTCATTTTCACAATGGGGCAAAGAGCATGTAAGTTATGTGATGATGAAAACATCATAAAAAAGAGTCCTCGAAACGAATGCTGTTCGTTCTAATTGGATGACCTGAATATCGCGACACGCAGTATTTAATTTTAGTTAGTTTTAGTTTTTAGTTTAATTATCATACGAATCTGAACGTTTTACCAGAAATAATTTCAAACAAAATAACCTACTTCTGGTTCTGTAGTATAATACCTTTAAATATTTACTCATTGGCCTTAATTAAAAGTCACTTAATTTAAATTATTTCAGAGGTACTTTAGATGTATTGTTTAGTGATGACAGAGCGAATTATATAACATCATATATTATTTTTACGCAATCGATTCGAAGAAGGAAATGATATGTTACGTTGTAACAAGTTAAGTTACACCGAGTTAACTAATAACTAAAAAATTGACATTTTGAAATCTTTGATTTTTCTGAAAATAACTTCCGCTTTACATTTAAGTAAATCTAACTATACGTATACATTATACTATATTTATTAATTCATTTAATATGTAAAATACGAATCTCATGTGTAAGCTTATGCCTCTACAATATATATATAGTTCCATTTCACATCACATTATTTGTAAAATAGTGATCCACTTTCTGCCATATGCAGATTGTTTATTTCTTGGAAAATTAATATAACACTCATCCACCCATCCACTCCTAATAGTCACATATTTGCTCCTCAACAGTCAATATGTTATTCCTGGATAAAAATGAAAGCATGCGATGACAATTCCAAGCAGCACTGCACAGCGGTGTTTACCAAACTGTCTGTTCAATGCTGTACATCATTTCCGAAACAGTGCTGTGTTGGATTTTTAGAACACATGCACAGCACTGTTCTCGATCAACAGCATTGAGCACTCTTTGATAATGATGAAGATAAGGGGATGACAAATGCTCATGCAAAACAGTATATGTATATCTTATAATAAAAAGCAAATATCCATTGTCTGCTTCAATGATGTTATGCCACTTTCTCATACAGCGTGGCGATGTCGTAAGGCGTGGAATACTCATGCGTATCACATTCTGATGGTTTTCGATTTCGATCCAATGGTTTAGAGTTAATGGCGTATCCTGGGTTAGTGACAAAAGCCGGTCTGTTGACTGCCCTTTGCCACATGGCATTCTCCGCTGCAGATAAGCTCGATGTGGATTTTTCACCTTTCTCTTTCCTGCAACGTTAAAAGTTTTCAAATTCAATACACTTTATCATGTGCTCTTCTGATGAATATACACGTTGCTAGTGTAAATGGACTGTTGTCTAGTTTCACCATTGATCTCCTCGATTTTAGAAAAAAAACTAAATTGAAATTTTTCAAATATTGGTTGACTGTCAGTTATCATATAATGTAATGTTACAGTAATTTTATAATTATAATGTTACAGTAATTCTTTTATGATGTCTGGTGTATGTCCTGCTACATGGTTTACCTTTTGCTTCGTAATATCAGGATATATATAACGCCAATGATCAATATGACGGATGCGACTATTCCAGCAGGGATACCAATGTAAAGCCCGAGGCCATTGTCACCTCCCGGTCCTTGTGGTATCTTGAAATCATCGTCCGTAACCGGCTAAAAACAAACAAACAAATGATCAATACGTATATTCAATTCATATTATTAATAATCTTGTAACCATCCAATTGGTTGAACCAATTGTCACAAAAGTATGTCTCAGCCTTGCACTAACAATACACGCAGGCGCATCTAATTTCCAGGTTATGTCATGTTTCAAAGAGGGACGGGAAGAAAATGCATCCTAACGTATTGAAACGAGTTTTAAAGTGATGGACCAAAGCATTCGATTCAACCTTTTTGTACTTTATAATGATTCTGTTCAATCAAAATACAATACGTGTAATATGGGAATCACACCTTTGTTTTATCAAATGCTTGCCTATTTTTACCTGTATTTCAATATCATCCGGGAGATCGGTTTCATCCGGGTCCTCTTCCTCCTCAAGTAGATTAGCCATGACGTAATTAGACAGGTCGCTATGAATGTCTAGTTCATCCCAAGACCACATCACGAAACTGTAGGACGTCTCGTTTTCAGCGCCAAACTTTGGTAGTCTGATCACAATTCTGTGCGTGCTGTATGCTGGCAGAGGTTCTAGTGATCCATTTACCAGGTCTGACTCATGCACCACGTAACCATGGCGATGATTGGCAACAAGGGCCTCCATTTTGTGATGCACGAATATTTCAAATCCATCCACTACAGACGAAACAATAATTACACGACTATCGCAGTCCGAGCATTAGTTCAATTTATGCTTCATTTTTTGATTAACTAAAAATTAAAGCCGAGCGGTCTAGAGTTCTGAACACGTTAAGATAGGCGCTGTCGCCGATACCCTGAGTTCGAGACCTGTGTGCTCATTGCGTTTATTCATACAAGTGCTTTAGAATTTGAACATCACTACTAGTGCCTGCGCCACAATACCGTCCACAAGTTTGGGAGCCAGGCGTTTTCATTGAATGGCATATCAAAGTACATGTATGTCAATGTTTGAATCTCAGTTTTAAGTATTCAGAAAATGACGAATTTGATAATTCTTAAAAATCACCAAACACAAACGGGTTTTAATAAGTGACCCAAAATGGAACTTGTGGTTGCCATCTTTCTGGAGGTCAGTGAAGCCCTTCTCCATTCAGAATATTGGTAATCAAAGTATACGTAATGACCATGACTAAATGTTTACCTAAGGGGGTGATATATGGCTATTTCCTGGGGATAGGGATGATATAAATTCACAGCCTTGGTTGTTTAAGACCTCGATCAGGTTGTCTCACAACTAATCAACTCATCAGTGACACAGACGGTATGATAAGCAATCCAACTAATTTTTCCGGTTTTATTTGAAATCACAATGATTGATTCTCTCAATGCAATGATTTTAAAACATAAATACAAGTCATATTGCACACGGGTTCGATCAGGTGTCTCATTGGCAACAATCGCTAGTACAGTAAGTATTGATTCTGCCTACCTATTCCAGAGAACGCATTTTGACCAGGCGCTGTCCAGGTCAAGGTCACGGTCCTGTTTTCTGGTGACATACTTTCAACTGATAAATCGTCCACTCTACCGGGGGGATATTCTTCTTTATTGGCAGAGTTTTCTACCTTAAACGACCCACCAGATGCTTCTCTTTGGAAGTCCCCTATCGGTTCCCACGTGACCTGTTCTTCCACTAAAACAAAACAAGCATCTTGATTCACAAGGTTTCGATTGTTCCTACCTCACCTTGATAAATCTGCCCGATTTTTGACCGACCACTATGTAAATAAACCCCAGCTGAGTTCACTCTCAATATTGCTCCTCCTGGCAGTTGCCCGCAGAGTTTTGTGAGACGCCACAAAACCGTTTGGGCAATCAATGATGCGATATTTATTCAGTCCGTATACAAGTAGACATTTTCAATATTTTGTCACGTGACGAAGCAGAGCGGTCTGATTGGGCCCGTGGACAAAACACCGGACTATGAACCGCCACATATGAATGGGAGAAACGAATTGACCTTTTATGGTGATAGGCTCCACTGATGGTCAAGGGACTATGTTGCAATATTGCATATTCTTACTTTGTAACTGGTCATAGGCTCCACTGACAGCCGAAGCACGATGTTGTAACACTGCATTCCCACTTGGATTACTGGCACTCACAGTGACAGCATAACGGTCATCTCCACTGACGTTGGGGAAGAAATTGGAATACACCCCGTCATCTTTGAAATTATCACTGCCTGTATGAATCAAGATTAGCTATATTATTTTGAGATGTTACATTCAATTTCCATGTTACCCTCCCAACAAAATAAAAAATAAAATTATAGGTATCGATTTGCGATTAATGAGTAAACCATTTTTATTAGTTATGGATTGGTCGTAAATGAATTTATTTCAGGTTTTATCAAATTATTTTATTAATTAATTTCAAGAAAAAATTACTCACCTATACCATTATCATACAGGTCAATTGTGATGAACTTCTTTCCAGGTAGTTCTATGGTGGCCTTCACTTGCAGCTCGATGACGGGTGAGTATCCCTTGGAGACCTCTGCATACACAATAGATGTGTCTGCGGGTACATTTATGTTTAATTTGTTCACCCACGCTCGTAATGTAATACCACCACTATTTGACACTGGGCTAGAGCGAATATTCACGCCAACCTTTCCGGCGCCTGAATTTTGAATACTGTATTTCCATTGCCCCGCCTGTAACAATATGGAAAGTTTAGTTAGTTCTCATTAGGGAATGACACGTTCTTTATAAACTGTCATTGAGCAAAATTTGTTTGGGCAAAATTAATTTCTATCCATAACCTATTATTACCATATTGATTCAATCAAACCTTATTGAAAAACAAAAGAAGATCATATCTAAAACAACTTGACTTTGATATTGTAATGAAAAGTGAAAAACTGATAAGATACTAGTATGTAATGAGGAAACTCACTGCGGCAACACTAGGGATGACGATACTTATAACGAAGAATATGGAATGTTCCAAATATCCTGGACTTGCAGATGTGAATGTCGTTCTTCCATCGGGACTTGTTACAGTAACCTAAATTTTTAAAAAAACTATGTAATGAACACGAACGTTTAACATGTTTCAATGACATACTATGCTTCCACTCAATCTGTCAATAAAGAAAGACATTTAGATATCAGCAGAGAATTTTAGCGGCTTATATATTGATACCATGTCCTCAATAGAGTAGTTTCTAAATAGCTTTAAAATCTCGCTAAATCTCGTTTTTATGAGATTTTTAGAGATTTGCACTTTTTACCTCTAATGACTTACTTTTCTTTATTTTTGATAGCATATTTGAATTCAGTGACAAGTTTTCTCCAATAATAAGTTTGATTTACACAGTTATGTCATTTAAATCATTTTCCATGACATTTAAAAAAAACTTGGGCCAAATCTCCATTGGTGCAATGCTAAGATTCATTAAAACTTTGCCTTATTCGTATGACAACTAACATTTTCATGTTTAATCACAATATGTACATTAACAGTATCATCCGATAGTATGCCATTCGAGTTTCAGACAGATTCAACCAACACTTTTTGACAAATCATGAAATTAAGTGACTATTGCAAGTTTCTAGCATTGAACTGAATGGAGGTGTGGCCCAAGAAAATCAAAGACAAACAAGGGTGACATCTATTATGTCAGCGTTATTCAGCTATTTAGAAACTATACAATTGTGCAAGGGACTATCTTGATATACGTATTCGTACCACTAATAACCCTCTTGTTCGAACGCTAGGTGGCGGTGTGAACATGAATGTTGTACTTTTCCCTAAGGAACTATCGAGAAACACGTGACCTTGAGTTGGCACCGAAGAGGCCGCTGAAACCTTTTCACTTTTGATCTGCAAACATGATGAAACATATATTCACAAAGTGACAAAAGTACAAAACGTGAATTCTAAATCGAGAAAGTCGAACATACATGTATATCAAGGTTGTTTACCTCAACTGGTTGCGTCCCTACACAGTTTGTGTTGCCTCCGACAGAACGACTGAAAGCATCGTCTAAGGCTGTTGAACTCTCATCCTCGGAATAAAAGAATGCTGTCCCGCCTAACGAAACAAAATTAATACCAGTAAAACCAAGTTGCCATAACAAGTATATATAAAAAGTGGCCAATATATGTATTTCATAACATATCCTACCAGTTCTATCAGCAAGGCGTTCCAGATTTGTTGCTGCACTAGTACTAAACGCAATGACGTCAGCCACAATACCAATGTTGTCTAGAGTGCCAACATCAATGACATTGTCAAGGTTATTACCATCTTGCCCATCTGATAGGACCAGAAGCTTTGACCCAACTGTACCACCATTTGACTGTAGCAGCTGAAATCAAGATTTCATGGATTTAAAGTGGCCATAAAGAATACAATATCAGTGGAAGACATAACCTGTTATTCAGGAACAAACAGTCATCATCTAAAGTAATGAAACACGCAACATATAATTAAATAAATTGAGAAAGGGATTTAAAACAGGACCGGTTGACAAAAGCCTTGAACTATGGCCGCAATATAACTTTTAAATGAAAACAGAAGAGAGGGTTGGTTCATTCGGGAATAAAGTCCCGGGAATAAAGTGTTTCCTTATGTATATTCCAGCCTGGCCAAACTTGATGGAACTCGTCGATTTAGAGAAGCGTGTTTTTTAAAGTAATATGATTGTATGTACCTCGAGAGCTTTTTCGACACCAGTGCCTATCGCAGTACCGCCTCCACTGTTTGAGTGTAAAGATGCCACTAAACTCTCCCGATCCTTGACACTCGTGATCTGGCGCATTTGGTGAACAATAGTTGCTCTGCTGTCAAACATGATGATACCAAGTTCTACACCATCTGGCACGGTGCTGATGATGAACTTGTAAGCGGCTTGAGCCAGAACGAAGAGTCTGTTGTTACTACCCTATTGAAATAATGGTTCTTACAATTCTGAATTATATCATGATATTCATGATCATTGGGTATATGTTTAATGAAATCCATCAGAATACCAATATCATGAAGCATTGACATCTAAATGTGGAAATTCCTGCGTAATTCCTAATGGTGAATTCATCGCACTTATTCATCTTGACCTATAAAGGGGACTGTGGGTGTATTTTAATGAGGTACTTCTTATTTAAACTGTTGAGATGAGACAACATTGAGATTGTGACCTCGACGCCATTTTTTCTATCTTACCATGCTCCCAGACTTGTCCAGAACCAACACCATCCTTCCACATGACCCACTTGCTGCGTTATTTCGGGAATAGCGAACACGTATGTCAGGCTATTACTAATATCTCTTGGTAGATTAGCATTATTAGCGAAATCATCATGTTCTAGAATAACGTTCCATGTGGCCTTTTTGTTACACTTTTTGTTCTGTAAATTTGGCGCCAACTTGTTGTGTGTGACATCGGGATCTGCAGGATTATCTTCGCAGAACTCTGTCACCTTGAGCGTGATACATTAATTATGTGAATGTTTAAAGAGTTGTATTTTGCGGATGATTGGGCCATGACGAAAGTTGAATGGATTATCTAATATGATTTTTAACAAAAATATTTCAAACTACAGAGACACGTGTTGACGTGCATATACATGTACTGTCATAAGAGGTAATTTTGCCTAATCATTCAATATGCCCATTGCCCATCGTGGTAAGTCACGGCCTCTCCATCGCTGTCCTTCTGGTGTGATGCGATGCAACAGAGAACGATTTCCGAACCTGGCCAAAATTAGGCAATAGGCATTCTGTTACTCATCATAGCATCTAGTATTAATATTATGTTGCCTATAGCAGGTATATTTACCGGGATATTTACATCACAAATAAGATCAGATTTTGGAAAAAGCATTGTGAAATTTTATTTTGTTTTACCCCTTCCTATAAATAACGAGCCCGGGTAGACGTGCTTAACACTTTATGTATATATCCTCATAATAAATCTTACAACTTAACTGGTTGGGTTTATGTAAAGTGAAATTCTTGACAGACTAACAAAGTATCTTTATTATATAATCTCATATTAACAGATGGCGAATATGTTACCCTAATCAGCAAATATATTAAAGCTATCAATAAACAAGTTATCAGTTTGGGGTAAGATATTAACGAAAATTTGTTAATGAATGGGCCTACCGATTCTAGGAACTGCATGTGCATCAAGGACGCCTTTGCAGTTTGTTGCTTGTGAGGATAGAATCTACAATCAGCCTCTGTGGTGCCGTTTATCCGTTTGCATCGTTTATTTGGATTATGTCTCAGTCTAAAGTCACCTTAACATGAAATAATTTATTTCCATTAACTTACTAAAACATAAATAATATCTAATCGTTTAGTAGAAGTTAGGTTTCATAAAAATAATCGAATGTCATAACAATCTACAATCAAACTTAATTCTATAATGGGTAGTTTTAGTTTATGAATCTCTTAAAAGTTAAAAATCTGAAAAGCTAGTATTAAATTCACAAATTTTAGTCCAATATTACAATCAGCTATACTATTTACTATGATTTAGTTAATCAATGTACTGTTTACAGGCCCTAATAAGTAAAAATATAATTCAGTGATTCATACCCATATTCAATTCCCATTCATACCCATGTTCAATTCCCATTCATACCCATGTTCAATTCCCATTCATACCCATGTTTAATTCCCATTCATACCCATGTTCAATTCCCAGTCATACCCATGTTCAATTCTCAGTCATACCCATGTTCAATTTTTCAAATTGATAACTAAAGATATTCAAAGATTCCATGGTCATAAGGTTTTGGTGCTGGTTCTTTACGCTGCGTTGCTTAATTAATTTGAAGATACGCTAACTTTTTAATACCAGTTTCTTTCCACGTTGAGTCCAGAAATTCCCTGACTAGTATAACATTTTCAAATTACCTTTAATTTTATCCGTGCAACCAGTGGACGCAGGTTTACCATTTGGTCCCGTGTAGAACAGGGGAATTTCAGCACTGTTCGCTTTACCATATTCGTCGAATATACCATATCGTAAGTGCGCAAATTCATGCGCGAGCACTCGTCCTAAAATTATTAAATCTCAAAAAGTACTCTTTTGAAACATTCGTATGCAGAAATTCTTTTTTCACTATGTCTATTATGGTTTTAATGAAAACTATCAAATCAAATATGCAATTAAATCGTTGACGCAATAAGTTGGTATCCCGATGCTAGGATTTCTTAAACAGGATATTTGGGGTTGCTTTTTAGAACCTTTTGTTGGCTCTATAAAGAAATACCCATGGCTGGATAAATAATGAATTTTACTCGGACATTACCTGGTGTTCCAAACCTCAGAAATCTATTGCCAAAAGTATCCAAGACGTACTCTGGGCTCAAATGACAATAGCTTGCGGGTCTCCCACATTGCTCCAACTGCTTTGTATAAGGGCCATTGTTCGGGTTACCAGTGTCCACTCGGAAATCTGCATTCTCAAACGTCTCGAGTTTAGCATCCTCGTATTGAGGCTTATCACTCCACGTTGGTGGCACAAGAATACTGACTCTTTTCAGATATGCACGTTTTCTGGTTGCATTATATAGAAATGGCGACGCTTCGATGAACATTTGCTGAAAGAACACAACATTTCTTATTCAGGGAACATAGTTGGTTAGGTAGTAGATATAGAAGGACTTTTTATCCTTTAAATACGGCGACAAATGAAACTATTTTAATTGTGTCCTACCTATATCTTTCAATATTTTAATAAACCAAAGAAACTAAGAAGAAGAATTTTTAGATTAAACTAGTAAGAAGGGAAAGAGTTTATTATTTAGTTCAGTATTTTAGGAAATAGTAGATTTACCCATGTGGATATAATATGAACATGAACACAGTATACTCACCTTTAACTCAGATATGATCGCTGGGTCCTCTGGAACATTCTGCCCTATAGCGACGACGACATCAACATACCCATTGATGTCAAGTTTAGCGATAGATGTCCCTACCGAAAAATAACTTTTCAACGTAAGAAACGCGAGGACAATATAAAGCCTCATCTTAAGGTTCCCCTAGAAGTCTAATATGCAAGATCTCCCAAGGAGTGAGAATAGACTAAATGACTGAGCTTTTTACGTAGCAAGCCTCGATTTCATTGGTCGCGAGAGTGGTGTTCATCAACCCTAATTACATTTAAGGAAGTTAAAAGTCTTAAAAGCATAAGATGACATACCCGTAATCTCGTAAACTTACAGAATAATGACTGGATGACTCTTCAGATAGGCGGACCTTTAAATGACTTTCTTAGAACTTTCAAGAAGTGAATAAATTGAAAAGGTGACTTGGGCGATAGTGCTTCAGGTTTTTATGCCACTCGTGTTTCAGTTTACAATCGAGTTTAAGGACTTTTCAAAATGGGGCCATCATTACACAACTTCTTATTTTAAATTCAAAGTATATCTTGACATTGAAGTTTATGAACATTAAATATTTTGTGGTTTATACGATTCAATAATTGTTTTTCACGATTATTGTTATCTACAATTTCGATTTTAATTTCACACTTCGATTAAAAGTAAATTTTCGAAATGCATTTTTTTCAATCAGAGATAGGCTTTTACACAAGGGATCAACTTTCAAAATGTCACCAGGTGCCATTTGATACAGACGTCGACCAACGAACGCCAAACACCAACCGCCGAACACCGTCCACAAAATCACGTAATCCTTTATTTTACCAGATATTGAATACGCGTATCAGAAATTAAAATTGCTTTGCTAGACAAAAATGTAATCTGATACCGCAACTGAAGGATTTCATACTGGCTCTGTTAGTCAGCAGTATCTTAAAATAACTAGATATTGGAAATTGAACAAGTTCAAGTTCAGACTCCAGATGTCAGATTTGTTTTTAGTTTATAGATAGATAAATAGACTGATAAATAGAAAGAGAGTTCGATAGATAGACATATAGATAGATTTATCAATATTTTTGTCACTACTCTTGACTTTCTTTGTGGATACCATCAAATCGATTTTTTCGAAATTTTCAAAAAGGCGTAGAATTTTAACCCGAAGTCGGATTTCAATTCTGGGCCAAATTTGGTCAAATCGAACCAAGTTGAAAAATAACATTTTTTAGCATTTTTTACATCAAATATCTCAAAAACGGTTAAAGTACTCAAGAAACGGATGGTACACTGTCGAATTGTCTTTTTCTTGGCTACAAATAAAAGATCAAGAAAAAATATTGAAAATTGACAAAGATAATTGACAAAATATTGAAAATATAAGATTTGACCTAGATTTTGACCTTTGACCTAGATCAAAATTTGACCCAATTTCCCACCAACTAGATGATGTATCTTAATTGACAATATTGTTGTCTAAAATTGAATACTTTATGGTTGTTGAGAAAACTTGCTCAGTAAAATAATAAGAAAGAAAGAAAGAAAGAAAGAAAGAAGAAAGAAAGAAAGAAAGAAAGAAAGAAAGAAAGAAAGAAAGAAAGAAAGAAAGAAAAGAGGCAATATAATAGACAGATTATCATCTGGCGATCTAATTACATGTACACGTATTCATGTTGATATCCGTTCTTATATGGGGATCCATTTGGGAGACACATGCCCACTTTGTGTCAAACCGTTTGCCCTATTGATATAAGTGTAATGACCCTTTGGCACGTACGTCGGAGAGCTGTAGTGTACCGACCCAGATACTATACTCGAAAGAGAATGTTCTAAATTAATGCCCCGTATGTACAAATATCAAGGATGGACAGTGCATAGTCGTAGGCCTCTATTCACTATTATGCGATCGGTGTCTGTTTTATTTTACTTTTGGATTACGGAACGTACTTTCCAATTTCGTAAAAGGAACTTTTTTCTTGTGTAGTGAAGATTTAATTAAAAAGGTTAACTTGTTCAATATATCTAACACAAATAGTTCATAGAAACTATTTATTGATGTACAGCATATCATTTTATTATTTTCAAATTGTCTTTTTCGAAAGTCAGATATCAAAACGTAAGTTATCGCTCAAAAAACGCTCCATGGAACTTATATTTTGGGTTGGAAATATTTAAACGACACCGTGCTCCGTTTTTTATTATCTATAATTGTATATATTTTGAAATAATTTTCAATCGGGCCCTTTGACCTGAAATGTCATTATGAAAGTCTTTTTACAAGAAGAAGGTATTGTATTCACGAGTTTCACGGTCAAACAATACACCGCCCCCTATAATATTTTATTGTTCTCATTCTTCTTCGATTATTTCCCCATATGTATTTAATGGAATTATTGTTTTGATGTCGCTATAGTGACTATTTACATTTACCCTGTATTCACTCTCCGTTTATCCATTAATAAGCTCATTTCTATAATCCCAATACGTATTTATACAAGCCTTTCCAAACGGTGCCTATTCAATGAGTTTATTGATTTACCATAATAGCCAGGATAAAATGGCGACGTTCAACTATAGGATTTAGAAATGAAGAAAATTTATATATTTGGCAATATTACTGATTTACGGTAAGTGTCGGTCGATTAGTTAAAACTTTACATCTATTGGGTTTTATTGCCTCGATTTTATAATATATTACCTCTAAGATAAGTTAATAACACTTGTTAACTGGGCCCTACTTCATAAATCGTGCAATATTAAATGGTCTGTCACAATCTGAAGTATGCCGTGTAGATCTACCTTGGCAGAGATCTAGATAAACTGATCTATAAACGATAAATGTGTATTGTTTATCACGTATTAAAATATTCACCTGTCTAAAACGACATCGCCTAATCATTAATAAAAGCTATATACCAAATTGATTGACTTGCTCCTTGGAAATGTATCATTAGCTGGTTATGTATTGTTACTGATTCAGAAACAGTTACTAAAACCACACTAGCCATACTCTCAATGGTATTATCGTTTTCGGACATGTTCAGTCTGTTCCCCAAATGTTGCCCTTGATTTCGAATCTGATGACATAATAACACATGTACATTTTATTTCAGAATGAAACATCACATAACCATGTCTAGATTTACAACAACTTCAATGATGAATGCAGTCCCTACATGTATATTCATGACCTTGACCTTATTCATAGGAATCACTGAAGGACAGACATATAGTAAGTGTCCTTGATATTGCTGAGACCTGGTGTGAAAGAAATTATGGTCCCCCAGGTATTATGGTCCCCTTTCTTAATGGACCTTACTGGCCCTGATTGTGTATAAGATAATAAGGGAAAGAGTTGTATTTAGGTCACCATATAAATCAATGGAGAGTAGGACCATAATTTGATAGGACCTTTTACACCGGGATAGTTCCTTTTACACCGGGAATATGTTTTAATGTTTAAAAAGTGTCCTTGTGTTTGATGTAGTGCATGTTTGTATATAGAATTACATCACGATGCCCATGTCAAGCAGCGTGCCTACTAGGCACGCAGTTTGAAACTCTGACAAACTGCGCGCATATTTCAAAATGTGAGACGGGGAGGACACGACTCCCAAAAAGAGCCAAAATACGAAAAATACAAGGTTAGTCTCGTTCTAAAGATAACTTACCATTCTGTGAAGATGAACTTAATTTACTCATAGTACTCAATGTTTTTCCCGATGTAAACCTAGTTATCTCAATATAAGGGTCTTAAATAACTTCTGAGTTCAAAATTTACAGTGTAAAGTTATATCTATGTCTTTTTATCGTCATTTGCCGTTTATTCAGCCATTGTATCTGTGTATGCTAGAATAGGATCACTCCATCTGATTAAAACAGCAAAGTTTGTGTTCAAAACAATAATACGCCATAAACGTGATTTAAACATTTTTCTTGTCAAACTGCGCGCCTATATTCACATGTATTTCCCAAACTGCGTGCCTAATATTTCAAAACTGCTTGCCTATCCAAGCTTGTATTGTATTATTAGAAAACATAAGCGCCATACAAGGCACATATGTGTCTAATAGTAGAACCCCATAATTGAAACACTATGAGAGTCCATCCACCAAGATGGTGATCTGAAAATAAATGTTTTTTTCGTTCCCAACTTAATTGTCACTTCTATTATACATTTTGACTTTCAATATGAAAATCTCATAAAATCTGACGATAAAGCAAAATTTCCAAAGCTACATCGAAAACACCTAGGCTTACACGTACCTCTGTAGAAATTCCAATGATAATATGTAGTTTTAATAGTGTATGCGCACATATTGTAATTTCTGGCTAAAATAGGCGCGCAGTTTGTGGTTTATTTCTTTTTAATCTCCTGATTATCTGTTTTATTTCGAAATATTTTGAATTAAACATGATAAATGTGTAAGGAATTAAATATAAAACGAGTCTAAAGTATTTGTCATTTATGTTTAAAGTGCTAGATCGATTTACGTATAAATTCCCATTAAATCAGTGACGAAAATGCCATTAATCTGCTTATGTTTTAAAACTAAGATTCATTTGCACACAGTTTTTGCTAGTATTTGCAAGAGACGTATATTCGCCACAGAATGAACGAATTGAACAAGAAAACAATGCAGGATAAATGTCTTTAAATAACGTTTCAAAATACAGACTCCAACTTAAATGATCCAATGTTCTTAGGCAGGCAGTTTGTGATCGAAACAAACTGCGCGCCTAAGTAGGCGCGCAGCTTGACATGGGCACCGTGTACATGCACTACATGATACGTGGTATTACGGACAACTTAATAAGGATGAAAAAGATGCACGAATGATAGCCATCACATAATAAGAAATGCTATTTTAATACATTTTATTACTCAATCCCGGGCCTCAACATAGCAGCATGTCTGAAATACCATTTAAAAGTATGTACGAGTTCGATCACGAATTAAAAAAACTTTCAAAATGTGGTTGGAAATGTCGAAGTCGTGCATTAAACTAACATTACTTCCTATCCCATTAATATCCCCCTTCCAAAAAAATGTTTTTCAGTAGGACTGCATGTTACTTAAGAGGTGCAAACATTATTACTGATACTTTAAGAAGCTAAAAAGTTAATGTATACTAGTAAGTCGTTATAAAAGGACTTGACGGCAATAGCAGACAAATGAGTGTTAATTTAGGGAGTACTATGCATTTTTCCATTTAACATTATTACTAATTTACAAGATAAATAAGGGTTATGTACTGGGAGGTTTTGGATATGGGGTTTATCCAGAGGGAGATATGTATATCTACCTGAGGGACCGTAGGGACCGAAGGTAGATGTGTATATCTCACGAGGGATGAACCCAATATCCAAACCGACCGTACATAACTGCTTTATCCTATACCAAGTAGAGTTTTCAGTGAAATTACCGGAAGCAGGAAGATACGCACCGAAGCGGGAAGATACGCACCGAAGCGGGAAGATATGCACCGATCGAAGCGGGAGATATGGCGGGAGATATGGAGGTTCTGGATATGTAAACCTCAAAATCAGGATACGGGATATATCTTACCAACTTATCTCCCTAAAACTCTACTTGGCATTGGATAAGGTGCTATATGTGAGCTTTATTTTGTAGGCGACTGTGGATCCCCGACCCATGTCCCAGTAGATACATCGAGTGTGAAGACAGTAACCTCATACAATCATCCATCCAATTACTTAAGGTCAGTTAGATAATTGTTTTTTATCATTATCACTGTCAAGCTAGCAGTTGTATGATTGGTCAAAACCAGATTATTTATAAAATGAATATTATATTCATATTATTATATTCACTGCCCGTTTTTATCAAATTAGAAAACCTGAAAAGGGATTTCACCGCTACCGGGAATTTCTGAAATATTCTACTTCGTTCTGTGTATATCTGTGTATATATAGGAGATAGAGAGCTTGACAGTAACATAGTTAAAACAATGTCATTTTTGTGAATACATGTGGCACATGCTCAGGAAAATATTCCAATAGCCTCTTGGGCTTCGTGGAATATCCTTTTGTAAAAGATGAAGTGGTATTCACCTCAATAGAATGAAATATTTGTTTGTATATTACTTTAAATCACTATCAAGTTTGCAATTGAAATGATATATGGTGGTCGTATTCAAAGGTTGGCATACGAGGGCCGTTCAATAAGTATTGTTACAAGTATTTACTCCAAAATGCAGTATTTTGTTTTATTTTGTTTCAGTTCACAAAGCTGCACCTATCTCATAGTAGCCCCGGAAACTAGTTCAATACAACTCAATTTCACAGCTTTTCACTTGGAAGCGTCCGGTACATGCAGCTATGACTCTTTAACGATATATGATGGTATGTCACGTGCGTTTCATTCTAAAGGGGGTAGCCAGCAATTGCTCAAGGAGGTGCACTTTTTGGGTTTGCTTACTGCAAACCAAAAGGGGAAAGGGGTTCACCCTGGAATTTTTTCTAATTTACATTGTACATTATACGTGTATGGTGCATTCTAAGGATTTTTTAATGTTATTTTCAACAAATCTTACACTCATGCCTTTTTCTTTTTTGTGGGGATGGGAGTATACGCTCATGTTCAATGAAATAATACTATTGTCTATTGGCTAATCCATCAGAATCAACGAAGTAAGTCCTTATAAAGATTAAGAGTGTAAATGAATTATATACTAGTATGTAGGAAGATAAATGGTGGCACTAAAGAGTCAATACAGAAATCATCTTGTCTACAAATCTTGTCTTGTATAAAATCTAGTTTGTATCTTATCGTGATGATTAAATGTATATTGCAATGTATTATCTAATTTTCTTACGCTTATGAACAATTGGACCAACTATTTATTAATTGTATAAATTTCTAGGTCAAACAACTGCATATCCTTTACTGGGAAGGTATTGTGGCTTATCACTCCCAAGTGACGTCATCAGTTCATCCAACTATCTAACACTATCATTCTCCACAGACGGTTCCGTCACAGCCTCTGGGTTCTCGGCTGACGTCATGGCTAACCAGCCTGGATCAGGTATGACATCAACGTCAATTATACTCCTAGTCGATTTACATGCTAGTTATCATTGAAATATAATAAGGCATGTAGATAAGATAGATAAAGCTAATGTAAAACTACGTATCGAACAACAGAAAAACAACAAACACGAATTTGGAACCCAGCGTGGCCTGCCTAGCAAGCTGATCACAATATAGCGCCCAATGGTACAATAATAACCTTACACAACTTCGCACGAAATCTGCAAATCTGTTGGTCATTTGAAGCTTGATCTTTAAAAGGACAGCAAATGGACTACATGCTGCAGTGATGAAACTTTGTCAACTTAAAGAACATTAAACAAACGTTAATTATGCAAAATAAGATTTTCCAAACTCAAGACTATTGGTTTAAAATATTTCTTTTGTATCCTGTTTTCAGCTAGTACAATCCGTGGAGAATGTGGAAGTATGCTTCCCGTATTTGCCTTAAGTGACGCCTCGCAGAACCTGTATTCACTCAACTACCCAGACCCCTACCCAGTGTAAGTATCATGAACTAAAGAAACAAATAAAATATTAAAAGTAGCATCAATCTTAAACAGATTGAGATGTTCTGTGACTTACCATTTATTTGTGCATCGTACCAATGTGTCGTTGCGTAATGTAACGTTACCTATAACGTAACGTTGTACAAAAATGTCATATCGTAGCGTGATGTAGCGTCGTGTATCGTAAATTTAATTTTACTGTTTACTATCATTTCAAAGTTTTTGATAGCAATACATATTCCCGATTGCCTAAGTCATTATATGAAAGAAAATTTTGCAATATATATCGATAGCAATACATAAACGAAAATAGTACTTACTTTTAAAATAAGAGGAATGGCACTTGCAGCAGGGAAGGATGAATGTTGCTATGGAGATAAGGCTGAGGCATCACATATTATTCAACTTATACTTGCAGGTACCAAGACTGTAGTTGGCTAGTAATGACCGCCGATACCTCAAAAGTGATCATGCTCACACTGCAAGGCATGGACATTGAAAGTACACTTTCGTGTAGTAATGACGTTCTCAAAGTACATGATGGTGAGTCATTCTGATCTCTTCGCTGTTTCATATATGACTGAGGAGAAATGAGATATCATGGTTTATTATGTTGTGGTTTATCCTTGGATTATGAGATATGATAATATTTAATACCTGATATGATAATAATTTATACCTGAGTGCTCAAGGTTTTTTGTGCTTTAATAAAATCTCTAAGTCAGTGGTGTGACTTAACGGGCATTTGCAGACCTCACTGAAGATATGATAGTTGGGACTTAGAATTTCATTATTTACTCGAATAATACTATACCAGTAGAGAGATGGATAATATTAAACCAGAAACATGTAAATGTATATATTCTAATGTTTATGAATGCCTCTTGCTAGTGGCTACACCATGCATTAATAGAGAATGGCGACGACCATGTTTTCATTTCTAGGATTCATTTTTTATGACCGATGTGTTTTGCAGGACTCAACAGACTGTTTGTACTTATGACATCGAAAAGGGTCAAACTATTTCTAATATATTTTTAATTTTCTATTGTTGTTTATTCATCCAGGTGACACTATATACAGATCAACACTCAAGTCTTGGTGCGGGCAGCTAAGCAATCTGACTGCTAGTGATAGATCCGTTGTGACCACGGGCAACTCCGCCACAGTCAGATTTACCACGAATGGCTTCAACAGTGGTGCAGGTGCGTAGATGCTACTAGTAACATTATCTATCTATCTCTCTATGAGAAAGTATGGTCTTTGGTCGTTTACCGCTTATAAAATTTTATGAATTGCTTATTTTGAGCTTAGGTGGACTGCCATCTTTAAGTTTCACAGGAAGTGACGTTGTGTTCAGATTGTTTGACAATTTCGGAATATATCTCTCATGAACAACAAATTCTAGTGAAATATTGTTATTCCAGGATTCAATTTGTCGTACGTATACACAGATCCTCCACCCACGACAACAACTACAACTCCTGCTCCTTCAACTTTACCAGCAGGCACGTATTCAGGTAAGGAATCAACCAAATAATTATTTTCATGAGAAAGTAGTACAATTAGTTTAAGCACATGAGAACTATATTATAATTCTAGATTGTTATTTTTGTAATTAAAGCTTATTTCTATTGTAAATCCGAATTCTTTCTATTGTATAATATTGTTTCTCGTGAAACCATATTTTTCCATTGTGATTCCAGCCTGTACAGGTGGTTCCTATTTTGATGCACTATCTGAGAACCAGACAATCTACTCGCCTGGTTACCCGCTTCAATATGGAAGGTAAGACGTTCCCATGAGAAAAAAGTAAAAAAACATGGGCCAAATAAAGCATTGGGCCCTATACTAAGGAGGCCTTTACGCATTAAACGTCTTTTATGCCTGTGTCACATTTACTCCGATTCATCGGGCGGCGCCCGGCCGATTGAGTATTCTGTTCCAAACTGAATACAATTGTGAACAGGATACTCAATCGGCCGGGCGCCGGCCGATGAATCAGAGCAAATGTGACCCAGGCATTAGCTGTTGCATCCTCTATATCTTTCAAAAGGCTTGCACGTACCTCTGTACAACAGTGTACTATAACTATACCCTTTGCTTTTTAAGATTTTTCACGACAACGTGCAATTTAGAATAAAAAGTGTATTAATCGATAAACAGTGGAAGATAGATGAATAGCTTGTTTGGATGTTAGGTTGTTTCAATAATATTTTGATCAGACGCTTTTGATCTTTTTTTATTTTGCTGCCTTGTAGTGATTTGGAATGCAGATACATCTTGACTGCTGCGGATCCTGGGTCTTATGTTCGCGTTGCCATAGAGTATATTGACTTAGAAGTAACCAGTACCTGCTCATACGACTACTTGGCATTCAGATCTGGTAAGATACTTTACTATTCCTACAAATCTTAGCTTGTATTCGCGAATGCCACTGAACAGCTAGCGGCTACTGGATTAACCTTCTATTTTATGACCATTTCATTTAAATATAAATGAAATAGTGACAGGTACAACTCATATTTATATGAGATACCCATAAAATAGTTAAATAATCTGATAGCCGCCATTTGCATTTGTGAATACAAACTTTATAGCTAACACTTTTGTCTTGAAAAAAAGCTGACTTAACTAATTATAATCTCAAATTCATAACCTTACAATAAGGTAAATATATTCGTTATTATGATGTGTGTGGGTCCCATCGCCTATATTATATTAAAACGCATTAACAACATTGTCAAATTGTACTTTATATTAACATTACAATGAGGAATAACAAATATGTGTGATAGCTATTTCACGTAATGTGCACCATAAATCAATGTGTACGTGGGTTGATCCAAAAGTCCTGCACCGTTTAGGCCAAATATGAACAATATTAAAATTTTGAGAGCAAACAGTGCAGAACTTTTGGGTCATCCCTCGTATTATGAAGTTAAATAGGGTGTAGTAGGATAAAATAACTCTTGTGAACATTTGATTTTGCAGGTGACGATTTTTCTGCACCAATGCTGCTAAAAACATGCCAAGGAACAACATCTGGACCAGACACTTGGCCAGCATCTACTGGTAGATCCATGGCGGTATCCTTCATCACAGATGGTAGTGTTACAAATACGGGGTTCTTGTTAAAGTTTTGGCAAGTCCCGAACCCCCTTGCCGCTACAGGTAAAAAAGTAAAACTGTTCACATATTTATAAATATTTTTATTGGCTCCTCTGAAACCCTACATGTTTTTTTCAGCAAGTTGAATTGTTTATTTCAAAGTGCAGTCATTATAATTGTTAAATAGATCGTGTAACTAATCGTACATTTTTACACTTTTATTCCGCCATGCTGTTCGGAATGTGGCCAAAGGGTTTTACATGGTTCAGGATATGATAGATGGATATGCCTGTTACAATATTTTGTTCCTGCATGTTACCATTTGCACATGATAACATAAGAAACTTCTCTTCTTTTCCAGCGATATCACCCTCGGGGGTTGTTACACGATATGCCTACGAAAAAATCAATGGAACACTGTATTCGCCAAATTGGATAAATGGCGTATATCTTACATCATATGCCAAGTAAGTAATATGGGAATTTAGGCGGGGACGTAGAGTAGCTTTGCTATTATCTCTTATTGTATAGTATTAGTAACATTTTCGATTATTTCAGCTGTTGATTATATGCAAAATATGGTGTCATCTAAAATTAATCATCGAATTCTTTTAAAAATAAAATGAATTTCAAAAAGCCACATGATGAAACCTGGACACAAATATGAGACGGAAGCTACTGAATTAGAGTAAATGATCTCTTTAGTCTTAGACATGAGGATGTGCTAAGGTACTCAATAATTGTGGATGTCATAAGTTTGGATAATTGATATTTGCAGTGACATTGACGTCTCCTGGATTATCACCGCCTTTGACGAAGACAACATAGTGAAAATTTACGCCATTGACTTCAGTTTGCAGTCGTCTGACTTCTACGGGAGTTGTTTGACGTACGACTACGTGGAGTTCAGAGATGGTAAGTGAAGGGTTGGGGTTAATGTTTTTCTCTAGCAGGGGCAAAGCCAGGTTCTAAACAAGACGAGGCAAATCTGAATAGGTGAGGCAAATTTAGATAGCTGGTGCAAATCCGAATAGGTGAGGCAAATCTTAATGGGTGAGGCAAAAATGAAGAGGTGAGGCAAATTTAAATAGCTTGGTCAAATCTGAATAGGTGAGGCAAATCTTAATGGTGAGGCAAAAAAGAAGAGTTGTGGCAAATTTAGGCTACATGAGATACAATATTGAAGCTCATTTCTACATTTTCTGATGGAAAAAAGTCGTAAAGGATACTCCTAATGCTTGTACTATTGTTTATACCGTAAACAAATGATTATTGAACCTCGTAAAGTGAAATTCATCTTTAAAATGGAACCCTTTCGCATGACCAATGGCGTTCTCCATAGCGTGACCAATGGCGTTCAACTTAGCATGACTAATGGCGTTCCATTTAGCATGACCAATGGCGTTCCATTTAGCATGACCAATGGCGTTCCATTTAGCATGGCCAATGGCGTATTACGTATCACACTGACAGGTATCATTACTATACAGTGTTATCTATTGAATACAGGTGACCAGGCGTTCTCAACATTGATAGATAGATGGTGCGGCAGTCGAATAGGGTACTCCCTGCAGACCACTGGAAGATCGCTGCACATAAGGATGAAGACAGACTCATACGATGTGTACAGTGGATTCAAGATAAACTACTGGACTGGTATGTTGAATTAACGTGTCTCATTACTTAGATTGGAGAGTGGTTTGCTTAAAATAACTATAGTCACCACAAATTAATGAAAAAGTTGTATTGAAAAAATTACCTGATTTTACAATAAACTGCAATATATCATAATGTCTGACACTGACTTCTAAAGAAGGGCCTATCAAGTAATTTTACCAAGGCTTTCCAAGTATTGTATTTTGTAATAAAAATGTATTTAAGAAATAGAATAATTTGACAGTGACAATAGATGGTACCTGATCGATGTTCTCATGTACCATGCTTTGGTCACACCAGTTGTCATACTTTGGTCACACCAGTTGTCATACTTTGGTCACACCAGTTGTCATACTTTGGTCACACCAGTTGTCATACTTTGGTCACACCAGTTGTCATACTTTGGTCACACCAGTTGTCACATACTATAGTTTACCAAAGTTTCTACACCACTTATACTACATGCCTTATTTTTTACATGAATATCACATCTTTCACACATCTTTTATTTTTGTACCTTTTATCCCACCATATGGGATGATCTCCAGAGAGTCGTGTCATTCTGTGATTGACAAATATATTTTTATTGCAGTATTGAAAAGCAAGCCGGAAGAAACTGACGGGTTCAAACTGAGTGGCGGTGCAATCGCAGGGATAGTAGTTCCCATAGTTTTCTTGGTTATCATAATCCAAGTATGCTGTCGTTGCATGAAAAAGAAGAAGCAGTCGGCTAACATTACACCTACTCCTGGAAATGCTGATAAAAACCGCACCCCTCCGGCTCCCCCCAAGCCAACTCCTTCGAAGCATGCACCCTCACTTCCCCCACCATATGGAAGTGTGATCGTCTCGCCTATGCGTCCCCAAGCACCCAGACCCCCACCACCTCCTGCTCCTAATCAATTTGGACCACCTCCTCCCAATCAGTTTGGTCCACCACCAGGTCCTTTTCCACCCCCAGGACCAAGGTTCATGCCTCCACCTTCAGCCCCGCAGGCTCCACCGGTTTACCCTCCTAATGCACCCACGTATCCACCCACTAATACACCCATGTATCCACCACAGCGACCATCTACATATCCCCTTAATGGGCCAGCCAATGATCCTGTATACCCTCCCCCGCCTCACGACCCACGTGTTCCACCCAGCCAACCACCGCCTTCATACGCAAACTTTGCAAAAAGTGGTCCATCACAAGGTATATACTCCATACAGACAGATATGAAAGACGTACCTGAAGCGCTACCATATAACACAGGACAAGGATACAATCTCCCATCTGCCCCATACGGACCTCCTGGCCAATCAGGTGTGTATTACGACAATGTGAACGCTGGAGGGGAGGACGATCCTGACGCCCCACCAGCGGTTGCTTTGCCAGCTGGCGTGGGTAAACTTGACCCCATTACAGAAGCAGAAATTAGTAAACATGAAAAGCGCGAGAGGAAGAAGAAACTTAAAAAGGCACAGAATAAACTAAATGTTATGTCGACATTTAGGGATAGCATTAGCGACAATCACCTTAAAATGTAATAAAATTAAATGACAATTAAATCATCGCCATTGTATAAAAATCATGTGATATTAGATCTTGTGATATTGTATCATGATCATGTGATATTCTGACAAGTATGCAGTAACAGGGTATATATGATATAAAAATATGAATATTTTTTTCGAATATTGTGCAATGTAAAATCCACCATGTATTTTTGTAGTTTTTATCGGGGAATCTATACTGCTTTGTAAACGTAAAGTGAGGTTCCTTTTTATTAAGCCTTGTTTGTATATGATTGAAAAACAATGTCCTAGTATAGTATATGTTCCATATGTTTGTATATGATTGAAAAACAATGTCCTGGTATAGTATATGTTCTATATGTTTGTAACGATTGTACAAAATGAGAATGTTACATACGTAACGTAAAGTATTTGAAATACAAACTATTACGTTTTCAAAAAAACTGTTCAGTTCTCTTCACAATGTTTTCACCAAACAAACGTCTAACCTTGACAATTTCTTCCTATAGTAGCAAATTAGAACTCAAAAAAGAAGTTGTTAAATCTTTATTCATAAATGGAATGGTCTCTCGGATTAGTTCATCACGATCGTTGTTGTTATGATCCACATCATTATTGTTTAGGTCACTAATCTGGTTGTTATGGTTACCCGGTATGTTTTCATCATCACCATCATAGTGAAGCAACAAAGGGTTGGTACCATGCCCCCTAAATCTCTGAGCTCTTATATAGATCCTTCAAGTTTATCCAGAAGAGCCCTATAGTGGTCTTCATTTTTGCTCAATCCGAGGTAGACGCGGGTATCTAAGTGTTATCCAATGATTCGGTATGGGGCCTATGGATTCCTTTAAGACTAGCACTAAACAGTCTCGCTGTTTTATTCTATATCGCTGCATCCCTCTTGTCCAGAATCTCATAGATGCGATAGACTCATTATATAACTAAGGGGGGGGGGGTGAGAATGGGGCAATTCGAATTTACTTGATAAGTTCCCATGCCTATTAAAATGCAACAAACGAATATTGTTTATAAATTTTATTTTTATTTTCGGTAGTTTTGTGGGAGTATAATCCATGTTTGGATGATGTAGTTTGGCATTTGCGAAATTAGGGTATGAATAAGCTTATTGACGTGCGATATGCATTTATTTTATATTCGAAATAACTGTAATGTACATATTTGTCTAAAGGTGGGACTGGAAGTTGACGGGTCTTAGTTGTGCATGAAATCAATATGCAAGACTGCAGGCAGAATCTCAGTTGGTAGTTGTTATTAAATCAGTGATAGATGATTGTCTATAAACACTGCTTGAATCTATTGTTCTCTTTATATGACATGTGATTGCTGATTGGCCATGATCGCCACAGCAACAATTGATTTAAGAAGTTGTTAAAAAAAATAAACCCTAGATTATTTGCTCAACTATGCCGACCATAAGATTATCAACTATAATATAACATTATCAACTATAATATGTATATAAATCCAGGGGCGGATCTGGGAGCCAACAATGGGGGGCAAATTTCAGGTCAGAGAAAAAACTTATTGAAAAAATGTTGGGCCCCTAAAACCCAAAAGTGGGCCCAAATTTTGAAATTTTGAGGCCCCCAGCCCCCCCCCCCCAGATCCGCCAGTGAAAACTATACGACTTTTATATCCTTTGAAGCTCACATTATTTACAATAAAATCACTGTCAGTCATCTTGCTAGACACAATTCACTTTCTCAAACCGAGTTGTAAAGTTAGCAAAAGACCGTCCTAGATTTTCGGCATGGACCCAGCACCTCCCATTGTAGTAGTCGATTGCCGCACATTCTCTGTTGTTTAAACAACTAAGTTTACATTCCTCTTCCGTCATCAGTCCAGTGTTCTTGCCGTTTGGGAAGCCCGAAAGTTGGAATACTTCAAACGTACAAGGAGCTGAAACACATGTGGAGTAAGACATTAGTTCAATGTGTAATTAATTTAATTCATTGGATTGGCAAACTGTCCCAATGAGAAAAGATGGGTACATTATATTGTACGTTCAAAAATAACTTTGGGCAAAAACGATATATTTTGGGCAACAACAATTGGTTTGAGTGATTCATTCACTCTTGTACAAATAAAAATGGACCCATGTGGTTCTCAAATAACATTTCGCCGTTTATTTTACTGCACGATTGGATATTTTCGCAACCTCGCAACCTCGTGGTTACGGCGCCCAATCGCCAAGGTGTAACATGTACGAACCTGTAGTGGTGTTTTGCCTCTCAGTTGTAGTTGTAGTTGAAGTTGTAGTCGGAGAATCTGTAAAACAAATTAGAGATAACTGGCAGAAGTTCAGTATGAAAGGTGGCTGAAATGATTTCATTCTGAATGTCAGCCGAAGTCAATGATTTATATTTTCTTGCAGTAATAAAACGAGCAGAAATGCAGTTTTGGAAAGTCCTGATGCTATCTATAGTAGAGTTGTTTCTAATCAATTTGGACCCTGTATACAGTGTACCTGTTGATTTGGGACCCTAGTCACTTGGGACCCAGGCTAACTTAATCTATTTTGGAAGGAGTTTTTTCGGCTTAAAGGGGGTTTTGCTTTTAGTTAGTACTCTTTGGAATAAATTGTTGAAATGATGCTCGAATTATTTAAGATTAAAATATTTCATTTAAGCCCTATAGACATTTTTCAAATTGATTCTTATCTTATAGTTAATCAGAGATATAATGGCAAACAATTCTAAAACAAATTTAATTATTTTTTGATTGGCTCGAGGCGGTGTCTTACTCTACATTTTCATATCAATATAACATTGCAAGTTAATTCATTTAACAAGGGTCCGAATTAACCAGTTACTCATGGAAGAATGCTCTGGTGTCTTTTAATTCAGGAAGAAATGCAAATGGCAAGCAGAGTGGAGTTGAGGAATTGATCAAAGAAATGACCGAAACGCGTTCAATCTACTAACAATGTGTATACTCTGAGAATTTTCACACTTGTACTAGGATTAATCTTCGAAAAGTAAATAAATGTTAAAAGTTTAAACAATTATTTGAATAAAGGTGTTGGTACTTGAAGATTGGCTTTTCTGTAATCATTCAAAAATTACAAAGATTAAATTGAAAAACTTACATGTTGATACTCCGTCCACGAAATCTGAAATCACAAATTGTAGAAATTAGACATTTAGTGATATTTAAAGCATTTATAGCCTTAAAGAGTGAATCAGATCAAAACTAGCATGCTATTGGGTGAGACTTGAGATAATGTATGCGGCGCCAGTCAAAATTGAAACTTCTGATTGGGTTCGAAGCCGAGATGCCCGGATATGACCCGGCAAAAGCCGGAATTCACGTGATTTTTCACGAAGAAGGGGCGGAGTTTAAGCGAGATTCATCGAGACTTCTCCATTTAAGGAAAGTGTCAGTCCGCTTATAACTCCGCCTTTTTGCCCTTAAATGGAGAATGCCATTTTCGAAGGGGTCCTTTTTAGGCTGGGAGATTTTCATCATTTTTTTCCTAGATTTCTTGAAAGTTTATGGAGTTATTTCAACCATTCTTTGTCAGTGTACACCTCTCGACAGTATTCATCTTAATAACCTATTGCCGAGTAGTTAATTTTTTTTGATTTGACAAAAATTTGATCAGAAACTATATTACGAAAAACTCCAGTGATAGACGGGTGTTACTAAATAACACCTAGGTGTCCCCTTGGGCACCTGGATTTATAATTCCATAACCACGTAAATTTAGTATTATTTCCTTTGTCATATTAACTTGACATACGATAGACTTGAAATAATCATTTGTAGTCGAAAATATTCTAAAGAAGATTCGAAAATAAAATATAGAAAGCTTTATTGTTAGAAAAATGGGCACCTGGAATTTTGCTCATATGTATGGTCACTTATTTGTAGTAATAAAACACCGTTTATGCTAAAGTGTGCATTTATCTTTGAAACATATATTTTTTTCTTGCTTTAGTTGCTAAAATAGTGAATTTGTAGCATTTTGTAGTGAGCAAATAATGAAATATTATCCTAACAAATGACAAGTAAGGCATTTCAATGGGGACACCTAGGTGTGGGGCACCTAGGTGGTATTTAGTGCAACCCGAGATTTAGCTAGACTTGGTCCAAGGGGCCCGTCTTAAAAATGTACCTTTCCTGTCTTAGTGATGAGTTTGAATTATGTCGATTATTCGATTGTTATACATAAATAAACATCGATCTTCGGCGAAGATAAAATAAGAACAACATATATATCCGAGCAATATGTTGGTAAGTACAATATTTCATTTATAATGGCAGAAAATCAAATTGAATCGAAATCGAATTTTCAATTTTTTTGCATTTTTCCACAAATGTTGGCCAGATCGTTTTGTAGTAGATCTAGGATCTCATAGGCTCAAAGAATAATACAGAGGAATATTTATTGAGCTAGGCCTACTGATTCTACTACAAAAGAATCTGGCCGGGATCTATGCATTTTTCGATATTTTTGATTTTCAATTTGATTTTTACATTCTAGACTATACTAGGCATAGGCCTGGAAAATGTATAAAATAGAGTCAAATTCACTTATAGAACATGCTGTAAGCTTTATTTCTTTACATTTTTACGGGCCTATGCCTGGGCTATGACTCTACGTAGACTACTAGATCTAGATAGGACTTAGACAAGCCTAAAGCTAGAGCCTTAGATCTAGCTCTTTCAGAGGCTTTGACTGATCTGTTAGAACAGCCTTTAGAGCCCCCTTTAACCGCTTCAAAATTGTGTTAGTGTCCTCCTTGCGAAAATCGAAAAAAATTAAAAGGACGTGCTTCGGTGCCGAACAGCAAATTCTCATTATACATTGAGTAGATACTCTTTACCAAGAAACCAAAAAATGGAAGTTTTGACGGAAAGACATGACGTACAAGTCAAAATCTCTGAATCTTGCTAGGTACGTGACAGATAAAGAGAATTTAAATCCTGATTGGCAAAGAAGCGGCTCATAACTTACATATTTTCTCAACAAAAAGCACTGATGTAGGACACATTGGAAGATATAGTAAGCACTTTAAGTTGATTTCAGTAGATCTGTTACACCTGTCATGATTTCAAGGAAAGACATAAAGTACCCGTCAAAAGAGAAAAGCTTACATAAATGCGAGCGAAATCTGCAGATTTATTATAGCTATTGACTTCCCGAATGTGTTGAACGCACAACTCTAAACAATACTTGAAATTGAATAAAATTGACAAAATATGAAAAGACTGACAGTCTAAAACCTAACTGGGAGAGCTGCCATTGCTCGGAAATCTTCAGAGATTTTGACTGGTACTTTGTGTCTTTCCATCAAAATTGCCATTTTGGTTTCTCGCTGGGTAATTCACAGATGATGAGAAATCTTGATTGACAAAAATACAGCTGACAGCTAACAGCTTTTCTTAAACAGGAGATATAAAGGAAATTGAAAGTAAGCACTTGATTTCAGCAGTTTAGAACCTGTTATAATTTTGAAGCCGGCGATTGCCGATAGGGGGCATGTTAAGGCTGTAAGAACAGGGTGTAGCAATAAATCTAACCCAAATAGAGTTTAACACATCTCAGTATAGGCAAAATTAAAATTCATTCTATGTTCTTTAAGATGAGAAAGTTTCATCACTTTAGCATGTGTACATTTGCTAGCCTTCTAATATTTTGCCAATAGATTTGTTAGGCTTGATTGCAAATTCTTATGAAATGTATGAGTGTATGGTTTCAATGTACTGTACTCCTGATATTTTTCGCGTGCAATTTAGTTTCGTGCTTTTCGCGATTGTGTAAAAATCACGAAAATTAATAGTCGCGAATATCGCCAATTAAAGGCTGAGGTGCAACATGCCATTGACTAAGATCTAGAAATTGTAAATTTTATCCAAAGTATATGATATTGGGTAGGTGTAATTACTGTAGATAAGGTAAATTAATTTTGAGGATTCGGAGAATAATGGAAGTTAACCTTTGATATCCGCAAAATTTAATGGCCGCGATATTGGTATTTCTCAAAATTCATGAAATTTAAACTCGCAAATTAACCGGTAGTACAGTATTTGCATGTGGAATAATTATGATATTGAGAGCATTGATGAAACAAATGCAATGAACTGATTTGATTGACCAAGGGAGCATTGGAATTTGACCTGAAGTTGACATGATTGTTGCAATAGGCCTTATGATTTTTTGGAATTCCAGTTATACTATTAATGTCTATTATACTTATACAGTAAAACCTGTCTAATCCAAATGCCACTGCTACCAATTAAAAACATTCAGATTTAAACGTGTTCTGATTTCGAGGTTTTTACATCTGAAAGATTCTTGATTTTGAAAAAATATGAATGCATTTTCACTTAATATTACTAGCATTGCAGGCGTTATGACTTTTTGGAATTCCAGTAATACTATTATACTTATACAGTAATACCTGACTAATCCAAATGCCACCACGACCAGTTAAAAAAACATTCACATTTGGAGGTGATCGGATTTTGAGGTTTTTGCATCCGCAAGATTCTGCATTTTAAAAATATAAATGCATTTTCACTAAAAAGTATTAAGATTACTTTTGACCGCATAGCTTTATGACATTCCAAAATCCAAATCGATTGCTAGAAACTGAGAAAGGCCTTCCAATGTTTCTCCTGAATATAGACCCATGGTCCTTTCTTGGAAAGAGGAAACATCCCGGAAAAACAGAAGTGTGCAATCAGAGATGATAGATACTATTGCATGAGTATATGAAGGCCATGTGTCAACTTTTCGATTGATAATATGCCTCGAAATAAAACCCATTGGCTTGGGAAAGCTATCTTCCCTCTAAATAAATGCCTGTCCCCTTGGAAAAATGTTTTCAGTTTACCTCTTAGTCTAAATAAAGGCCAATGGCATTTATTTTGAGTTCTTTCTGATAAAGGCCCTGTGCAAAATAAATGCTCAGTGGGCCTGAATTTTTGAACAATTTTAAGAGAAACATTTTAATTTTTTGAATATGAGTGTTTAATGTTCAAACTGGGAGGGTCACCCAGTTTTTAACATAGGAGTCATTGGAAGGAAAAGTGGGACCGTAATGAGTGTCTGGATTAGAAGGTGTTCAAATAACTTAGGCGTTCAGATATTATCATGAAGCACTGCCATTTGTCTGTCTCTCCATCAGGACATCTCATAGACAGTTTGACCTAAGATCATTATACTTGGTCACCATACTAAATGGGTCAATATGCATTCTCAGGGCTGTCAACTTGGGACCACCTAATATGAGTGACTTACAAATGTTGGACACCGAAGTCCAAATCTGAACACTTTTGTCCAAATTTTGAACACCTTTGGTCAACTTTTAACACCTTTGTCCAAAGTTTGAGCACCTTTGCCAAACTTTGATCACCTCAAATTTTTCGCGCTCGCTACGCTCGCGATATCGTTTACAGTGGGGGGGGGGGGGGGGGGGGTAGGTACGAAAATTTTCAATGAACATGCTTGACATATACGGGATTCGCGTGACAAATCCGAACAAATTGCGTTCGTTTTTTCCGACGTTCGTATTTTTACCGTATCGTCAACATATTTTGAAAAATTTTCTACAGAAATATTTTTGCTTGACAATTACCAGGTAAAATGCGTATTTGCGTGACATTTTCTGTCACGCAAAAAAAACTGGCGTGACTTCAAATTCTTCAGCAAATGCGTGACAAATACGCAAATTGCGGGACAGTTGACAGGCCTGCATTCTACAGAGGTCATGGTCATTCTAAGTCAAAGCTCAATATCTAGGTGTTTGGCTTTTTAAGACTCTTGGGTGGTGATTTTACCCTTGACAACCCATGGATAGGTGCCCTGAGGTCAAGGTCAACTTTATGGATCAAGGTTACTATAATCCAAGGTCAATAGATAAGTACCGGATTTTCTCGCATATACGCCCCCCTAAATTTAGGCCCATGGGCCAAAAATCGAATGTAGTACTCTTCAAAGCCCCATGGGCCTATAAAAAATGACTATTTATTGATTTTTTCAATAAATTCAAGAGTATTTCGTCACTGGCAGATCGTTCTGTCATTACTTTGTTTCAACATTAAGTTCAACCATGGGCTTTCAACTGGATAATTAAAAGCCCATGGTTCAACGCTGTGCTGTAAGTGGCAGTGGTGGATCGTTCTGTTGTTACTTTGTTTCAACATTAAGTCCAAGGTTGTAGGTGACATTTCCTTTATAATTCTTACAAAACATGGGGTAGGACTACAACAGTAGGTACGGTAGTCTTTGAGGAAGATGGCTGGCTCTCTGCACCTTTACGCCCACTGGGCCAAAAATCGAAAGTAGTACACTTATACGCCCATGGGCGAAAAATAAGAGGTAAAATAACAGATGAAATTACCCCTTCTTTCAGTTATACGCCCAGGGCTTATATGCGAGAAAATCCGGTATTTGGCGTTTTAGGTCCTAGGGGCTATGCCCTTGGCAATCCATAATTCATGGGTCAAGGTGATCTTGAGGTCAAAGGTCAATTTCAAAGCTATTTTCATTTTAAGGCCTTTGGGAGCTGCTAAGGGAATGGCAATCCATGATTAGGTGACCTGAAATATATATGTGCAGTGGTGTATCCAGAAGCCAACAAGGGGAGGGGGCTCAAATTCAAAATTTGGAAAAAAATCCAAAAATTGGGCCCTTAAATGTTTTCTAGGCCCACCTTAGGGAGGGGTGGGTATTTTTTACTGAAAATGGAATTTATCAAGATTTTTAAAAATAGAACATTTGCAGGCCCTGCAATATCAGGTTCAAGATATTAAATTGGGGTTATCTCAGAATGGTTGTCTGTTGGTGATTCTTTTTTACAGTTTGCATAGTAGTTTGATTCATCAATTCTCAAAAGTATTCAAGAAGTACTCCAAACTGAAATAGGTGATTTGTGTCCCATTACAATGCATTCACTAATTAAGTACCAAATAAAAAATGCCCCACCTCTAAACTGTTACTTCTTGATCATTCAAGTACTAAATAAAGTTTGGGCCATTCTCTAACACAGGTTTAAGGTCGATATAAAGATGACAGCACCAGCAATCAAGTATTATCTTTTTGGGAAATTATAAATAAACACATATCGATTAACATGCCATATCTATTTAAAATTATTTCTATTGACTTTAGCCTTTGTTCTCTATCATATTATCTGTATCAAGCATTAAGAGGCCATTTGCCCCGTTTACTAAACTGGCAACCCTGTATCAAAAACTTGTTCAATTAAAAAATATATTTGGCGTTCCACAACTAGTTACTTCGACGGAACGTCAATGTAATAAAATGGATGAACTTCTTGGATACGAGTTTTTTTGTTTTCTCGATTTCAAGTTGCGGATTATCATTTGGCATAACGTTGGACAATATAGTCTCTGGCTTTTAGAAATGCTCTCGGTATGATTTTAAATAAAGCTGTAATTCATGCATTTAGACCATCGCTTTTGTTACATTGGTAATATAACGGACTTTCGTCAATGTAACAAAAGCGAGGGGCTAAATATATGAATTGCAACTTCATTTACAAAACAAATTACAAATCGAAGAAACTTATTGAAACAAGACTATATCTTCTAGCTTTGTGCCAAATTATAATCTGCAACCTGACTTATAAGTAGGTTTAAATCGAGAAAACAAAAAACTCGTATCCAGGAAGTTCAACCATTTTGTTACATTGACGTTCCGTCAAAGTAACTAGTTGTGAAACAGTGATAACATTCCTTGTCAGAATCAATATGAGAAAGAGAGCCATCTATGTACTTAAACATTTTCCCATCGTACCCATCTTAAACTGGGAATGTTTCAGGCTTGGGTTAAACTTACAAGTCTGTAACTGATAACTAACGGCTGGTCAGAAAAGGTATTGTAAACCAAGTTTATCATCTTGGTTGAGAGAGATTCATGACCAAGGCAAAAACCATAGATTTCCTTAGGATCTAAAAGTCATTCACCAAAAGTGAGTTAGACATTCAAGGGATATGATAACTTTGCAATTATATTTTATCTTATACATGTAAAGTTTTAATAAACCCAGGAGTCATCACATGTCTACATATTGCGACTTTCTATGCAAGAATATTCCTTGCTTTATTTTCTATTTTATAACTTCATATTGCAGGCAATCTTTTCACAAATAAAAAGTATGCGCTACTGTTTGCTAAATCTATACAGAAAATTGTAAAATATTTACAATGAGTAAAACACTTCAAATAAAATTGAAATAAAGTAATGAAAAAAGACATCTTCTAAATATGAAAGGCTATATCCCTTTGAAAAGTTTACGATCGCAATACACCCACATATTGCACAAAACAATTCTTTTTCTTATAAATTCCTTTTGAAATGTTTTTTGAAATGAAAAATCTCAATACTCGAGAACAACAGAAAATGAGAATTTAAACATTTCCCCCTGTTTTTGCACTTGAACATTTTAAAAAGAATTCGAATAATGTAGATTTTTTGGAAGATATTTTTGTTTTTAAGATTGTTATGAATATATTGGTAGGTCAAGTTGCTTGCAATTTTGTCAGTGCCTATAAGTCCGATTCTCTCTTTAATATATGAGTAGATGGGAGATAACCAATACTAGGACCAAGAAATTGTTCACATTGAGAAGTGTTCGAATTAGAGAGGTGTTCAAATATAAGGGTGTCACAGGATACATCTATATTTGCTAAGAATAGTTTTTCATACTTTTAACTGAAATATTTACATGAGGTGCCATCTAAGGATAAACATAGGTGTGGTGTATCTAGACCAGTATTCAAATACATCTTTTATTTTGAATCAGTGAAAAACTCCATCCTTTAGAATTGTCCATCAACATTGAAAAGATATAGGTTAACATCATGATAAAACATAAACATACGAGTTCATAAAACCTCAGACTTTCAATGATATTGGACTGCAGTTTTTATACAAGCTTTTTGAAAATGTTGTACATGTTTTTTGCAAACTTTCTTTGAATTTCATCAAATTGTTGTACTATTGTAGATTATACAATACTACAATATCCAATACTGTTTGAGCGATTAGTTTAATCTAGGACTGATTTGACAAGGTGTGTTTAGTATGATTTCAACAAAATAACGTTATTTACAAGATTGATCAGAGCTTTTGTATGCTTACGCTTTAGGTGGACTGACATAAGGGGTTCGATCATTCCATATTAGTATCTCTCCATAAAGAGTGTCACACAAAAATTCTTCTTTTATATAAGGATTCCAATGGGTCTATAACTAAATATGGAAAATATTAAAATATGAAATGTCCTATGTTTATGTGATTTTGGATTGTGATGGAGGTTTCTGAATGGTAAGCAGGCTGTTAGACATTTTTTCATTGCTTGTACGTGTGATAATTGAATCATTGTTTAAGACGATGGAGATTTGCTCACTTATGATCGGTTGTTCTTGAATGTCTCTTGTCTCAGCTGTGTGTTGTATTACTTTGGTCATAACTCTTTTATCACCTTAGGTTTTTCAATCTCAAAATAATTACAGTATTCAGACCGACAATATATTTTCTCAGTAGATCTAATAATCGAATACGATTTGCAGTTTATTTAACAATTGAAAACACGTTTGTATCCTAATGTCACGGTCACATTTCATCTTCGGCAACCATACGGCGGTCGTAGCTTCCCAAATCGAGAGAAGTATGTGAAGCATAAAGTATAGGGATAAGCAATACGATGTAGATTTACTATTACATTGATTTTGTGAAGCTAAGGCCGCCATACGGCCGCCGTAGAGCAAATGAAACAGAGGCTTTAGAAAAATCGTTTTAAAAATTGAGCAACTTTTAGAAATGTAAACATACAAAGCTACCTCATGCGATGTTGCTTTTATATGGGTTACTACTTTGACGATAGAAATAATTAAATGAACGATTAAAATCTTTTATAACATTCAGAAAGCTTTCACATGACTGCGCAGTGACATGTTAAGTACATTCTTGAAATAATATATTTTGTACATTTAATTCCAAAGAGTGGAACTGTAAGTCTGGTTACTGTGACCAAATGGATGAATTGACGTTACATGTCCATACTTTAAAGCATACATAGTAAGTGTGCGTCAGAGTAAATTCTCAGATGCATGGGATGAATGGCCTTCTCTATACGCCCCGCTCCTTTTTTTGTATCCCCATCCTTTCATTGCACCCGCCCTCTCTCCAAGCGCCCAACCTTTAATATTGGTTAACGGAAACCCAATGGAAACCTTCAATTTTATTACCAATTGGTTAATGCAATTCCAAGATATGTCTCAAGTTCGGGCAACTCTTCCTAAATCTTGTATATGACATTGTGCGAGAGACTCAGGCCCGTAGCCAGGGGGGGGGTTCGCAGGGTTCGGACGAACCCCCCCCCCCCCGGCCAAAAATTCTTTCAAAATCATGCAGTTTTTCACCATTTTGAGCACTTCTCGAGTGATTTTAGCCATATTTGGGCCAAAATTGTCAAATGTGAACCCCCCCCTGGAAATTATTGAAAACTGAACCCCCCCCCCTTGGCAAATCCTGGCTACGGGCCTGAGACTGTACACAACACCTCATAAAACTGATGAGTTACGGTTCCTTACCTGTACATGTCGCCCCTGTATATGGGAACTTGCATTCACACGTATACGTCGTAAAGTAGTTGACACAATTCCCACCATTTTTACATGGGGAGTCCTTACATGGTCTTTCAACTGTAAAAAACATACACAATTAATAACGAAATGATCCACCAAAATGTAGCTGCTGCTTTATAACTTGGTGTTCATATTACTATTTTACCACGTTTTGAGTCAAAGAAAATAGTATCACAACATTTTAAACCTAAAAACTTCATTTTCCTATCAGATTCACTTTAGCAAATAGGAACCATGTTCAAACCTTTCTGTCATTTACGCAAGTCACAATAGTTCAAGATAATATCACATTCATATTTCTCACCAGGAATGAAAAATTACGATGATGGCAGCTAAAAAATCAACAATTGAAACTTACCAGCGATGTCAAAAACTACGATGGCAGCTACAAAAATCAACAATTGAAACTCCCCTACGATGACAATAACTATGATGGCAGCTACAAAAATCAACATTTGAAACTCCCCTACGATGACAATAACTATGATGGCAGCTACAAAAATCAACAATTGAAACTCCCCTACGATGACAATAACTGTGATGGCATGGCAACTACAAAAATCAACAACTGAAGCTTACCAGCGATGACAAAAACTTTGATGGCAGCTACAAAAAACTACAATTGAAACTCACCTACGATGACAATAACTACGATGGAAGCTACAAAAATCAACAATTGAAACTCACCTACGATTACAATAACTATGATGGCATGGCAGCTACAAAAATCAACAATTGAAACTTACCAGCGATGACAATAACAATGATGGCAGCTACAAAAATCAACAACTGAAACTTACCAGCGATGACAATAACAATGATGGCAGCTACAACGATCAACAATTGAAACTTACCAGCGATGACAATAACAATGATGGCAGCTAGCTACAACGATCAACAATTGAAACTTACCAGCGATGACAATAACAATGATGGCAGCTACAAAAATCAACAACTGAAACTTACCAGCGATGACAATAACAATGATGGCAGCTACAAAAAAAATCAACAATTGAAACTTACCAGCGATGACAATAACAATGATGGCAGCTACAACGATCAACAATTGAAACTTACCAGCGATGACAATAACAATGATGGCAGCTACAACGATCAACAAGGCCACTAAGAGTAGGCATAGCTTCCACCACAATCCTGTTCCTTTCTTCTCACGCTCATCTTTCCGATAAACAATTGGTATTGGAGTGACAATATCTCTTTTAAATATTGGTTTTTGTTCAGTTTGTGTTGATATACTATAAACACCAGTATCAGCTGAATTTACAGATGCTGGTACGTATATATCATTATGTTCTAGGGTTGTGAATTCGCTACGAGAGGTAGCTTTGGTTGAATTCTGAGTGGTTGATGTTGCATAAGGGTTGAAGATGTCAACCTGAGCCTTGTGGTGTCCTACGTTGTCCTGGAGATGGCGGATTGATATACCCTCATATTCGTTGCCATGGACATCCTGGAATTTATATTGGCATAAGTTTACAGATTTTGATCACTCAACTACGTTGTTAATCTTACTTCAAATCAAGTTTTGTAAGGTCACAATTAAGTGGATTGACAATTCTTCAACATATCTAAACCAGAATTGTATTGGCTTATTCAGGGAATCACATTTTCAGACATACATGCATTTTGAAACAATAAATTAAATAAGTTTATTTGTACTCACCCGTCGCTCTATATAATCCTTATATGAAAACTTTGAGTCAAATGTCGACATGATAGTTCTGTTTTTAATTTATGTTATTTACTTGTTGTTTCTTTTACCATATTTACATATTCCTTTTTATAACCTCCAAGTTTTAATGTTCCGAGCAAATATGTTAAAAATTCTTATAAACTCAAGCTTCTATTAATAGTCCTTTTTTATCCTATTGATAATATAGCTCCTAGCAGGTTTAAAACTCTTTTCAGAGGCTGTTTTTTCTATAACGGGAGTGTCCTCAAACGCCTTTGTATATACAAGTCTTTTTGAATAAGTAAATAAATTTTTGACAATCTACACCGTACTACCGTCTGGCTGTGCGTAGAATAAGACCATCGCCTGGGTTCTGTGTTTGTTTAAAACACAAAATTATGTTTCTTTTGAATCAATAGATATTATATCCAAAGTTTTGTTTAATCAAATCACGTCATCCGACCCGAGACGTCAATTGTAAATATCTAGTATTTGAGTTTTTGTTATTTTGAATGCAGTATCCAATCACTGAATGGCCTTCCTTTGCACTTCTTCAACTAACCACCAAGAATATGAATCTTATTAACCCCACCCTCAAAAACTGTTCATGATAGGTTAACACTGGATAAACTCTTACAAAATTACTTGATTAACTTTCTCTTAAAATCAAATGCGAATGAACATTCTTCATTTTTGAGATAAAAACGGTGATATAGTAATTAAGTACAACAAGTTCAGGAGTTCAAATGACGTAATTTTACCCAATAAAAATTCGGAAAAATATAAACATTTTGCGAGAGTTGGTCTTGAAAGGATTTTTTGTTTGAATATTGGTTCAATTTAGATTCTACATCGCACATGATCTTTTAGAATGTGGCACATTTTGGGCTGGCGATATTTACCAACTTCTCAAAGTGTGTGTACACATGTCAAAGGTAAACAGGTTTCTTACTTGAAGAACAACATCACCTTGGAAAAAAATTCAAAAAATCATTCCAAAGTCAAGCTTTTTGCATATGCATATTTTAACATGGATCAATATTTCAAACCTGCCCTTAATGATTCATCATACGCAATAACTTTTCTATGAAACTGTTTTTTGAAATTTTTATGTATCAATAGACCGACATTTTTCTAAGGGGCAATAACGTCCTCTTTTCACTGTAGAATTCGCATCAACGTCTCTCAAGTCAAGTTCTATTCAGTGCGAAAAATTCTAACCATCAATTTTTTTAGATTTAAGCATGCTAAGCAAATTTATTTTGGATAATTGGTCATTTCTTTAAATGGTTTATTTCCGCCCAGAATAGTAAAGGGTTTGGTTCATACACGTTCATTTATAACTTGATACATTTTAGTTTAAAATAACAAGTTGTCAAACAGGGGTTACTGAATGAACCATGACGCATTACATTTAAACCTGTAAACAATTCTTTAAAGTAAACATATTTTCTCTCCCTTAGTTGATGTGTTGATCTCAGTGACTTATCTTAATGAACTTTGAACGCGAACATCTTTCAAAATGATAACTTTAAGTCAATTCAAGGAAATGTCACTTTTGGCAGGTTTAGCTGCGAACATGTATTCTCCGTTTCAACTTTGATAAAATACACGTGAATTATTCAAATTCTACATCCACTGTTTTCTCAGGTTTTTCACCCAAATGGGGGGGGGGGGCAAATGACTAGGAAATGGCACTAAACTAAATCCAAAGTGCCCTTCAACATGTTTTTAATTGCAAAATAATTTTCAAATTCTCAGGACCCGGTTGATTCAATGTAAATGAGATCACCTACACATATTTCCTTTTTTATAATTTTATAGCATCCTTGTTTGTATCATCCTACCTGTATATATTTAATGTCAAAATCTGTGTTTTTAAACTTTTCATAATAAACGAGTGAACCTAGAATAAGTTGACATCTAAATTACAAACACAGTGAACCTGTCAAATGTGAATGTGAACACTGCTTGGTTCAGCTCAGTATTCACGCGGCTAGGTGTTTGCATTGGGAACTACATTTGATCAAAAAGGTTTCCGAACTGGCACTGACTAAATATATGTGTTCTTATTCTATTGGATTCACTCTGGAGAGGTGATTTGATTGCGTATGTATGTATATCTTTACTGCCCTTCATGAAAAGGAGATACACTGTATTCAGTGTATATATTAGATGAAATAAGAAAAAGTACACATAAAATACTAAATATGTGTGTTCTTATTCTATTGGATTCACTCTGGAGAGGTGATTTGATTGCGTATGTATGTATATCTTTACTGCCCTTCATGAAAAGGAGATACACTGTATTCAGTGTATATATTAGATGAAATAAGAAAAAGTACACATAAAATACTAAATATATGTGTTCTTATTCTATTGGATTCACTCTGGAGAGGTAATTTGATTGCGTATGTATGTATATCTTTACTGCCCTTCATGAAAAGGAGATACACTGTATTCAGTGTATATATTAGATGAAATAAGAAAAAGTACACATAAAATACTAAATATGTGTGTTCTTATTCTATTGGATTCACTCTGGAGAGGTAATTTGATAGCGTATGTATGTATATCTTTACTGCCCTTCATGAAAAGGAGATACACTGTATTCAGTGTATATATTAGATGAAATAAGAAAAAGTACACATAAAATACTAAATATGTGTGTTCTTATTCTATTGGATTCACTCTGGAGAGGTAATTTGATAGCGTATGTATGTATATCTTTACTGCCCTTCATGAAAAGGAGATACACTGTATTCAGTGTATATATTAGATGAAATAAGAAAAAGTACACATAAAATACTAAATATGTGTGTTCTTATTCTATTGGATTCACCCTGGAGAGGTAATTTGATAGCGTATGTATGTATATCTTTACTGCCCTTCATGAAAAGGAGATACACTGTATTCAGTGTATATATTAGATGAAATAAGAAAAAGTACACATAAAATACTAAATATGTGTGTTCTTATTCTATTGGATTCACTCTGGAGAGGTAATTTGATAGCGTATGTATGTATATCTTTACTGCCCTTCATGAAAAGGAGATACACTGTATTCAGTGTATATATTAGATGAAATAAGAAAAAAGTACACATAAAATACTAAATATGTGTGTTCTTATTCTATTGGATTCACTCTGGAGAGGTAATTTGATTGCGTATGTATGTATATCTTTACTGCCCTTCATGAAAAGGAGATACACTGAATACAGTGTATATATTAGATGAAATAAGAAAAAAGTACACATAAAATACTAAATATGTGTGTTCTTATTCTATTGGATTCACTCTGGAGAGGTAATTTGATTGCGTATGTATGTATATCTTTACTGCCCTTCATGAAAAGGAGATACACTGTATTCAGTGTATATATTAGATGAAATAAGAAAAAAGTACACATAAAATACTAAATATGTGTGTTCTTATTCTATTGGATTCACTCTGGAGAGGTAATTTGATAGCGTATGTATGTATATCTTTACTGCCCTTCATGAAAAGGAGATACACTGTATTCAGTGTATATATTAGATGAAATAAGAAAAAGTACACATAAAATACTAAATATATGTGTTCTTATTCTATTGGATTCACCCTGGAGAGGTAATTTGATAGCGTATGTATGTATATCTTTACTGCCCTTCATGAAAATGAGATACACTGTATTCAGTGTATATATTAGATGAAATAAGAAAAAAGTACACATAAAATACTAAATATGTGTGTTCTTATTCTATTGGATTCACTCTGGAGAGGTAATTTGATAGCGTATGTATGTATATCTTTACTGCCCTTCATGAAAAGGAGATACACTGTATTCAGTGTATATATTAGATGAAATAAGAAAAAGTACACATAAAATACTAAATATATGTGTTCTTATTCTATTGGATTCACCCTGGAGAGGTAATTTGATTGCGTATGTATGTCTATCTTTATTCATATAAAGATATACATTGTATACATCCATTACATGCATGAAATAAGAAAAAAGTACACATAATAACTTTATAACTGTTTTAGATTGATGTGTCTGGTCCTGAACTATCCCATGTTAAATCACAAACGTAAAAATTACTGTCAAAAATGAAAAATGTGAATCATTATGGTGCCATTATTTATATACAGCAAAACACATCCAGTACAAACATTGGACAAACTAAGGACCATTGTCCATAGTGTGGCTATGTGGACCATTGTCCATAGTGTGGCTATGTGGACCATTGTCCATAGTGTGGCTATATGGACCATTGTCCATAGTGTGGCTATGTGGACCATTGTCCATAGTGTGGCTATGTGGACCATTGTCCATAGTGTGGCTATGTGGACCATTGTCCATAGTGTGGCTATGTGGACCAGTGTCCACAGTGTGGTTGTGGATAAACGGTATGGGTAAAGGTTGAATATATTATTCTAGACTAAAAAAAAATGAACCAGTAAGATATCCAAATTCTCCAAAGAATGTCGAGGGAGTACAAGTTTAAGATTTCAAACTCTTACAACATATGTGTTGAAATCTGGTCAAATGGCCCAGTTGTGTTGGTTGTTTACATTTAAAGGAATTCAAATTTGCAGGGCAGTTTTACAATGACATCTTGGTTTAGTTGAAAGGACTTGAAAGGATTCTATCATTTACCTGACCGATCCTTCTTGACATCTGTATTGTACCATACATTGAGAGACATTGTTTTTGAGCAATTCTTTTACAATATTAATGTACTCATTGCTACCGTTATGTAGAACTTATTTAAAAATAGAAAACTCCTCTTTGAGAAATCATGATACATGAAATATAGTATTTTCTACACTAATGGTGCATATGATTTTACGGTTCCTAATCTGAACTGATTCAACCTTGAATTATAAAATTTTGAAACCTTTTCAGAATTGAAATTTTCTATTCACAATTACTCTAGTAGCTCATGCTGGTTGAGTATGCACTTCTATGTCCAGAGATTTTCTCTTCAGAAATCATCTATGCGAAGGTCATTGATCAATTTTGGCTTGGTAACATATTTGCCACAGAAGGCGAAATAGGTCAAATGGCCACACCTTTTTTTACGCGAATACTCCCCCCCTCCCATTTTTGCATCTCCGGAACCGTTGGACATAGAAGGTTGTGTGACCACTCAAAATGTCCGGAATGGCCACATTATAGGGGGTCAATAATACATATGTATTTAAAAAAGTCAATGGTTCTCAAGATATTTGCCAAAAACTGATTTTAGCATGTTACGCACAACAGTTTTCATCTATCCTGCATCATTTAAGACTGAATCCGCAGCCTCTATCTAGTCAGATCAGCGAAGGAAACAAACTTTTTTGGTTGTTGAGTTGGCCAAGAGGTCTTAGGTGAATGGGTACCCTAAACCACGAGGTTGCGAGTTTGAGACACGTGTGCTCCGTATGTTCATTCTTTTATGAGTACCATATCTAGTATCTACAAGGGATGCTGATGTATTATGAGTATTGAATATCGATTGAGTTTAATTATAAACCACGAGGTTGTGAGTTTGAGACACATTTGCTCCTTGTGTTCATTCTTTAATGAGTACTAGTATCTACAGGGTGGTCCAAAAAAATTGGAACATTTGTTAA